TGTCGGGAATCGAACTCGGGTCTTCGGCGTGACGAGCCAACGCTTTAACCACTAGGCTACCCGACCGCCCCTTTTTAGTAGATGAAATAAAATGGGTCGAAGAGGGGGAAGTTCAATCTTCTGTCAGTTTCGACATAGATTAGAGATATGTTGATACAAAACTTATTATTTCTATGAAATCATTTTTATCTCTTAAAATGTTAAGAACCGGACCTCCTTCTTGTTCCATCTTTCATAAATTACACTTTCCTTATCAATTCTGATGTGGTTGTTGTGCCAAACCATTTGACCGAGAATGTCCTCATTGTGTACTGGAAGAAAACCTTGAATGATGTCAAACCAAGCTAAAAAAGATCATAATAAAATGTGTTTTTGTGTTTCTTGTGGACGAAATATTCATCTGAGTTTCACATTATTTAAGTTTATCACCATAGTTCATGTCGGTTAATTCTAGTTTTGTCTGTGTTTACTTTTAGTTCAGAGAACCGTGCATACTGTTCTAGAATTTGCATAACTGCATATAAGCAGCGTTCGGTACCACCTAACATGCATGTGGTGTCATCTGCAAACTGTGCCAAGAGCTATTCAATATTATCAATATTTATACGTTTAATATGTTTATTATTCCTTATCATATTTGCTAATATTTCGACACAAAGTATGAACAAGTATGGGGACAGGGGGTCGCCCTGACAACAGCCATTAATGTGAGTGTGTTTGGGGGTAGTTAAAAGTAAAGACAAGTGGAATTTGTTGGGGGTTCCGCAATACGAACTTACCGAGTATACATCTTCTAATAAGGGGTCTGAATAAGTGAGTGAGTGAGTGAGTATGGTTTTACGCCCCTTTTAGCAATATTCCAGCAATAACACGGCGGGGGACACCAGAAATGGCCTTCACACATTGTACCCATGTCGGGAATCGAACCCGGGTCTTCGGCGTGACGAGCGAACGCTTTAACCACTAGGCTACCCGACCGCCCCGGAGGTCTGAATGAAACTACCAAAGACATGTGTAAGTAAGAATACATGTGATTGTGATTGGGAATATTTGTATTGATTGTCGCATCGGTGCATGGATATAGGATCTTTATTTGATGGTTCTGGTTCATACATTTTTCCAGTCACAGATCAGCGACACATACCTATTGTACATGGCAGTGTCATTGTGAACATAGGCCATACAAGATAGATTTGTATGGTCACTGTTGTAAAGTCAAAGGTTTCACAAACGTTTCTTACTCACATGTTGTAGCCTTGTCCACGCATAGTTCCACTAATGTTTGAAATAGTTATCCAAATATGTGAACGAACAGATTCCTCAAAGCACATAGTACACAGCTGTAACTGTGAGGACTAGACCACGTGGCGCTCAATGCGCGGGGAAATCGTGCACTCGTCACGCAGAGTCAGAGGCGCGTAGTGACCTTGATCTTGCCTGTTACATTACATGTTTGTCAACAAATATAAAGCCCCCTGCATCTTAATTTGTACAAATCCCATACACCGATAATAGTGAACGGTTTGTTTTGGCACGTCTAAGGCGCAGCGATTCGCTGTGCAGAGTTGCGTCCCTTGGGCACGCCAGAAACCTATGATTGTGGGTTCGAATCCTGGTTCGCCCCGATTATGTTTCTAGGTTTGTCAGCACCATACCCGTGCTTGTGGGTTTCACCGAAGTGGTAAACATCTAAGACCTGCGTCATTTCATGCTTTCCTCCCACATCAAGCTGACACGCCTTGATATAACTGGAATACTGTTAAAAGCGGCGTTAAACCCAACTCACTCACTCACTAGCATGGGTGGGAGGCCTGTTTGCACGCTTTTTCTTGTCCTTCTTAGGAAAGGTCTAGCATTCAGCACAGCCTCTCTATCAGGCATATACAGGAACACAGCTATGATGCTTCCGACAGGTGATGGATTGTTTTTACGTTGGAAATCAGAGACCGGAAGACGATGTACAACTTTAAAATATATATCGTTGACGCGTTGTTCAGAGAATTTCATAGATTGTATAAGACTGTATCTCAAGATATTGTTCATTAAGTCTGCAAGTCTTTTTTCAGAGGCAATCACTATATCTTCAACCGAAGCACTCGAACGAGTTCCACTCGCGGACATATGTTTTCGGTTGGCGTTTCGTTCATCAACTACAAGTCAACATCTTCAACAATCACAAAATAACACTTTCGTCAGGTAAGATGAATATGTTTTGTATTATCTTTGTATTACGAAGGTTGTGTAGTTTAGGAGAGGACAGATGTCATTAGATTTTCGGAAGTCAAATACTCCTTAGATTCAACACCAGGGACGGGCCGTGCGCCAATGGCGTTACACCACGTTTCCAGACGAATCAAGGTTTTACCTCCGATTCACAAACTGTAGAATATGTTATTCGAGACATAGTGGCGAGCGGTATGCCAGGGCAACAATAATTGAACATGATCGTTATGGGGGCGGCAGTGTCATGGTGTGGGGCGGTATCCAGGGTTAGAAACTAACAGTTTTTGTCCACAAGTCCTTATAATGATAACATATAGCAAAACCCTTAAAATGGACTAATTTCTACTCGTCCTTAGGATACCTTTACTATTGGGCAGTTTGGTAGGGACCACAGGAATAGTGCCAATTTCTAACGCTGGTATCACACATGACAGGCGAACTGATGTGGTTTTTGTGGAAGAAAATTTGACTGGCCAGCGATATGTTGACATGTTGATGACATTTTGCGTCCTTCCGTTGTTCCATTCGCTAGAATTATCGGCAGAGAGTTTGAACTGCAAGATGACAATGCCAGACCACATCGTGACCAAGTCGTCACTGATTATATCTGACGAGAAGGCATACGGACATTGGATTGGCCTGCTAAGTCCCCTGACATGTCCCAATTTAGAGCATCTGTGGGATGTTTTGTTTGTTCGTTTGTTGTTTAACGCCGCACTTAGCAATATTCCATCTATATGACGTCGGTCTGTAAATAATCTGGACCAGACAATCCAAACAATCCAGCCCGAGAACATCCCACAGGACCCGTGAACATCCGGGTTAGAATAGGTCTTCAGCAATCCATGCTTGCTGTAAAAAGGCTGTTGGGATCGAGCGGTCAAGCTCGCTGACTTGGTTGATCAATTTTACCCATGTCATGGTTCAGTGCCGCTATGTTCCCCGACTTTATTTCCGATACTGCTCGGTAAACTCCATCGGCCGTCATTGTACAGTGTGATCATTTCGTGTTAGAGAATTAGTGGCCCAACTATTTTTCTCTCTTGTAATCGAATGACACTCTCAAACCATGTAATGACTGGATGTATGTTGTCTCTCATATGTTCGTTACTGTAATCTTGTATTGAAAATGTTTTTGTAGTTATGATTTGCAAACATTAAGGGAATTTAAATCTACATTCAGAAATTTCTCATTTATCATATAATGGGTAGGTTTCTCGGCAGGATAAAGCCAACGGATAAATACGATATCCGTTGGGGTCATATGCGGATAGAGATGCAAATATCAAAGGTCAAGTAGGGACTACTTTCACTGCTTATAAACAAACATGGCGTCGCCCTCGTCATTCGGCGATCGAGTCAGAATTAACCATCGGGAATCTGGATAAACTACAGGGATAATTGCTATCATTATCAAAAGAACAGTCTATTATACTGAAAATCAGTGTCATACTGTTACGTAGCTAAGGCATTTTATAAGTTTTGGCAACTTTGGAGATATAAATTTCGAAACAATTTTGCGAGGGCACGAGGCCTAGACAAGCGGGATCAGTAGCCATATCTGTGCTTGTAGACCTCTGCGGCTTGAAACCTTCTCCACGAATTAAAATAGTTGGATTTGGCCGAAATATGTTTGAATTGTTACCTTGTTTCGTTTTGTCGCTGTATATACATCTGACTACACTTCTGAACTTTATGACAGGACAGACCGACTGTCAACAACGTCTGACCGTGGCCGTGACGTCTCATAGACTAGGGTTAGAGTAGCTTCCCTTTGACAAAGGGCAGTTACTCTAGCGGACAGACCGATGGATTGCCGCGAAAGGCAACTAAAAACAATTGTTGTTTTGCGTATATGTTGCTTCGCCACTGTATAAGAAACAGATTTCAGTTAGAACTATATTGGCTACTGTCACTGCCCGACTGACACATCACTTACCCTGTGACGTAATAAATATTAATGCGCGCATTCCAGGAAAACTCGCAATGTTTCGGTAATGTTTGTGAGAGAGGGAAAGCGATTTTGAAGCACAGAATTAAAGAATGACATTATATGATAAAGAGGTTATCACGCTTGTGTGTTTGGGGATAGTAAATATCCTGTATTAGGAATAAACACTATGTATTTAGCTCGCCAAGGCTCGCTAAATACAATGTTTATTCCTAATGCAGGATATTTACCATCCCCAAACACACTCGCGTGATAACCTCTATGTATTTATGGTCATTTTTGCCTCTTATAATTGTACATAGCTCGTTGTGAATCGTTAATGATATGGTTGGATAGCTTATGTTCAGCGCTTTATTTTGATACTTACATCTCCATTCTCCAGTGTAGATATTGTAGTTAGTTTGCTATTCGTGTTTTCCCTGTGTTTAGAAACATACGTTGGCTTGTCGTCCTGTCAATGGGACGGTCGAGGAGAGGGTGTCTTCTTATGTCCATTACAAAAATCTGACATAAATCCTGACAAGACAAATGAGGATATAGCTATGTAACGTTGATTACTGGGAGTAATAGCATGAGTGAGTGAGTGTTTGTTTGTTTGTTGTATATATACTCAGCAATATTCCAGCTATATGTAGCGGTCTGTAAATAATCGAGTCTGAACCAGACAAAGTGAGTGAGTGAGTGAATACAGTGCTGTGCAGATTCAGCAATATTTCAGTAATATAATGACAACAGATAATAGAAGTGGGGTATTACATAGAAGCTAGTGATACATCTCGGGTACATGAAAAACAAATTGCAAAATATGTGAATAACTCAAAAAAACTTATATAAAAATCACTTTATTTTACAAAAGTAGTTCTTATGAGATTTTCATAATGTACATAAGGTCACCATAATTACAAAGTGTATGTTTATGTACAATGTAAGAACAATCCAGTATAAAATTGTCAAACCCTATTTCTATATAGTCATTAATTTAAAAAAGAAATACCTTTTCAAAATGAATCATATGAATAAAAGTTAAGTAAAGCATTGATATCAACCGTAATTCAACAAAATTCTTTTGCAACTATTACATAACAGTACACATGTACTAAGAAAATAGTCTTCAAACTAACTCTAAAAGCACTAATGGTACATCGTCACTAGCAAGTATTTTAATAACACATAATATTCAATCAATTAGAAATTTTAGTTTTACATGTTTTTACACATTTCTCCAAATCATATTTCCCCGTCAAAATCAGGATTGAGTTTGATTAAGTTTTCCTTAAGCACTGGGAAATACATAGGAACTGGCAAACTAGCACCTTAATGAAAACTTCCTCTAACAATAACTCGAAGGCAAGCTACACAGATGCAACTACGTCCACTGATTTCTGACAAATATTACATATATGATTTGTGGTTATGAACATATTATGTACACATAATATCTGGGTATAAAATATGATATTTACAATTCTAGAATGAGAAATGTTGGATATTCACGTTCTGGGCAAGATGTTCAAGATTGTTAGCAAATAAAAGAATGACCTGTTCTTGTTTTCAGATTGGTCATTTTGAGTTGATGAGTTAAGTTAACACATGACTTGCATTTATCATGTATAAATGTTTTAGCAAACCTCACATTTCTAATTAATGAAAAAAGAAGTGTATCACATGTTGAAAATTTCTCTTCGGCCAATATTAATTTCTCGTTAATGTTCTTACAACCAATATAACATGCATGAAAGAATGAAATAAATTTGATGTCAAATTTATTTAGTTTAACATCATGCCATTTTCATGAAGAATCATATCAACTTATTTACAAAAGATGGAATTCTTGCATACATTGTATTGCATCATTCTCTTCAAAACCAATGAAGGTCATATCAGTATTACCTATGTGTATTTGTTAAAAATGAAGAACTGAATACGTTCATCGAAAATGAACAAAATAAGTAACGTTTCCAATTTTACAAAATGTCTTAATTTTGATTTCTTAACTATCATAACACATATTGAGCATGTTTATCAGGTTGACTGAACTGAAATTTAGCATTACTGCTTTGAAAAGAGAGACTAACAGATCAAATCATCCGAAAACCTCTTCTGAGGACACTATAACTTGAAGAACTGTACAGCAGCAAATAACGCTGCAACAAACAGGAAGCTGGGTGACATTGACATGGCCGAATCTGGGGACACGCACGTATATTTGTGAAGGTTTTCTATTTGGGCAACAAAGTCTTCTCCGAGCCAGTCGAGATAGTTCTGTCTGTCGTCTGGGATCCTCATGAGTCGCACAGCTGCATCCGTGAACATCAGGTCCGAGTACCACGTCCCCGAGTCAAACATGTGGAAGTCTCCATCACTGGAAACACACAACAGATTGAGTAAAATCAAACCTCCCCATCGCTTAAGGTCTGTTTGTTGTTTAATGCCACTCTCAGCAATATTCCAGCTGTATGATGGCAGTCGTAATTAATCCAGTCTGGACACAACAGTCCATGTGATTGATATCAGTGAGTGAGTGAGTTGGTTTAACGCCGCTTTTAACACTATTCCAGTTTATTCCAGGTTTCTGGCGTGCCCAAGGGACGCAACTCTGCACAGCGAATCGCTGCGCCTTAGATGACTGGGCCACCTGTGCCCCTGTGATTGATATCATGAGCATGGATCAATGCAATTGGGATATGATGACATGGATCAACCAAGTCAATAAGCCTGACCAGTAGGTTGTCAGTCGCCTCTTATAACAAGCCTGGGTTGCTGAAGACCAATTCTAACATGGATCTCTGTTGAATTTTTTATGTCACAGTCAGCATTTTCACAGCAATGTAAAGAAGGCCTGTAAATGATCTGGGCTAGACAAACAAGTGGTTGACATCATGAGCAACTTCTCATGCCAGTGAGGAATGATGATATGCAATCAATCAAGTCAGAGAGCTTGACCACCCGATACAGTTTGGTTGCCTCTTAAGATAAGCAATACTGATTTAAAGGAAGAGAGCATATGAATGTCGACTTCTTTATTATAAGGAACACAACGTATTGGAGTATATACTTATTCCATCAGGTAAAGGAGTCGATTGATGAAGGATTAAGTATACACTCTGAAAACATTGTGCTCCTCATAATAGTGAGTGAGTGAGTGAGTATGGTTTTACACCACTTTTAGCAATATTCCAGCAATATCATGGCGGGGGACACCAGAAATGGGCTTCACACATTGCACCCATGTCGGGAATTGAACCCAGGTCTTCGGCGTGACAAGAGAAAGCTTTAACCACTAGGCTACCCGACCAAGCCTCCTCATAATAATAAAACTTGACTTCCATAAATTCTCTTCCTTATGTGTATCCCTTCTAAATGCCATCCAAAGACTTGATACTGAGTTTGGTTTAATGTCACTTTGAACACTGGTTCTATCCTATCACAGCATATCAGCTGGAGGAAAGCCAGAAATGGTGCAGGTCTTAGACGTTTAACACTTTGGTGAAACACAAGAAACAATATTAGTTGGGAGAAATGTACCCTATCATTAAATCAAATGTAATCAGACCATGATATTGTTCAGTTTAAAACAACTTTCATTAAAATTGTGAATTTCCATTTAACATCCACTTACATGTCAGAAGAGAAGAATTGTTGTCCATAGTTAACCAGGTTCCAGAAAATCTCACGCTCTTGTGCACTCTTGAATTCTGTAGAGCCAAATTAATAGACTAATAAACATTACAAAGATATAAGCCAGTTACATAACAGATCATGGTAATGACAAGAATAGCAACTGCAATAACAATAGTACATGCAATATATGGTGCCTTGTACACAAACCTAACACATTTACTTCGTCTGAGTTGGGTTTAACACCCCTTTGAAAAGCACTCCAGTTATATCACGGCATGCCTTAAGTGATGCAGGTCTCCGAAGTTTACCACTTGTATGGGTATGGTGCTGTCATACCTAGAAACATAATTGGGGTGAACCAGGATTCGAACCCACAACCATAGGATTCTGGCGAGCCCAAGGGACGCAACTCTTCACACCTTAGACGACTGGGCCACCTGTTCCCCCATTAGCATTGTAGCGAGGGATCACTGTATCTCTGTTCTTTCACAAACAGTTTATCCCTCCTGACAACTGACTTAGTAGAAGTGACAACAGCATTGGGCCACCTGTTCCCCCATTAGCATTGTAGCGAGGGATCACTGTATCTCTGTTTTTTCACCAACAGTTTATCCCTCCTGACAACTGACTTACTAGAAGTGACAACAGCATTGGGCCACCTGTTCCCCCATTAGCATTGTAGCGAGGGATCACTGTATCTCTGTTTTTTCACCAACAGTTTATCCCTCCTGACAACTGACTTACTGGAAGTGACAACAGCATTGGGCCACCTGTTCCCCCATTAGCATTGTAGCGAGGGATCACTGTATCTCTGTTCTTTCACTAACAGTTTATCCCTCCTGACAACTGACTTACTAGAAGTGACAACAGCATTGGGCCACCTGTTCCCCCATTAGCATTGTAGCGAGGGATCACTGTATCTCTGTTCTTTCACTAACAGTTTATCCCTCCTGACAACTGACTTACTAGAAGTGACAATAGCATTGGGCCACCTGTTCCCCCATTAGCATTGTAGCGAGGGATCACTGTATCTCTGTTCTTTCACAAACAGTTTATCCCTCCTGACAACTGACTTACTGGAAGTGACAATAGCATTGGCTGGGACAGTCCCGAGATGGCACTGGGCGAACTTGTCTATGTTCACCCGGCTGCCGTCTTTGCACAACAGCTCGTAGTCGTCTGACCGCCGGTTCCTCGCCCACTTGGCATGGTTACGTCCATCAGTGTTGTCTCTCACTGTCAAGTGACGCACAAACGATACGTCACCACCACCTGGATAAAGCAGAGGCATAACTGTGTTCATGTATCAATAGTGGACAGTTTTTTGTTTGTTTGTTGTTTAACGCTGCACACAGCAACATATTCCTTTTAAGGCAAGTATGGGTTGCTGAAGACCTATTCTACCCCGGAATCTTCACGGGTCAATGTTGGACAGAGTTGTACATAAAACAAATGTTCACTCAAACAAATTATATGAGAGTGTTGTGCCTAAAAGCCCGAACAAATTTCATTTATGTTTGTTTGTTTATTGTTTAACGCTGCACCCAGCAATATTCCAGCTATATGATGGCGGTCAGTGAATAATAATTGAGTCTGCACCCGACAATCAAGTGATTGGTATCATGAGCATAACAGTTTAAAACTCTGAGGCTTGATGAGGATTTTTAAAGCGTTATCGACACGTGTTGAGATATTTTATATTAAAAGACACATTCTTCGAACTTTTCCAGTTTGTAAACAGTAATAACCAGTGTCATGAGTGCAAAAGAACAGCAGGAAGACTAGTGATGTCATTCTATTGTGAAGTTCTGGTAGCTGATGATGTCACAATGGTCTGTAAAGCATTGGGATGCAATATGTTGAAGCTATATCTCACACGAGACAATCTCACCCAAGCAATATCTCCTGTGGAAGCCAGTTTTGGCTGACAAATAATTTTGACCTCTTTGTTTGTTTGTTTGTTTGTTTGTTTGTGTAACATGTCTAATGACTAAATCAGCAGTACTCCAGCTATATGGTGGCAGCCTGTAAATAATTGAGTCTGATACAATGACTTAATCAACCATTAATCCACAGAGTCAGCTCTTACAACCAGCACGTTGCTGGGACCTTTTCGAACCAGGAATCCCAACAGGGTTTGTTACGTATCAACAAGGTGACAGTTGGACTCACGTTCCACGAGACATCTGAAGGCGCCGCTGGCCCCGTAATACTGCTCCTCACTGTTCCGCTGACACTTCCTGTAGCCCCCAGCGGCACAGCCCTCGCAGAGGCTGATGGGAGTTTGTTTGGGGTTGTACTCCTTGTCCAGGGCCCCCGGGATGCAGCTCCGCACAAACAGCTGGCCTGAAACATTATTGGACAGTGGACATGTTTACGCTGTAGTCAGCAATATCTAGGCTATGTCATGGTCCCTTGTAAACAGAGAAACAGACAGAAATAGACCACAAGACCACATATCTGTGAGTGAGTGACTGAGTTTGGTTTCACGCCACTTTTAGCAATATTCCATGGCGGGGGACACCAGCAATGGGCTTCACACATTGTACCCATGTTGGGAATCGAACCCGGGTCTTCGGCATGATAAGTGAAAGCTCTAACCACAAAGCTACCCCACCGTCCCACAGATCTGAGAAATGAACCACATTGGTCCATCTAAATAAAAACTAAATCATTTACTCCAATACATTACTCAATTTATTTTCAAAGATGGTGCCCTGATATGTCCTATGTTATAATTATTTGTCCCACACATACCAATATTTTCAAAGATGGTGCCCTGATATATCCTATGTTATAATTATTTGTCCCACACATACCAATATTTTCAAAGACGGTGCCCTGATATGTCCTATGTTATAATTATTTGTCCCACACATACCAATATTTTCAAAGATGGTGCCCTAAATTGTCTTGTTTGGAAACACATACCGATATTTTCAAAAATGGTATCCTAATGTGTCTTGTTTGGAAAGTCATACTGATATTTTCAAAGATAGTTCCCCAATATTATTTATCCAACACATACCAATATTTTCAAAGATAGTGCAGTCGTCTGGAAGAAACTGCTCCGTCTCGATGTAAATGTTGATAGGAATTATCCACCCATCGCCACGCCCTATGCCAGGCTGACACGCCCGCTTGCCTGCAAGTCAATATTCAACCATAAGTCATCTTGAGATATCTTGTCATGGGGATACAAGTTTCAACATCAATAGACATAGTGAAATCGATAAAGTATAACTGGTGAAAGTTGTGTTGGGAAGGATGGGGAAATCTTTGACTTCCCAAAACACTGAAGGTAATCCAAGAACACCTACAGCATATCAAGAATAGGTTTATGGTAAAGAAAAGTATTGACTTTCATGTCTCTGTACACATTAAGTAGAAATAAGATACCCAACACTAGTGATTACAATATACACATCACTCTCATCAAACACAGACCTGTCTGTGTCCAACATGTTTGCTGCTCAGAGTAGGTGAAGCTCTCCTAAAATCTGCCCACCTTTCATATTGAAGAGTGTTGTGATCTTGTCTGTTTTCCGTGCTGCTGCCACCACCTTGAAACTCATGGACATATCACCATAGTCCTCCGCCGCAATAGGGATCAGGTTAAACCGTCTGAACACAAGTCAAACCAAAGATTTATATACACAGCAAGTCTTACTGCATAGGTCTATGGAGTCCTGGACAAACGATTGAGTGAGTGAGTTTGGTTTAACGCTGCTTTTAACAGTATTCCAGTTATATCAAGGCGTGTCAGCTTAATGTGGGAGGAAAGCCCGATGTGATGCAGGTCTCAGATGTTTACCACTTCGGTGAAACCCACGAGCACAGGTATGGTGCTGACAAACCCAGAAACATAATCGGGGCGAACAGGGATTCGAACCCACAATTATAGGTTTCTGGCGTGCCCAAGGGACGCTACTCTGCACAGCTAATCGCGGCGCCTCAGACGACTGGGCCACCCATGCCCCCGACAAACGATTGAAACATTTGACAAAATGAAGAAGGTTGTCAAATAATGACTTTTCAGCATTATCACAGGTCAACGGCCTCTCGTACAGGTATGAAAAGTTGAAGTTTTTACAATATTTTTTTTAATCATTATTTATCATATTTATTGTTATAATGCGAAAACCACAGCAACCTCCACACCACTACTGACCTGCCAGCAACGTAGATATCTCCGGCATCTAGATTCATGAGGTCCGCGTCTCCCTTAGCGATCATGTCCATGCACTGGGTTGTGTTGGCGCCCAGCAGACAGTCAATCTCGGGCTTCAGGTCCTTGGCCTTGAACGCCATGATCATGGACTCGCACTTGATCTTCTCGGCGATGGAGATGACGCACCAGCGGGCCATGTCCAGCGGGCACCGACGCATCTTGTTCAATACATCAATGAAATCAGGGCCTGTTGACAGGTAGAATTGAAAACACTCTGTCAGATAAAGAATTCAAACTGAGGTATATTAACAGCATGCAATATGTAACCATGGTAACTGAGCCAGAACAGTGCCCCAGAAAACTGTTGCAATCATTGTGTATTGACTCACATGTAATCCTTCTCATTGAGTATTTATCTATATCATCTATATGTGGATATTCAATATATACTCCAAAGGGTGCCCATAATGGGGTTAGGTGAAATGGGGTTTAACGTTGCATCCAAGATTATTGTACTTATATAGCGATGTACATGTGCGTGTGCGTGTGTGAGCTGACCAGTCCTTGTTTTAGTCCCATAATGCCGAGCGCCAGACAGGGTAACAACAAGTACCATCTTTTAACGTCTTTAGGTATGATGCGGTCGAGGATCAAACCCCGGATGCTCTTCCACTAGACCACGGAAGCAGTCCAGGTGCCCATCTACTGGATATTTTAAACTAATTATATCTAATAAGCATCTGTCCTTGTTCCCCCCCCCCCCAAGTGTTTCACATGATGCATAAGCTAACAACAACAACAACAAGTATTTGTCACAGAGTGACGAAATATCCCCCGCCATATACACCATAGTACCAAATATGAAGACAATCCAGCGATTAGTTCTTGAGATATTGTGGCAACACCGTTTTCCAACTCCAAAAACAGATTTGCCTGCTGTGACCTTGAAAATGGGGTCAAGGTCACCAAATCTGACAGGTGTATGCGGTGTCTGTATATACACTATAGTTCCAAATATGAAGACAATCCAGCGATTAGTTCTTGAGATATCGCGGCAACACCGTTTTCTAACTCCAAAAGCAGATTTGCCTGCTGTGACCTTGAAAATGGGGTCAAGGTCACCAAAACCGACTGGTGTCTGCGGTGTCTGTATATACACCATAGTTCCAAATATGAAGACAATCCAGTGTTTAGTTCTTGAGATATCGCGGCAACACCGTTTTCCAACTCTAAAAGCAGATTTGTCTGCTGTGACCTTGAAAATGGGATCAAGGTCACCAAAACCGACTGGTGTCTGCGGAGTCTGTATATACACCATAGTTCCAAATATGAAGACAATCCAGTGTTTAGTTCTTGAGATATCGCGGCAACACCGTTTTCCAACTCTAAAAGCAGATTTGTCTGCTGTGACCTTGAGAATGGGATCAAGGTCACCAAAACCGACTGGTGTCTGCGGAGTCTGTATATACACCATAGTTCCAAATATGAAGACAATCCAGTGTTTAGTTCTTGAGATATCGCGGCAACAAACAGGTGGGACGTACGGACGGACGTACGGACGGTCGTGAATACTATATCCCCCGCTTCGTGCTTTCGCGCGGCGGGGGATAACAACAACAACATATAGCTAAGTTACTATAGCATAAGCCTGTACCTGTTTTGTGCATAATTCACAATTACCACATTTATTCATTACTGGAACAGCCTCAGCTCATGAGCTACTTTTAACATGTTTATGGACAAACCTGGGTATACTGAATGTATCTACCAACTTGCAGGGAAATATGGAACTTATGGAACTGTTAACAAAGTTCCAATCATATCAAGCAAAGGATAATGTCCTATCAATATTTTCTGAAAATCAGGAAAATGTCCTATTCTTGTATTGACATCGCTACTTTGTACAAACACCCTAACCACCAGGCTCCCTGACCTCCCCGATGTCCACATGCAAACATGCTGTATAATTCATATAGTGAGTAAGAGTAAGGTGTTTACTGGGGTCTTAGGACCCATGAAGATCGGGGTTAAAAGAGGTCTTTGGCAACCCATGCTTGCTGTAAAAGGATACTATGCTTTTTGTAACAGGCGACTAACGGGATCAGGTAGTCAGACTCGCTGACCTGGTTCATGCATGTCATCATCTCCCAACTGCGTAGATCGATGATCATGATATCAATCACTGGATTGTCTGGTCCAGACTTGATTATTTGTAGACTGACGTAATACAGCTGGAATATTGCTGAGTGCAGCATTTAACAAAAACAAACGAACAACAGTCTTAGCGATATTCCAACAATTCCATAACAGGATCAACCACAATAACATGACCACGAGCAATGACCACTTGTGGAATGGAACCCAGACCTCTGGGGTGATGGGTGAGTGAGCGAGTATGATTTTACGCCGCTTTTAGCAATATTCCAGCAATATCACGGCGGGGGACACCAGAAATGGGCTTCACACATTGTACCCATGTCGGGAATCGAACCCAGGTCTTCGGCGTGACGTGCAAACGCTTTAACCACTAGAACGAACACCTTAACCGGCTACTCCTGCCCCTTGATAAATCACTGAAATCATTCCTCAATCTGTGGCCATCAAGGTCACTTACCAACCCATTCGTAGTAACTGGCGTCAATGTCCTCTATCCTTTTGGTTGTATCCGAAAACATCAGGTTCTTCCTTGTGTATAGTTTGCCTGAATCATCGTAAATCTTCTCAGATTCGAAGATCTTGAAAGTGTCGTAATATGGCCCGCCAAATTTGAACCATTCCACAGCCTGAAGGATGAATCTTTTGAAGCGATCGACAACGTCTTGCTCTCGTACAGCAGACGTCATTACAATGTGGGAGGGAATAATTCCCCAGTTACATTGTTCAAATTCTGTCACAGGACGCTGGCTGCCATCTCGACAAAGTAGCTGGAAGTTCTGTAACATCGACGATAATCAGTTGCAATTTACGGCATGTGAACAATAAACTATGACTATGAAGGTCAAGGGCATGAATATGATGAACAAGCTACAGTAACTTATTTTTTGTGAAATATTTTTCTATGGCAGTATTATTTAAAACAGATGGCAAGCTGACCTGCATGGAAATTAACAAGATAATTACGAGCCAATCAGACAGCTAGGTTTCAAGACAAGAAATGATGAAGGTCTGCAAATAATCAAGTCTGGATCAGACAACCAGTGGGTGATATTATGAGCAACAATCCAGTCGGGGTACAATGATACACAATCAAGCCATCAAGTCATAAAGCCAGACTAACAGATCTGTAAAGTCACAATGCATAACATGCACAGTGAAAGATCGTACCACATCATTTTATGGTCTCTGTTAATACAAACATGCCATGTTTGTTATAGATCCCCACTGAAAACTGCCATTTCTACAATATCCCTCACATCCTCATAACCTAACCAGCTATCCTAGCACATGTACAACACATTCAATCATCATCAGAAATCCCCAACTCACTTACAGTGCATATACTCGCTATCACTTCGGTTAACTAGAGTTATCTCCCTTAGACTTTAAATGACAGCTGCTAACACTAAGTTGCTGGAGACATTTTCCTTGATTAAACACCTGGGCGTATATTTCTTTCAGACACACTTTACCCCCTGTGCTTAATCACAAAGATAATAATGGAGAGAACCTGTGCATAAAAACTTCCTAGTGAATCCAGCGTTTACTAGATACCACAAAGTTTATTCAAGGCCCTCCGTTTAATCGAGGAAAATTCTAACTTGAATTCCCTAGGGGATGACATGTATTGATACAGGATCCCCAGGCTCTGTCCCTACATGCCAACAAGTGAGTGAGTGAGTGAGTGAGTGAGTGAGTATGGTTTTACGCTGCTTTTAGCAATATTCCAGCAATATCAAGGCAGGGGACACCAGAAAAGGGCTTTACACAGCATGCCAACAAGAGAACAGGTCATGAATGGAAGATGGTACAAGAAACTTACATCAGGTGTGAACTGTGATCCTGGCTGTGATGTCATCATTTGGACAGTGTCATGGCGGAGGAAAGTGAGGTCACCGCGTCCGCTGGCCATACAGTTGAAGGCTCCGTCGAACCCGGCCGAGGGATCACTGGTGGTGCATCTCTCCTCCCCTGCCCCACTGCAGGACTCGCACACGGAGGTGGGGTTGTTGCCTGGGGGAGAGTGAGAGAGTTACTACATAGTCAATAGTGAGTGAGTGAGTGAGTGAGTGAGTTGGGTTTAACGCTGCATTTAACATTATTCCAGTCTTATCAGGCCATTAGGTTAATGTGGGAGGAAAGCCTTTAGTGATGCAGGTCATGGACATTTACCACTTCGGTGAAACCCACAAGCATGGGTATGGTGCTGACAAACTTAAAAACATAATCGGGGCAGACCGGGATTCGAACCCACAATCATAGGTTTCTTGCGTACCCAAGGGACGCACCTCTGCACAGCAGATCACAGCGCCTTAGACGAGTGGGCCAACTGGGCCAACCGTGCCCCCACATAGTCCATACAGTCAGCACTTACTACACAGTTACTACAGTTACTACTGTCATTGGTTACTATCCTCAGGAGTTACTACAGTGCGCCAACTACTACTGTATTACTGCACTGAACGATATCACCGATTTCGTATAGTTGTCTCTAGTGTTGTGTCTGTGTTTATGATTAAATATGCAATCTGTTTTATTGTTGACAGATTAATAATTATATTAATAAGAATAGACTTCAACATGTTTTTGCAATTATGGAGTTATAAACACAAAAACTGGTGTTCACACTTTGCATAAATCCACTACATGTATTTACAACAGCGTGCACCCATCAGGTTTTCACGCTGATCATTTGGGTGTTCTTTAAACTTTATTATTATTATACTATACATTTATATAGCGCGGGTAACTAGGTACTAGTGTCTGCTCAAATGCGGTGTATTAAAACATATTGCAACATTCCGGAAACTGTCAAAATCAGCAACCCTGCTATAACTACAGTGACTGCAGCACAGGAGACCTCACCGAAAGGGTTGTAGAAGGAAGTGAGAGCTCCAGGTAGGCACATCCTGTTGAAGAAGCTGGTAACGGATTTGACGACGGCGTTACACTCTTCCACTGGAATTCTGTTCCTGTCCAACAGTTCAGCAATGGGATACAAATACCCAGCACTCATTCCGATACCTGCAACACAATAAGGGTCAATAAGATGTCAGGTAAGGTGAAATGGGGTTTCACGTTGCGTCCAAGATAATTGCACTTATATAGCGACGTGTGTGTGTGTGTGTGTGTGTGGTGTGTGTGTGTGTGTGGTGTGTGGTGTGTGTGTGTGTGTGTGTGTGTGTGTGTGTGTGTGTGTGCTTCCGGACTGATGCCGATTTATAGTGCTAGCACACTGAGATACCATGCCGCAGTTTAAAATGAATACCCCACTCAGACACAGTGACTGACTACGAGCTGACCAGTCCTTGTTTTAGCCCCTTAATGCTGAGGCAGGGTAACAACAAGTAGTATTTTTTAACATTTTTGGGTATGATGTGGCCAGGGATCGATCCCACGACCTTCCACTCTCCAGGTAAATGCTCCATCCACAAAACCATGGAGGCGGTCAGGTGTTGAAAAGAGATGGATGCTATGCTCATGGTACTGTTCAACAAAGGTAGTTCAACAGAGGTAGTTCAACAGAGGTTGTTCAACAGAGGTTGTTCAACAAAAGTAGTTCAACAGAGGCAGTTCAACAAAGTAGTTCAACAGAGGTAGTCCAACAGAGGTAGTCCAACAGAGGTAGTTCAACAAAAGTAGTTCAACAGAGGCAGTTCAACAAAGGTAGCCCAACAAAGGTAGTCCAACAAAGTTAGTTCAACAGAGCCACCTTAGTACCACCCAGTTGATGTTTGTAAAATAACATGACTGAAAAAAAAAAGATTACCATGTTTTATGGTTTGTTTGTGTGCTGCTTAATGCCACACTTGGAAATATTTCAGCTATATGACGGTGGCCTGTAAATAATTGAGTCTGGACCAACACAAGCCTCGATCCATGCAATTCCGACACAATGACATGCAGTCAACAATTCATTAACAACCTGTTCCCTTTACTTTAGTCAAGTCTATACCTGGAATCCCGACCTGTGAGGATCCGGGGTAGAATAGGTCTTCAGCAACCCTCGCTTGCTGTAAAATGCTGCTTGTCGTATGAGGCGACTAATGGGATCGGGTGGTCAGACTTGCTGACTTGGTTGATGCATGTCATTGATTCCAATTGTGTGGATAGATGCTCATGATGTCAATCACCGGATTGTCAGGTCCAGACTTGATTATTTACAGACCGCCTTTATATAGCTGGAATATTGCTGAGTGCGGCGTTAAACAACAAACTTTCATGAGGTGGCACAATACTTCAGTAAAGAAGAAAATAGTAAAAGAGAACTAGAAAGTCAAAACCAATTGGTATATTGGTAGAAATCTAAAGGTACAATGTTTTCAGATTACCTGGGAAGCAGATATTTTTCTTGTACAAGGCATCAAGGCGGACAGGGTTACTCTGTCGGTAGACTGCCACGGCGTAGTAGGTCGGCTTGTCCTTCACAACTATAACACAAGGCAAAGTACATGAGTGAGTGAGTGAGTGAGTGAGTGAGTGAGTGAGTGAGTGAGTGAGCAGAATGTGATGTGAGAGGAAAGCCTCAAGTTCTTTGACATTTACCACTTTGATGGAAACTGTCTGGTGCTGACAGACCAAGAAAAATTAATCTGGGGAAATCTATGATTTGAACCCATGACAATTGGTTTCTCACAAGCATAAGGAAAAACTCTACACCGAGGACAAATTGTTGCCATGGAAACGTAAAAAATTTAAATTTCTAAAATTCCTCAATAGCAAAAGGCACCAGTTCAGTATGTGTCTGGTAAACATGCAAAGTTTTGTTAGAAAGTATTGAATGGGTTTTGAGTTATGCTCTGGAAACGAACTCTACCCTTTGATAAGGTCAAGGTGAGCAAAAACCCAAGGTCAGCAGTGATCAGTGGACATGATATTATCCTAACAGCAGCTTAAACAAAATATAAAATAGTCTTTGAGTAAACTGAAACTCACTGTCTTCATAATTTTCTGCCAATATAGGCATCATGTTGTGATATCTGCCAGAGTAGTAACCTTGACCTGGATCCAAGGTCATCAGGTCAGCTTGGTCATTTTCGATCTGCTTCATGCACTCAAACCTGAAAACATGGTTAAACAAATGTTTAGCTGAAAATAAGTTATCTTGGAAATCGTGTGTTAATGAAAAGGCATGATGGGAATCTTTGATAGAGAGAAAGAATGATTGAGCATGGTTTTACGCCGCTTATAGCATGTTATAGCAATATTCCAGCAATATCATGGCGGGGGACACCAGAATTGGGCTTCACGCATGTACCCATGTCGTCAATCAAACCCGGGTCTTCAGCGTGACAGGCGAACGCTTTAACCACTAGGCTACCCAACCGCCCCAGTATGAAAGAGAATAGTGGCTTATACACTATACCAGGTGTACACTGACACATTTCAGGAACATCCAGGATACCGGAGTAGCCTGAATCCTTAAGGGTGCTTGTGAAGGTCAGGGAAAAAGTCAGGAATGGTGAGGTGAGCTGAAATGGGGTTTAACGTCGCGTCCAAGATTATTGCACTTATATAGCAACGTGCATGTACGTGTTTGTGTTTGTGTGGCTGCTTGTACTAGTCCGGACTGATGCCTATTTATAGTGCTAGCTCACTGAGATACCATGCCGCAGTTTAACATGAATACCCCACTCAGTATACTGACTCCGAGCCGACCAGTCCTTGTTTTAGCCCTTAATGTCGAGCGCCAGACAGGGTAACAACAAGTACCATCTTTTAACGTCTTTTGGTATGACGCGGCCAGTCAGGAATGGACTCTATAGAATGTTACTGTGTTATATAGCTTTTTTTATTACCATATATACAGCAACTAGTCCGAAGTCCAGTTTGGTAAAATGTTGTTTGCTCAAGTAATAACCATGATAACAGTACATATGTCAGCAAGTTACAATCTACTGAACAAAATGCCAAGGACAAATTCCTTCCAGTAGACTCAGAATGTTTTGCCGCAGAATGCTATTTGTCAGTGAGTGAGTTGGGTTTAACGCCGCTTTGAAGAGTATTCTAGTCATATCACAGCGTGTCAGACTGATTTGGGAGGAAAGTCCCAAGTGATGCAGGTCTCAGACATATACCACTTTGGTGAAATCCAGGAGCACGGGTATGGTGCTGACAAACCTAGAAACATGATCGGGGCGAACCAGGATTGGAAGCCATGATCATAGGTTTCTGGTGTGCCTAAGGGATGCAACTCTGCACAGCGAATTGCAGCGCCCAAGACAACTCCCACTATGTACTAGTAACTAATAAATGTCCGATCATATAAATTATGGTTTAATGCATATCCCAGTGGGGGACACCAGAAATGGACTTTACACATTGTACCAATGTGGGGAATAGAACCTGGCCATGGCATGACGAGTGAACACCTTAACCACAAGGCTACCCTACTGCTGTGATCTGGCAGAACACACTGTGATGGGCGGGGGAAGCTACTTACACGTCCACACTTCGGACACATGTGAATGTAGAAGGGATCACTTCACTCCCGGCAATGCTGGTGTCGAATCTGAAGGTATCTAATACTTCCTGCAGCTTGAGGCATTTGGCCTCTTCATCGTCGCTCACCACACACCACCTGGTGGCTGAAACAAGAACATACATTTATGTCATATGGTGTGCCAAGGGGGGGTCACCAGAAATGGGCTTCTCACATTGTACTCATGGTTTTGTTTGTTTTCAGTTTAACCCCGCACTCAGCAATATACTAGCTATATGACGGAGTCTGTAATAGAGCATTGATCCACGCAAATGAGATACGATGACATGCATCATCCAAGTCAGCAAGCCTGACCACCCGAGCCCATTAGTCGCCTCTTACGACAAGCATGGGTTACTGAAGACCTATTCTACCCCGGATCTTCAGGGTTTACACTTACTAGATACTAAAACTAGACTGATAACCTTGAAAATGCCAATATCACCACCAAGGCCACAATTACATATAAATTACTAGATTTTCACCGGGTATATGTTTCAAAATGTGAGGCATGAAGAACTTTTTTCATTTTTTTAAAACAGACTGTTCAAGGCATCTGTGTATAATAACTGTCCATGGATGTGATTTGCATAAAGCAGGAATGTTTGGCTGGACAATGTATATGGTGTATATCCTCAGTAAAAAAGGAAGGGAACACACAGTTACTTATATGCACGGTAGGTATTCAAAAAAAGAAGTGAGTGAGTGAGTTTGGTTTAACGCCGCTTTTAACAGTATTCCAGTTATATCACGGCGTGTCAGCTTAATGTGGGAGGAAAGCCCGAAGTGATGCAGGTCTCAGACGTTTACCATTTCGGTGAAACCCACGAGCACGGGTATGGTGCTGACAAACCTAGAAACATAATCGGGGCAAACAAACAAAGAAGGGTTTTATAGTTAGGAGTGAGGCGGGTGGGCGGGGGTTGTGAATATGGGGTGGTGGTTGAGGTGTGAAAAAGCTAACACTAGGAATTAAACTTGTTTATCCTAATTTATGACATATCATACCCTGTCAATAAGCAGTCAATCTAGTGGATCAACATAGCTGAGATCAAGTGTCAGTAAGCTCTGCCCTATTAAAGGTTCCTTGGTCCCTAGTCCTTACATATCTTGTTGGCATGGCAACATACACTCAGGGTATACAATGATAAACATTTACTTCTTCCGCACAAAATTTACGTACTCCATCTGAGACAATAAAACAATTACAATATGGTCCCCGGGGACACTTAGCGACTCATCAGCCACTAAAGCTAGATACTAAGATAAAAATATACAATGAAATACTGTATTAATGCCAAAATATGTTTGGGATAGTAGACTAACACGTTTTAGTAACCCGAAATGAGGCAGGTCCTAGAGGTGCTACAAACCATTTTGCTAAACCCATACACACTGGTTACCTACTGACAAACCCAGGATCATGATCACAATAATTACATTAACAGATCCTGGCGGGACTAAGGGGAACAACTGTGCACAGTGAATTATGACACAATATAACATAGATATGCGATAAATAGTTTATTCTCCCTGCAGTATCTCATTGTACGATAAACAATTCCCACGGGTCGTTTTTTTCATAATTACAACTGGTGTGCATGGCCCCACTCCCCAGGGAATGTAGGAAGTTATCTCCGATCTCCTGGGGTGACGGAAGACGACCACTATCAGAACCATAATTACATATCATGAAAGACAAAATTGTAACAAAATAACATTCTTTTGTAAACAATGAAACAAGAATAATCACTTGACCATAGTCAAAATCATTCTGAAACAATCAGAAAAAGCTCCCAGTCCAATAAACAAAACAAAATAAACACCAATAAATAAACACCAATAAATAAACAAAAAAAAATAAACAACAACCAATGATCATGATGATGCAGTCCCAAACTTTAAACGTAAACAAGAAACCCAACATTACTTAAAACAGCTTATGTACCCTTATCCACAAAGCAATTACCGTAATCGATGTAAAGAGCGCCCAGGGTGCTCTCAAAATTAGAAATAGGGGGCTCTTATTAGAATATTATTTTGGTGAAAAAAGATAAATTTTGTGGTTTATGCCGACAGCCTGAAATGTTTATGTCCAGGATTTAATTGAGGGTGCATATAACACACGAGTGTATATTATACGCGAATAAATAAGTCTTGTGTACATCGATCAATCGAAAGGGGTGCTAATTGGGATTGTTCACTAGCCAATATATCAACGAATATCGCCGGGGTGCTTATTACGTCGAATACGGTACATACAATTTGACAATAGCAAGATTCTGTGTTTTCTTGAGACTGTCTTTCATTCTACATGTTCCAGCACTGTTCCTGTACCACGTATACAGCTATAATTTAAAATCACAGAAAATGGTGTGTTTATTGGACAAAAGTAGAATGGAACCTGAAAGATGATTAAATTACAATGATTACCCAGTAGAATTATAAGACCAAAGAGTTCACAGTTCTTGCAATGTAAGGAAGTGTAACCTGGCAACAGCAGTGGAGGGAGGGAGTGAGGTGCAACATTGAGGGTGGAGCTTTTAACAAAACAAAGTTGAAAATTCCCAGCTGTGTCAGCGCGTGTTTTGCATGTAAGAATCATGAATATATGACTGACTTCACACAACTATTAACTTCGGGAATGTAGCCTGGAATAAAACATACATAGCAAGTATACGGTGTACGCCAAATTCCAAAGTTTATTTTCTTGTTTTACAAAAGCGTCAATCTTCACAATCTTAATTTTCCAAACTTTCAAAAAGTTTAAACTTGTAAAATGCTAAATTTATTTGAAAGTACTTTTTTCAGATTAAAAATCACTTTTGCAAAATTAATAAATGAAATGAGCCTCAAATCAACCTGACAACTGCATTTATTTGGTGTCCAGCTGCTTGTCATGTTGACGCAGACAGCTTAATAAATAGGTCCGGCCTTACCATGCTTGCCATGGTAACAATTAATAAACAACATTAAGCAGGGCGGTCATGGTGATAGCCTCCACGATTATCCAGCATATTTACTCATCGACAAAAGAAACGTGAATACCATACATGTTGGTTAATATATGTAAAATTACTCATATTCAAGAGATATTAGATTAGTTCAATGCACAAATGAACAAATTGGTATGTTGTGTGAACTGACACCCATGAATGAATCGCATGTGATGTCATAGATCCATGACTCAAGATGTGCCATTTGGTTCATGCAGGATTAGCGTGTAAAGTTTTAAAATCACATGCAGCATATTGTGACAAGATTAAACGTTTAATGCCACACTCAGCAATATTCCAGCTATATGATGACAGTCTGTAAATAATCAAGTCTGGACCAGACAATTCAGTGACTTATCGCATGAGCATCAATCTACGCAGTAGGAACATGATGACATGGATCAACCAAATCAGCGAGCCTTACCACCTGATTACGTTAGTCGTCTCTTACGACAAGCATAGTCGCCTCTTACGGCAAATATGGCTGACAACCTATTCTACCCCAGATCTTCAAGTATTGGTAGTAAACAATGGTAAATGAGGCCACTTTGTTTATCATAATAGACTGGAGATAATCAGATAATTGGGGGTCGGGTGATCAACAACCATTGCAAAATGGGAGGGAACAATGTGAACAACCAACATAAACATGATAAAAACAACATCAAATATATTCAACAGTAACAATAATAACAAAAGTCCAGACAGTAACCATGGTAACACCTGTCTCACAAATACTAAACACGCCTGAGTGAGTACCCATGCAAAACATGAAGGATAATTCAATATGAACATTATGTTTATAACAATATAACAATAGGGCAGATCTTAAGGTTAAGTTTGACATGTTTTCTTTCTTTAGGGACTTATTTTCTCTCAGTATCAGGATGACAGTTCACCTTAACAACATTGCACAGGAACATGCTGAGGGGGTCTTTTTTTTCATCAGTGATTATCATGGTAACTATGGTAACAACAAAAATTGTCAGAACACTGTCATTCTTTTGTATGTTTGGGAAAGTGTAAAAAAATGTAAATGTTTTAACACAAGGCCATATTTTAATGGTTAATTTTCACTGTTTTTCAACTCCCTAGTACATTTATGATCTATGACTTAAGACAACAAATAGCTAACATGTTCATATATACTTTATTCGACGTAATAAGCGCCCAGGGCGCTCTCAAAATTAGAAATAGGGGGCTCTTATTAGAATGCTATTTTTGTGAAGAAAAAAGAAGTTGAAAGATAAATTTCGTTGTTTATGCTGACAGCCTGAAATGTTTATGTACGACAGATATATTTTTCCAGGATTAAATGCCCAAAATTAAGGGTGCATATAACACACGAGTGCACATTATACGCGCATAAATAAGTCTTGTGTACATTGATCAATCCAAAGGGGTGCTAATTGGGATTGTTCACTAGCCAATATCTTAGCAAATTTCGCCGTGGGCGCTTATTACGTCGAATATGGTAATCAATAATGATCAAACACATTATCTTCATGGGTACTCAGTGTGCAATGTACAACTATATACTACCTCTGTCCCCTGCAACAAGATCTGGAAACAAGGGTGATAAGGATTGTTTATGATGAACAAAATGTACAATAGACTATACATGTTATGTGTTGATGTTGGAAAGAGTACACTTTAGAATGTTGCAAAAAAAAGAAGATCAACGTGAGTGATGACAGGTTTGTGCTGCTGTCAGCTAAGTGTCCGTAGTATTATGATGTCCTGCAAAGATAGAATGAGTGAGTTAGTGAGAATGGTTTACACTGCTGTTTGCAGTATTCCAGCAATATCACAGAGGAGGAGGACACAATGAAGAGGCTTCACACATTGTACACATGTGGGGAATCAAACACGGGCAATTTGGCAAAGTCTTAACCACAAGGCTACCCCACGACACAGTGACTAACCAGTCATAAGATGTCAGATAATCCAATCTCATTAAAATCAGATCTTAGTTCTCGCTACCGCTAAACAAAGATCTGAGGACATCCCATTAGGGGTCATGTCAGAACCACCTTTCATCCGACCAATCAAAGTGTCGCTTACCAGATCATGAAAGTGACAGTCGGAATGTGATTTCTAATCATGCAGCCTCGAAAGCGTTAAAACGGGGTATTACGAACGATAGTTATGGGCTTAACAACTGAATCTATACAATCTAGACCACATATTAGCCATTCTAGAACGTTCTTTTGTTCAGGTTTCAAATTTTTAAGCGAGAATTTGTCAAAATATGTTTCGAAGCGTAGTCGCCAATTTGAAATTTGTGCCGAAAAGCACGAGAAAGCTGCCTCCTGATTGGCTAATGTCGACTTCTTGTCAGTAATTCCATTTGTCGGTCAGAGTTTGCGAAGGTCGGTCTGACGTGACCCGTAATGGGATGTCCTCAGATCATTGTTTAGCGGCAGGGAGAAGATCTGATTTTAATGAGATTGTCAGATAATCTTACTCAGACTCAGATACACAAGGACATCACTATGTAGTAACGGTGCAACCAAAACATGTAGAAAATCTAATATGCCACAATGAACACGGTAACTCTATGAGAAAATGTTTGAAACTTTATTACCACCGTCTAATAATACGACCACAAGAGCCTTTGGCTACAGTGCCAGAACCCTATTTCCTAATCTGGTAAATAATGCCCCGTGTGAAATGGAGACCTTGAGGACAATGTCCCTAGATAATCAACTCTTGAAAAACTGAACTACCTCAGAACTAAGAGTTAGCAGACAATTAATGTGACATCCTTTAAAATGAACTGTAAACTGTCTTGGCCAAGCTCCCCTAAACATATTAAAGATCACCTTGTTGTCACCAAAGCATGACAGTGGATAGATTAATTGAGGTTTCTTGCACCTAATTATCCATTCAACAGTTTATCATTCTGTTAACTGTGTTATGACAAATAGTATAATGCCAAGGATCACACAGCCCAACAATGCCCAAAGTAAACTAAACAAAACTGAACATTAGTAGTGATACTAATAGTACAATATGAACATGACGAATATATTCCATGTTCGCGTATCAACCCTCAAATTCTAGAAACACATGTTAAAACACTTAAACAAACTGTTTGGGTGACACACAATCAACTTCTATTATAATTATTGAAATCAGTATGACATTCATAACCTCTCAAGACTATGTATGGGATTTGAAATTATCTTCCTGATTGTGAACAAAATTTGAAAATAACATAAATCTTTATACAGAATCAGAGAATGTATCAGACTACACAGACTACACTATTAGTCATAAGTAGCTACTCTATATCTAAGGTTTATCCCAAATTTAAAACTAAGTGTTAACAGTTCTGATTATATGTGTTGTGTGTATGAGGAAATGTGAGTCATAATATTTTTGTATACACCTGTACCGTATTGTCTTATTCGAGTATAGGGTTTACCTGTGTTGTTTATATATGATAATTAGAAAATGTACTTACGTCTGTCAGCAAGCGCGGCGGTAAGAAACACTAAAACTAATATTTTCGAGTTCCAATGCATGATTACTGAGTGGTATTCCTTCCAACCACTACACTTCCGCCATTTGCATTCAAACCGTGTCACCGCTGTCGCACCTGAACAAATAGTGCGCATTAGTCTGTTATCTGTAATATATAATTAACGCAAAGTTTATAGTTGTAGTATAGCAACCTATCGCCATTTAGATCTTATAGTAGTTTTTCGTAAGTTGTCATAATTTATTTGTTTATTTCATGTGATTAGTCGGTTTACACCTGTGCGCGAAGCAATACATTGTCAACTGCGTACCTATACCGGTGTCCAGGTAAAAAATGTCGCCCGTGACAGTAAATCCGCCCGGGTTCACAAATTTAACGGTTTAAACGGTATATTTGCACTCTAAGCTTTTTATACACACAATAAAGGAATAAGAATATCACGATAAAACTTTTTGGAAATTGAATTGTGATTATGTATATGAATATTATTGAATTTATTTAGGATAGCCTATGGATAGTTTTAGGTAGGTGAAACGATGGGATGATCTAAATTCCTGAACTATTACAAATGACGTACTACTTTTATTTGAGCCTTCGAATTTATGACGCTTAATAAATACCTAGATTGATTCGGAAAAGTGTCCGTTAGCAAAATATGACATGGGACGCCAATAACAATTTTAGTCAGTATATAGATGCTTACTTCGGCCACTTATTTTACACTTACATGCGGACTTTGTAAGTTAGTAGCTATATCAGGATTTCTGCGGACTGTTCAACCCAACTTTGCGGCGTTCAACAGTACACATTGGTGTATCCTCGATTATCCAGTGTATTATATCGCCATTACGCTGGATATTCGAGAATTTGTGGAAAGATATTTTGGAAAAAGATAACAGCTAAAGATCCCTAACTTTGCTCCTGGGTTCCATTTGTCCATTCCTTGTCACCCATCGCTAATTAATTGTTGGCTTCCCTTATTAATTTTCCACTTTTGTTATCTTATTACTGTTGTTCTTACGAAAGCCTATTAGGGTCAAAATTGAAATATGGAAAAGACACGAAAATAAATTCGTTACAACGGAAAAAAAGATTCGTTATTATGAAAATAAATTCGTTGTAACGGAAAAAAATACGTTATTACGTTACAAAATTTGTTATAACGGAACAATGATTCGTTATTACGAAAATACATTCGTAATTGTGATGAAAAGATTCGTTGTTACGAAAAAATGATTCGTTATAACCTTTTATTTCCGTAATAACGAATTATTTTTTTCGTTATAACGAATTTAATTCCGTAATAACGAATCTTTAGTCCGTTATACCGAATTTCCTTTCGTGTCCTTTCCATATTTCAATCTTGACCTCAGTAGGCTTTCGTATGTTCTTACATGTACATATATATGTTCTCTGCCTCATATCATTCATTCACCCGACGAGGGAGTAAGCATATACTCCGAAATGCTGTGTTCCTCATAATAAAGAAGTTGACATGTATCGCATCCATATATTCTCCCTCAACTTGGCTTTACTTTTGCCAGAACGACGACCGTGGGCGAAAAACGCATAATGTCGGAAAGTGCACGTAAAATCTCCAGAAAATCATCATCAGAATAACGGTTTGACGCACGTCGCTGAGGTACGAATGCACAATGCATGGTCCAGCCAGGTCATCACTGCCGACTTTCGTTCTTTCCAATCCGCGGGGATTCTATCCTCGATTATCCAGTGAAGTTTGTCTTAATTCTATTTTGATATACTTATGTAATTGAGATATAACACACTTGGTAAGACCCGTGAAGATCCGGGGTATAATAGGTCTCAGCAACCCATGCTTGCCGTGAAAGGCGACTAACGGGATCGGGTTGTCAGGCTCGCTGACTTGGTTGATGCATGTCATCGATCCCAATTGAGTGGATCGGTGCTCATGATGTCAACCACTGGATTGTCTGGTCCAGACTCGATTATTTTCAGACCGCCGTTATATAGCTGGAATATTGCTGAGTACGGCGTTAAACAACAAACCAACAAAAACCCAAACAAACACACTGGGTAATATACAGACAAGGAAGATATTTTTATGACGGTTATGACGATAGTTACAGGTAAAATACAACATAAGTTCTTAAGAGCTATTATTCCGAGTGATGATTTACACACGGTGTTTGTTGACCACAAATGAGTGAATATTGTTTTACGCAACACTCAGCAATATTCCAGCTTTATCACGACAGTCTGATGTAAATAATGAAGTTAGGGTCGAGAGACCAGTGATTGATAGCACGAGTATCGGGTTTACAAATTACACGTGGCCACTCGGTCCTCAAATCGAGCATGGGACCCTAGCGACCTGATCTAACGCGGAACACACCTTCCACAGTAAGTCCCGGGTTTTCAACGCAAGTAAAACCTCATGTGGGTCTTTCTCAAGTTTGAAGAAACCTAACGATCAATACAAATGAACACTCTGAGGTTTATAAATTCATTAACAATGTCTACGATATATTCAATGTTTTGCCTGTGCATGGGATTAACGTTTATTGATGTTAATGTCAATCAATTAACTCAGTGTTGAAATAATGTCAACATTAATAACTATACATGTCAGTTTGCCTGTCAAATAGATATGTCACAAAATGTTTATAAAGTCAGTTAACTCCCTTGCCTCGGGAAGAAAGGTTTGTCTTTGAGCTGAAAAATGTTCTATGTTTTTTGTTATTGTTTATGTCAATACATTTAATCTGGTCAAATTTAGTGTAGCCGTTTGAGATGTTTTGTTTCTGTATTTCTTAACTTCTTTAAGTGGCATTTAGAAGTTGGTGTGATGAAGTAAGACAAGTTCTATGGATGAACAACTACTTTATTACAAGCAGAGCGACGTTTCGGTGTAGATCCTAACACCTTTATCACTTGCTTGATAAAGGTGTTAGGATCTACACCGAAACGTCGCACTAATTTTAATAAAGAAGTTGTTCATCCATAGAACTTGTCTTACTTCTGTATTTCTTGTTTAACGCCGTACTCAGCAATATTCCAGCTATATGACGGTGGTCTGTAAATAAGTGAGTCTGGACCAGACAATCCTGTGATTGACATCGTGAACATTGATCTACGCAATTGGGATACGATTACATGCATCAGCGAGCCTGACTACTGGCCCGGTTAGTCGCCTCTTACGACAAACATGTCCCGGGCTGCTGAAGACCAGTTTGAACCCGGATCTTGAATGGTCTTTTGGGATGTCCAAAGACTGATCCATTTTCCAAGGTAATAGGTAACAGGCAGGTTATTACCTGTGCACTGGACATTTAAATTGTTGTTTTAAGCTGCGGAGGTTTTGGCGTGTAGATGTGTTGGGAGGACACCAAATATATACCTGGAAAATGAGTGAGTGGATTCACACTTAATGTCGCATCGGCATTGTTTCAGCTATATCGCGACACCAGGGAAGAAAAAACCCACCGTTTGCTACATATTGTCTTTACTATTATTATGTCTCAATACCACTCACAAATCATTAACCTCTGACAAATCACATGCACGTGGGTTTCAAGCACCTGTTTTCACCTGTCGTCAAGGTGTCATAGGTCATGGACATTCACCTTGATCTACTAACACCTGGTTATGCTCAGTTTCACAATAGTCTCTTTTGTTCATATTTTTACACACTTTTACGTGTAAAAAGACATAAAAACCTTTGATACGCTGTATTTGTGCCAAGGCCCAATTAGTACTAATTGAGTTGTTTGAATATTTATATATTTTGTATATTAACTGCATTTATTTAAAATCTGAGATCGAAAAAACAGGGTTTTTTTCATTTCCGTGAGTACTTTACGACAGCTAATAAAACAGCGTGGATTATATGAAGATTATTGCATGAGTGTTTGTGTCGTGATGCCTTCAGGAAACAAGTGTCTGAATTATTGTATTTCCCGACGGTCATTTGGTCCTACTTTCACTGACTGACGTGGATAGGGCGTCTGTGCGGAAGGTCGGTGGTTCGATACCCGGCCGAAGTCATACCCCAAAATGGTATTTGTTGTTACCCTGCCTGGCGTTCTGCATTAATGGGTAAAACAAGGGCTGGCTTGGAGTGAGTTTCGTGTGTCGGCGTCGGGTATCCATTTTAACCTAAGGCATGGTATTTCAGTGGGCTAGCACTATAAAAGCGGCATTAGTACTAGGACAAGTACAAACTCGCACACACACGCGCACACGCGCACACACATACACACACGCACAACTTGGACGCCACGTTACGCTCCATTTCATCCAACCCAGTTTCATTCACTCGGTTAAGACGGGAATCCACTGTCGTCTATGTGCTTAAAATAACCAGTAATGATATAAATAATGGAGCCGTGATGGTATAATGTCATTCTTTATTCTAATTTCAATGTTAATGACATCAGTTTAACACGCCACCATCAGCTTCTCATCTAGGTATTAAACCTCGTGGCACACATGCGACACCAACAACGCCGAAAACGTGGTCTAGTCGTGCAGGTCCTTGTCCAAGATGTACTCGCCGAGTGAGTAGTCCTTCGTGAAGCTCTTCAGTCTCGTCACATACTCCCCCAACTCCTTGATCACATCTACCTTCGTCTCCAAGAACCTGTCCTCGAGGAAGTGCGTCACCTGAGCAGTAGGACAGTGAGTGAGTGTTTGTTTTACGTTTGTTGTTTAACGCCGCATTTAGCAATATTACAGCTATATGACGGCGGTCTGTAAATAATCGAATCTGGACCAGACAATCCAGTAATTGACATCATGAGCATCGATCCACGCAACTGGGATACAATGATATACATTAACCAAGTTAGCGAGCCTGACCACCCGATCCCGTAAGTGGCCTCCTACGACAAGCATAGTCGCCTATTACGGCAGGCATGGGTTGCTGAAGACCTACTCTACCCCGGATCTTCACGGGCTGAGTGAGTGGCTGGATGAGTGAGTGAGAACACCATCATCAACAGTATCAGGTGAGGTGAAATCATGTTAACGTCGCGTAGGCAGGTGCCATATTTTAACGTCGTTTGACATGACGCGGCCAGGCGATGGTGTCACCGACCTTCCTTTTTCGGGACAGATTTGTCTATCTACGGAGGGGGTTGAGAGTGAAAGGAGTGGATGTTATTTTTCGTCATTGTCATTATTATAGACATATTACGGCTCGCTGCAAACAATCAAGTCCGGGTCGGACATACCAGTGGTTGAAAGTATCAGTACCGATCTACCTGACCGGGCCACGAAGACATACTACCAGTTGCACATTGTATTTCACTTCACTCTATACCTATAGTTTCTAGTAGTCTTAAATCCCGTTGCCTTGAGCATGTCACAGGTGCGTAACATCGGCGTCTTCCGTTAGCTATAGGAATTAAATCCTCCATTCTCTTCACGAGATGTTTCACATACGCTCTGCAGCCAACCCTAACACCTGTTTACTCACATGAGGGTCGTTGCTCGCCACTGTGTGCGTCTTGAGCATGTTTTTGTTCAAATCCTTTTCCATACCCAGGGCGTACTCCATCGCCTTCAGGCCGTCACGCCATACTGTTATAGGGCTCTTCTGCGGATGAAAAAAAACAAGTTTATCTAACAATTTTGCAAATCCAGACCTACTCTCGCCTTGAAACACTCTGACATACGTTATATTGTGATACAATGTGTAACAAATTGTTATACACCTAGATTCGATATATATCTTTAAAGAATTGCATAGAACAATTCCATTGAGGCAGAGTGCACCATAATATCGATGTGGGGAGTGAGTATGGTTTTGCGTCGCTTTTAGCAATATTCCAGCAATATCACGGCGGGGGACACCAAAAATGGGCTTCACACATTGTACCCATGTGGGGAATCGAACCCGGGTCGTAGACGTGACGAGCAAACGCTTTAACCACCAGGCTACTCCACCGCCTCAAATCGATGTGGAGTTTGGCACCATATATATGGACATGCATTATATGGTGGACTGTATACCAACAAGGAATACGTCACATTTTGTGTAATGCCATGATGTCTAATGCTAGGATTCAATATAGGTCAATGACGATTATACTTCTGTTTTAGCATGATCATATCCCAAATATAAAAGAAAGAAAAGGATAAACAAAATGGAATAAATGTGTGGTAATATTTTTAAAATTTAAAAAATAATAATAAATGTATGTCTCTCCTGCCTACTGCTACAATCATAGGCAAAATGTAGGTATATATAGACAAAGTCTCACTAAGTTCTTCAGCCGGATGTAACCGCCTCTCTTGTTGATGTACTTCATGATGGCCTCAGCTTCAGTACGTGCTTTGTGGGACGAGGCCAGGAAATACTTATGGAAGCCCGGCAGTGCCATGTCAGCTCGGTCAAACCAGTAGGCCTGCAATACAGAAACCTTGAAGCAATCCATTGATACACGGGAGTGTTACAAAAATACAAATCACAACTCGTTCTGCTTAGTGTTATCAGTGCCTGCTGACCAATCCAATTTATAGTAAGAGAAATAAAATATTGTTTATATCTCACCCCGTTTTTAACAATTCCAGAGCCTAGCTATACTATATTGTTCAGAAGCAGTCTGAAATGTACAACTATGCAAACAGATTTAACATATTAAACGCCCTTCCCCGAAAACGTATTTCAATATATAGAGTTTGTATAACGATACAAATCATGGAACGGGCTGACAGACTGACAGTATTATGGCGATATGACCTAAAGTACAATTGATACGAAATCATAATATATTGTCACGTGAATTACCTCTTCTTGAATCTGATATTAAAAAATACATTTCAGGTTGAAGATATGACTTTAATTTACTATAATTGCTGAGATAATTCGAAGATGTAACCAGTTCTATCGTAATATATCTTTCACTCGCTGCTTAAATATTCCCATAAACACTTTGGCTTTCTGATAGAGTCTTCTCCACCGTTTGTTACCTGATCTACTGGGCAAAACAAAGTATACACTTGAACCGTTTGACGTTATAAAACGTTATTAAGAGCTAACTAGGTCTAGTGATGGGAACCGATTCAGACCCGATGTTCACATGGGGCTCAGCGGTTAGTGTGTTCTCTGGTGGAGGTCCGGGTTCGATCCCCGACAGAACGTACCATGGAGAGGTAGACATAGCTAGCGACGAGAGATCCGTTCAGCCTGTCGTTGAGTTCGGTGATCACCTTGGTTGCAAAGTTTTGTGAGACGAGTGGGACTTCCTGTTGGCCTGGACGAAGAATAATAAGACATGTTATTGCCAACACCTATCACGTGTTTAATATTAATACATAAAAATGTAATAACTACTGAAAACGGATCAAATAGATTACCGATATCAACACCCAACTACTAAATTACGGGCCGGTGGGGTAGCCTAGCAGTCAAAGCGTTCGCTCGTCACGCCGAACAAACGGGGTTCGATTCCCCTCATGGTACACAAAAGTGTAAAGCCCATTTCTGATGTACCCCGCCGTGATATTTCTGGAATGTTGCTAACAGCGACGTAAAACTATACTCACTACTAAATTACGGTTAGGTGCTATTTCGTTGTACGATGTGTAACTAAACTAAGTTAGAAATTGTTGTTGGAATCGGAAAGTGGGTGGGGTGAGGGTAGCCTGATCCGCATAGTGTACCACCATCCCCCAAACACAACCACAGAAAGAAAACGAGGCCGTAGAGTATGACTCCAAACAATGAGAGTAAAAAAATACCCGAATAATACCTGGAACAAACGATCAAAATAATTATCAACTTCTGATTTGAATAAATGGTCATATATATAAGTGTCATATCGAAATAATATCTTACAGAGATATGACTAATAATGCCTTCATTTGTGACCAATATTTGCTTCAACTAAATATGGTCAGGGTTAAAAACAAGGAGGATATGTGTTACCTTTCTGCGTTCCAACACCATTTCCCTCTTCCTCCCCATAGAAGAATGCACGTGCCCCTAAGAGGGTGCACGCGATGACTAGCGAGGTGAGTAGAACCGCCTTCATCCCGTTGGTATAGGCCTGGCTACAGATGGGTATTTGTTGATGGGTGACAGACGAAGGATGATCTCAGGGCACAGGTGAAAGTCCAACCACCGTCAGCACAGTGCTCAATAGTAACTGTCAGTATGCCTAACTGATAACCTTGTGATATAGTTGGTCATCCTGATAGCGTATCGCATTGTCCAAACCAGTTGCAAGTCGTTACGCGTGTTGGGCTGATGCACATATACCGTGTTTATCCGAATAAACACCAGGCTCGATAAGATACAATTATGCATGAAAACAACGATAACTGTCCAATGTTGAGTCTTTGAAAGACATTAAGAAGTGATACACATAACGAAGATAATTTATTGATGTCAACTTCTTTTATTATGAGGAACACCACGTTTTGGAGAACGTGCTTATTCCTTCACCAGGTGATTGTCTCATGTTGAACCTTATGTAGAAAAAGCGCTTAATATTAAACTAAAATATATAATACTACATATATGTATATACCTTCTGAATTTTCGTTTTCCTTGGCATACCTTTTAAAATGACTGTTGTACATGTTATATTTTGATAAGCTTGTTACGGCGATGCTTACTTAAGACTGGTGTATCGATAATAGGTATTAAGATATTTTATCTTTTCAGAAAAGTTAAGCCGACATATTACGTCGGCTTGATTTACAAACCAGAATCTAAATTTAGGACTGGAAACACTGTCAATCTGAATTTAGGATTGCACATACATAGACAGTGTCTGAATGTAGGACTGTACATACATGGAGAATGTCTGAATGTCGGACTGTACATACATGGACAGTGTCTGAATGTAGGACTGTACATACATGGACAGTGTCTGAATGTAGGACTGTACATACATGGACAGTGTCTGAATGTAGGACTGTACATACATGGAGAGTGACTGAATGTCGGACTGTACATACATGGACAGTGTCTGAATGTAGGACTGTACATACATGGACAGTGTCTGAATGTAGGACTGTACATACATGGACAGTGTTTGAATGTAGGAGTGTACATACATGGACAGTGTCTGAATGTAGGACTGTACATACATGGACAGTGTCTGAATGTAGGACTGTACATACATGGACAGTGTCTGAATGTAGGAGTGTACATACATCGACAGTGTCTGAATGTAGGACTGTACATACATCGACAGTGTCTGAATGTAGGAGAGTACATACATGGACAGTGTCTGAATGTAGGACTGTACATACATGGACAGTGTCTGAATGTAGGACTTTGTAGAAGTGTGCCAAGTTTTGGTGCTTTTAACCCAAGGTGCACAATCTTCGCCTTAGCCGCCCCACCAGTGATGTTCGATTAGATAGCATGGATGTTTGTGTGCACCAGACTTGTGTGCACCCAACCTCTACTGAAAGTGTTACAAGTGTAACTGCAAGTGTTACACGCTGCCTGTGCTCACATTATTTCACAAATAAAAATATTTTTATGATATAATGTGTTTATTTGTAGCAAGAAATACATAGAACGGTAAACAACATTGTATAACATTCGGAAACATAATATTTAAACATGGTGAAATATTTTTCTTTATTGCATTGAACATTCTTAAGTTTTCCTTTATTCGTTTTTTGTGTGCTTTTTTTAATCTTTGCGAAAAGAAAAGCACCCGATACTGAGGCACAAAAGACAATCCATTAACCAAACATGTTTACTTATATTTTGTTAGTCTTTTTCATAGTTTCCATTATTGTTTAAACTAAAACAGACATATATGTTCGGTAATCAATGACTCAACATGCTGCACACAATCCCTATTTCCCCATACAAGAGCTACACGAGACTCACACCAGCCTGAAAGCGTATTTCACAAAACGATATATGTATGGTATACATAATTCTTAGTTCTATCTGGAAGGAGTATTGTCCAAAACCTGAAACCTAATTCATCTAGAGGCTAACAGATTAACCCAGGCATCGTTTTGAGGCGTATTGTGTATCGTTGCGAGAGCAGACTATGCCACACCGTTCTGTTTAAGCAGGATTATATCAATCCCAGGTAAATGTTAAACATCACCAGTAAATCAACTTATTCAGTTTCCTTAATCATTTAATCCCGACTTTACAATAGAACCATCACAACAGAAAACATTCATCTCCTGTTTAGGGGCGGTCGGGTAGCTTCGTGGTTAAAGCGTTCGCTCGTCACACCGAAGACCCGGGTTCGATACCCGACATGGGTACAATGTGTGAAGCCCATTTCTGGTGTCCCCCGCCGTGATATTGCTGGAATATTGCTAGAAGCGGCGTAAAAACATACTCACTCACTCATCTCCTGTTTAACAGAGGCTCAAAGTTATTCAAACATTTAAATCTCAATTCACAGTGTCCCTTCAAAGTACATAATGCTATACAAAATATAGCTGACAAACACATCATGTAAAACTTCAGACGGTTAAATTATTAAAATCTGAGAGTTCAAGTTCAAAGTGTCCTTTCACAGTTCATAATGCTATAATGATATCTTCAGCTCTCATATTCTTGTATCATATGGTGTCACAAACAGCACCGACGCCTATTGGCTTTAGTTGTTTTGAAGGCAAATCGTGTTAGAGTATTCTCCTATTGAGTTATTGGTGTGTCCTTTCACAAAGGATGAATATACTCAATTATCCTATTACACACTATCGGCCTCACACAGAACCAGGGGTTGTCCATATAATCATCAGTAGTGGCAAAATAAGGGTAGCCACATTCACATCTTGCTATGTTTTGTGTCTTTCACAAGATCACAAGATTGCACAAGCTAAGAGGTCCATTTCCTCATTTGTATAGTCCACATACTGCTAAGATATTCGCTTCTGGGGCACAAGTTGCACTACCATTCTATAGTTCCAACATGATAGTTCAACTGGAGATACACATAAAGAGGCCCGGTTCCTCATTTGTAGAGGCTGATGCACATTGATCAAGTTCATGAAGCCAAATCTCAAAATCTTGAGTAAACAAGGATGTCTAAATTAATTGTGCGCGTTCAATGTACAAGGTATCGCGCATCCGTTCTGTGATCTTGAGTAGGTCTTTGTTGGAGAGTGCAGTTTCTGGGATCTGTCAATCTCACTGCCCGAATGGATCGGCCAGACCCTGTACGGCATCACGAAGTCTACTCCTTCACCTTCCTCTCCTCCTTCTTCTTCTTCTTCTTCTTCTCCGCCTTCTCCCTCCTCTTCTCCTTAGCGTCCTCCTCTGCAACAACTCTCAGGCCGTTGACGATCCTGCGTGCCGACTTGTCAGACTTTGGCACCAGGAACGTCCTCTCGACGACACGGAATCCATCGTCTCGGGACACGTGGTCATGGTCGATGATAATCTGGCTGTCCCAAACTGTGTACACTACAGTGACCTCAACCTCCTCCTCTTTCTCTATTGGTGGCATGACATCCCGACGTGTAAAGCCGAAAGGCGTCAGCTTCAGAGTCTTGGGGTCAGCCATCACAGACTGCATGCATGAGCGGCGATAGACTTCTTTCTTCTTCTTTGGTTCGAGTTTCTGAGACAATTGACCGCTATGGTCAATTGCCAAGAAAACAGTAGTTTTATCCTTTGGGACTGTCTTTGTCTTCGACCTAAACAGCTTCTTAAACCTAGAGAATCTGGACTCCGACTTGAGCCCCGGCTTCTCTTTGTCTGCCTTTGGGGCCGGACCCACGCGGCTGTGGATACACCCCATTCTCAGTGTCTGCAAGTTGAAGTAAACAGTCGTAGCGTCATTGCGACATACTGACATTGGACGCGGCAATGACCGTATATGCCCAAACGCGACATCACTGACTGCGCCATGCTGTCGTCTCCATGCATGCCAATGACTTGGGGCGACGACGTCGTCAAGCCTGTGACGTCATAGAAGGGCCGGCCAATCACGATGTCGTCCCTGAACGCGGATAGTAATTTCACTGGGCCCGTTTTGAAATGTGGATATGCAATCAGTTTTAAGTGAAAAATGTATTCACGTATTTTGACGTTTTAATTAACGCTGGCTGCTTAAGCAGGTGGTATTAAAATTACTAAGATTTGTTTGGCGTAAAATACAAGTTATGATAAGTTTATTCCTTCTTAACCGTTCATAATAAACTACTGTGCAACGGAAGCTTAAGACATTTAGTCTAAGAAATAATGATATCGTATTTGAAAATATGTATCTATATATATATATACAAAATAAAGATCCAATTGGAGCCTTCAGTGAGTGAGTTTAGTTTTACGCCGCTTTTAGCAGTATCACGGCGGGGGACACCAGAAATGGGCTTCACACATTGTACCCATGTGGGTAATCGAACCCGGGTCTTCAGCGTGACGAGTACACTCTTTAACCACTAGGCTACCCCACCGCTCCAAATGGAGCCTAGAACAACGCCTGACTGGGAGGCAAGCTATGAAAGTGTGTATGAGGCAGCATCCAGGAAAGAGAGTCCTATTGGGGTCTACTGTTTAGCTTTATAGAGCTAAAACAACTTTCGTAAAAGTGAGATGAGTCACATTTTTATCTTAAAAGGTTACCACACACTGTAAAAATAAAATGATCAGCATAAATTAAAACTTATTTATCGTAATCGTACTAAAATCTCGTAAAATTCGTAAAAAAAACCCTTAACCTAACGACACAACAAAATTTTATATTTGCAGTACGATATTTACGAGTTGAAGTAATTAAACGAAAGCAGAATAAGCTGGTCCCGTGTTTCCCTACAGACTGACGATCCGCATTTGCATAGAGATGAGCATTTTAGATTCACCCTGGCAGCGATTCCTCTATTCCAGTAGTGTTTGTAGGCTGTTCCCTTTAGCCAGATGTCCCATCGGTCAGACAATGGGATAGGGATAAATAAGGTCAGCACCCATCTATAAACTGGACTGTCCCAAACAGGACTTAGTGGGTATATTTACTGAAATAAATTGGGTTCAGGTGGGAAGTTTTTGATTATTTGTTATGGGAAGATTTTGAATATTTGTAGATCTATGTTGGACAACATGAAGGCTTGTGTAAAGATATTGTCATACCAAAGTTTTTTAAAATATTATTTTGTATGCATTGATCAACTATAGTCACCCATTGTCTCACTGATCAACTATAGTCACCCATTGTCTCATTGACTAAAGTAATCCATTTGATTATCTCAGTGGTCAACTATAGTCACCCATTGTCTCACTGATCAACTAAAGTAATCCATTAGATTGTCTCAGTGATCAACAATAGTCACCCATTGTCTCCAGTGATGAACAATAGTCACCCATTGTCTCATTGATCAACTAAAGTAATCCATTTGATTGTCTCAGTGATCAACAATAGTCACCCATTGTCTCACTGATCAACTATAGTCACCCATTGTCTCATTGATCAACTAAAGTAATCCATTTGATTGTCTCAGTGATCAACAATAGTCACCCATTGTCTCACTGATCAACTATAGTCACCCATTGTCTCATTGATCAAATAAAGTAATCCATTTGATTGTCTCATTGATCAACAATAGTCACCCATTCTCTCACTGATCAACTATAGTCACCCATTGTCTCATTGATCAAATAAAGTAATCCATTTGATTGTCTCAGTGACCAACAATAGCCACCCATTGTATCCAGTGACGAACAATAGTCACCCATTGTCTCACTGAACAACTATAGTCACCCACTGTCTCCAGTGACGAACAATAGTCACCCATTGTCTCACTGAACAACTATAGTCACCCACTGTCTCCAGTGACAAACAATAGTCACCCATTGTCTCACTGAACAACTATAGTCACCCACTGTCTCCAGTGACGAACAATAGTCACCCATTGTCTCACTGATCAACTATAGTCACCCACTGTCTCCAGTGACGAACAATAGTCACCCATTGTACCTAGTGATGATCCCCACCCACTGCCGATGTGAATGGCAGCATTTCCACCCTCCTGTATATACCAGTGTGCAGGTGCAACATTAGCTTCAAACATAAACTCAGGTACCAAATTCTAAAATTTTATTCAGATATAATAACACCCACTCCTACAAGAATGACAATACAGATTACTTTGCATGGGCATGGCATTCATCAGAGAAGCTTTTTTTTTTTATTAGCCCGATCACAGGATATACTGTTACTGCAGCGACTTGTCGAAGATGTATTCGCCGAGACGGTAGTCGTCAGTGAATCTGGAGAGTTGGGCGACGTAGTCTCCGAACTTCTTAATGGATTCCACCTGTTCCTCGAGGTAGATGTGCTCCAAGGTGTGTGTCAGCTGAAATACGGAAAAATACGTGAGAAATCTGCTTTCAACTGGAACGGATCCAACAGTGGAGACGAGATCAAGTAGAGCCGTAACGAGGCTCAACGGTCAAGGCTGAACCAAACAGAGCCCCGTGTGTATGGAAGGGGTAATAGTCAAGACTAGATCTTTCAGGTCCGTGAGGAACACAACAGTCAAGACTAAGCCCTGTAGGGCCGTGAGGGGGTTTCAATCAAGACTAAACCCTACAGGACCGTGACGAGGTCAAACGGTCAAGACTAAACCCTACAGGTCAGTGACAGGGGCTTCAATCAAGACTAAACCCTTCAGAGCCGTAAGAGGGTTACAATAGTCAAGACTAAACTCTACAAAGCCGTGAGGGGCACAACAGTCAAGACTAAACCCTTCAGGGCCGTGAGGGGCACAATAGTCAAGACTAAACCCTTCAGGGCCGTGAGAGGCACAACAGTCAAGACTTAACCCTCAGGGCCGTGAGAGGGTTACAATAGTCAAAACTAAACCCTACAGGTCAGTGACAGGGGCTTCAATCAAGACAAAACCCTTCAGGGCCGTGAGGGGCACAACAGTCAAGACTGAACCCTACAGAGCCATGACGAGGTACAATGGTCAAGACTCAACCCTTACAGGGCCGTGAGAGGGTTACAACAGTCTTAAGTCAAGACTAAACGGTGGCCGTGAGGGGCACAACAGTCAAAACTAAACCCTTCAGGGCCGTGATGGGGGTTTCAAATCAAGACTAAATCTTTCAGAGCCGTGAGTGGGTTACAATAGTTTTGGGTCAAGACTAAACCCTTACAGGGCCGTGAGAGGGTTACAATAGTCAAAACTAAACCCTACAGGTCAGTGACAGGGGCTTCAATCAAGACAAAACCCTTCAGGGCCGTGAGGGGCACAACAGTCAAGACTAAACCCTACAGGGCCATGACGAGGTACAATGGTCAAGACTCAACCCTTACAGGGCCGTGAGGGGGGTTTCAATCAAGACTAAATCTTTCAGGGGCGTGAGAGGGTTACAACAGTCTTAAGTCAAGACTAAACGGTGGCCGTGAGGGGCACAACAGTCAAGACTAAACCCTTCAGGGCCGTGATGGGGGTTTCAAATCAAGACTAAATCTTTCTGGGCCGTGAGTGGGTTACAATAGTCTTGGGTCAAGACTAAACCCTTCAGGGCCGTGAGGGGCACAACAGCCAAGACTAAACCCTACAGGGCCGTGACGAGGTCAAATAATGAAGAAGACGTCTTTACGGGCCACATACTCAAGCCTAAACCATTTAGGCCGTGTGGGGGTCTAGTAGATACGTTTCATATGTTTTATAGTTTAAACAATATCAATTTAAGTAACGACTGTAGCATACGAGGCAATGTAAAACATTTTTAAATAAGATAAAAATGTGTAAAATCTTACATGGGGGTCTTTTGTTGGTCCTGATGAAGCGATATCGTGAAGATCAAGGAGTTCAGAGTTGACTTTTCTCTCAATAAGCAGGGCGTCTTCCATCGCCATCAGGCCGTGCCTCCAGTCACTGCGGGGGTTCTAAGTGTAAACAATGAAACGCAAAGAATCTGATGTCATTACAATGATCACATGATGGTCTGTGTGGGGTTGGCCACTACTACTACTACTACTACTACTACTACTACTACTACTACTACTACTACTACTACTACTACTACATGTACTAACTACTTCTATTGTAATTACAAATGAGATTACATTGACTTTTGACTATTGGCAATTATTGTTACAAATACTACTAAAACACCAACAACTACTACAAGAACTACTATTACAACTACCACTACGACCACTGATCCTAGTACTGCCGCCACCTACCATGCAGGAAGGGTCTGGCTTCGTCTTCAGCATCTGTCTCTTCTGGCTCACGAAGTAGCAAATCTGAAACACGGATGAATGACCTTATGACATCTCAGTAAACAGACGTTTAACAGTGATAGACTTGACACATGCATTTGTTTATCCTTTAACGTCGCCCTTTATAACCAGCAATATGACAACGGTATGTAAATAATCGAGTCTGGGCCAGACAATCCAGTGATTGACATCACGACCATCGATGTTCGAAACTGGGATACGATGACATGCATCGATGACAAGCATCAACCAATTCAGCGAGCCTGACTACCCGACCCCGTTAGTCGCCTCTTACGACAAACATAAGCACCTTTTACGGCAAGGGTGGGTGTCTCCAGTGACGAACAATAGTCACCCATTATCTCACTGATCCCGTTAGTCGGGACCCCGTTAGTCGCCTCTTACGGCAAGGGTGGGTGTCTCCAGTGACGAACAATAGTCACCCATTATCTCACTGATCCCGTTAGTCGGGACCCCGTTAGTCGCCTCTTACGGCAAGGGTGGGTGTCTCCAGTGACGAACAATAGTCACCCATTATCTCACTGATCCCGTTAGTCGCCTCTTACGGCAAGGGTGGGTTGTTGAAGACCTATTCTACCCTGGATCTTCAGGGTTCCCCAATTCCCTCTTACAACCGGCAATGGGGTGCTGGGGACACTATTTGCAAGCCGAATGCAGTCAGTAATAGGAGAGGCGAATAAAACAGCCAATGGTTATTCACATCTAAGAGTGAGCCGACCAATGAATATTGTATGAATATTACTTTGTTTGGTGACCCTCTGGAAAGGTCAGTCCTCACTTGTGACCTGATGGCGTGATTCGCTGATCACGCTATCGACCACCGGTTGTCTAGTTAAGACCACCATGATTTAGCTGTATTGCGATGCATGCAGTGTTCAATACATTCACTATTTTACTAGTTGCCACCTACACATGTCTGTTGTCTTCTGCGGCTCAGGTCCACTGTCTTAGAAAGGTCCTTGATAGTTTCGCACACGTCCAGCAGCTAAAACACCAGTACATACAGGTCAAAAGGAGATCCATGGTTGAAGGTCAAGGTTACCGCTGGCTATTCCAAATTGTAACCACATGTAGGAATGTCATATGGCAACTAATGTCGCTCATTGTCTCCAGTGACGATGTCCTTCAAGCCTGATTGTATTCATGTTTGAAAAGAACAAGTGATGAATTACTTGTTAACTTAATATTGGTACACATAAAATAAATATTTGTTTGATTGGTCTTTGTTCCCGACCATCATACCTTGATGTCACCAAACTGCAGCGAACCCCCTCGCTTGTTGACGTAATCGATGAGGATCTGAGCATGCTCCTTCTCCTCCTTGGACGCCTGGAGGAAGAACTTCTTGAAACCAGGCAGCGCCACGTCAGCTCTGTCGAAGTAGGACGCCTGCAGGGAGGAGAACGTTGATGTGTACATGGTATACGTCGTTATAAAAGGTGTTACTGTTGTAACTTTTTTATACAACACCGCTGGAGGAGGCAAATGTTGCTTTTGTTACGACTTTTGCAGCAGCACCAGGTGTATTTATAGAACTATCACGTCAAATACTAATATTGGTACATTGCCTGGTACACACACTCGAATAGGCCTGGTACACACACTCACATAAGCCTGGTACACACACTCACATAGGCCTGGTACACACACTCACATAGGCCTGGTACACACACTCACATGGGCCTGGTAGAGATAGCTGGCCTGTGCAGCCCCTACCTCGACACACACACTCACATATGCCTGGTACACACACTCACATAGGCCTGGTACACACACTCACATAGGCCTGGTACACACACTCACATGGGCCTGGTAGAGATAGCTGGCCTGTGCAGCCCCTACCTCGACACACACACTCACATAGGCCTGGTACACACACTCACATAGGCCTGGTACACACACTCACATAGGCCTGGTACACACACTCACATAGGCCTGGTACACACACTCACATAGGCCTGGTACACAAACTCACATAGGCCTGGTACACACACTCACATAGGCCTGGTACACACACTCACATAGGCCTGGTAGAGATAGCTAGCCTGGAGCTCCATGGTGATCTGGGCCCGGATCTGGTTGTTGATCTTCTCCGCGTACTGCTGCTTCACCAAGGGGACGTAGCCTGCAACACGCAACGTCAACATCATCGACGGCATCAACAAAAACGTTATCAACGTCTTCATTAACGTAAACATCATTACCAACCTATACATCACGAAAGATATCATCGTCAACATGATGGACAACAACGGCATCATCAACAACAACGTTTACGTCTGTAAAGGCTTAATTAGTGTGGTGCAACGTGGACGGGAGAACCACGAGGTAATGTAGAGTAAAATTAAATGAAAACAATTAAATATTTCATTTAACAATCTTGATCCGGGATGCTGTGTATCCATGTGTCAGTCTGCATCTGAATGCATCGCATGTATGTCAAATGTATGCGCGCGTACCGGTTGACCTGCAGTCACTTTTCTAGTTGTACGGTAATACGAACGCAGAAGTTAGTTACTTATCGTAACACTAAAATAATAAATCTATAGTGGGGACTGATTTTAAACGAAATATGGTTCTTAGAGTGTTAAGTATGACCGTAATTTTTGTACATGTAGTTTACTAACATGTAAACAAAACAACACGTTAAAATCATTCTTGAGATGAAATTAAAAACGACAAAACAATGGCGATGACGTTTGAAGTATCTCCTGGAGCGGGTTAACGCGCAGTTTCTGTTATCAGTAACTCACCGGGGTCAGGTACTGTAATATAATAAGATGACACTTGCTCTACATAACGTTGTGTTTTTGCAATGACAGACCTCTTTTATATGGTATAATGTAAACATTGAATAATAGCTGCAAGACAATTTTCGAATAATAAAAAAGAGATCCATATTTCAGGTCTTGTTTGTATGAGATTTAATCAGTGTAACAGGACTTTCTAAAAATAGAAATTATGTCTTATGAACCACGAAAGAAAATCACTATTTAAAAGAATACACACTGTACAGTGATATCACAGAAATTACGTGCGTCTCGTGTCAATTATTACTCTGTCCATCTTCCCGAGGCAAGGGAGTTAACTGACTTTAAAAGTCCAGAACTCGCTGTTACTGAAATCGCTATATTTGACGGCATGGTTCTTTCAGTAAAAATGATCTAGTTAAAACAGAAAATGTTGATTTGTACAATCATATGAGTAAATCTTATCTAAATAAACTGCTGGGCAAAAGAAACTATACACTTGAAACTAAGATTTGACCAAAACGTTACAAACGTTATCAAAATGTTACGATAGTTTGCAAACAGCAAAATTTAAGGTCCAAAACACAACCATGATACCCGTATCAAATACATCACGATCGAATAACCATTTCGTGTTTGTTTCATTTTCAGTCACCATCAAACATGGGTGTATGCTTTCTTTTGCTTATTACTTTATAAGTAAATTGTTGAAGAAATAATATTATATGATTTGATTGCATGACAGTGATCGGTTATCCATCTAGATATCTTGCCATTGATGGGGTGGCTTCCATACTGTTTCAAAGGGAATACAGACATACAGTTTTAATCAGTATAAAGGCCACAGCCCCAAATACATAGTCATTTAAGTAATATATTCAATGTAAAAGCTACCTATTTATATCTAGTGTCGGGCTAAGTGATACACATCTCGCAAGTAGCACTTCGTCCGAAATGTATTGTGCAGATCAATTAAACGGTTTGAAAACCAATATCATTTCTTATTTTCATTTCATTTTGTGAAAAAAATAAATCTTACCATCGTCTGAGCAGCGAGACAGGCACGACTGGAACAACACCGCGGCTACCACGGCGAGGACGCGCATCTTTACAGTAAATGGATGGAGGGAGACTGCTCTCCCTGTCTTACGCCTAACTGGGGTTGCTGTTATGCGATAGCGAGTGGACTTTGTATAGCTTATCATAAGCACAAGCTTTGATTGGTCATTGTTCTGAAAATAGGTGGTAGATTATGTATTATATGTACTACAATCTGGCATACAACCAATGCAATAAGTGTGTACATGGCCGTCTCATCTGATTGGGTTATCTGTGTTGGGTGACTTTTATTTTTTGCACAGGTTAATCAGTGAGAGTTGTAATTATTTGAATGTAAGGGCAATGTTATTAATTGTCCCGTGTTAAAGAAAAAATAGAATATTATATTTGTCGACCTCAAAGTCTAACATGCTTACCGTATTTCTTCGAATATAAACTCGCAGGAACCCTGATACACTCGTATACTCATGGGCCAAAAGTAACTGGGATCATGTTTTTATTATTCTTATTGTAGTTTAGGAGAAGCTAATAAACCAATAATCATGTTTTTCGTTAGGACTGAAAGTGAAAGTGAGTTTAATTCGCTTCTGAAAAAACTATTACACCAGTTTGAAAGTGAAAGACTCTTTGAGAGTGATTTTCTCCTTTACCACAAAACGAATTAATACGTTAGCTAACCTGGCCTGTTGTTTTGTTGTGTACAGGGTTAGAATCAGTAAAGGTATATATCACCCATGTCGCTGTAATTATTATTAATATCAGTTATCAATAAATTCATATTACCCCAGCTGCATTTGACTTCAACTATATAGGACTTTATTTTTCTTTAAAACCAAGTTGCTGATATATTTAGTGTGAAGTGAACTTTATTTCAATCTGATTTAATGAGTCAGGTTTGATTTTAAAGGTGCCCCAGAAGATAAAATGAGTTAGTAAACATATTCCAGCAATATCACAACAGTGACATCACGATTTGACTTTACACATTTTACCCACGTAGAGAATCGAACTTGTGTATTCGATGTGACGAGCAAAGTTCTAAACGACTAAGCTACCCACTCTGCGCCTGAGAAAATAAGCCGGTTGAAGTTACGTCCCTTAGTTCGTTAAGCATTCGGAATACTTCGGACAAATACGACGAGCTCACCGAGTCGAGATAGTAAGTACGGTTAGCGAGTTCCCGTTGGTCAAAATGCCGTACACCTCATCAACAAAAATATGATCATGTACAAAAACACAAACCGCGTGTTTAGATATATATTTTAATTATTGATACGGAAACAAGACATTTATATTTGATAGCTCTATATCAAAGAAGTGTACCATTTGACTAAATTCGGATGTTAATCGTGATGTTGCAAGCGATGTATTTATAATTTGCCGCCATTTGTTGGGGTTTGCTTTTGTTGCAAATGCCGAATGTATATAATCTAAACCGTAAACGGTAGATGATCGACCATGTATATTAAACAGGTAAAGTAATATGCATTTTCTACGTTTGTTGAACTGTCATTTTTGTAAGATTTGACTTGCATCGCAAACGCCGATCAATCCCTGAGACATACTCAAACTGACGAACGAGGTGTTGTCTTTCTTTACGACCACTCTTTTGTTTGATCTAAAATACTCATAAGTATATAAAATGCAATCTGTTTTATCTGCTTCTTTCCACGACCATTCTTCGATGCGACACTTCTGAAATAAATGCAACAGCCTCAATTTAACCTATCGACATCATATGAAACAAAAATAAACATCAAATTTCGCTTAGTTTTTAAGGTCATGGATTCTAAGACTAAAGAGTATTCAAGTACCTCAGTTAGTTCTGATACAGTGTGCACTGTGAAGATATTGTGCTTTACTGTGAAGATTTTATGTAACTTTTGAATGAATGTTCTACCTAGAATTTCAGTAAACTAGCATAATAAAAAACAAACAAACTAGCATCTGCGCTTTCATTACAATACAGGCCTTATCATACACTGAGTCTTCAATGTTTTAATGCTACTAATAAGTTGTATGTTGAACCTATTGCAGTATCATCAGAATCTGGTCTGTAATGAGGATGTTAAGCTTAGAGTTTACAGGCCCACAACAATTATGGTGCAATATTCTTTTCAGCTTGTCATCCAAGGGTTCCGAAGTTACCGGGACCAGACAGTTGTGGAACCATTTCATCCAAAACACAATGTTATTGGTGAGATTAGATCTTTTCTAGTGTTTTCAGTATGTTCAGTAAAAATTTACTTCTTAATCTAATAATATTTTAATGAAATACATGTTGAAATATCTTTCGTGATATGCTTGATAAAATGATGTTGTAAGTTATATGTTTGTAATGATCATGATGATGGTAATGAAACATGCGTTTTTGCTTTCAGTGGGAAGAAATGGCTCTGGAAAAAGTAACTTCTTTTATGGTGAGAAAATTGTCACTTTATTCACAAATAAATATTTTATATTAAACTGTTAAGTTACAACTTAAATTCACCCTGCTTTCTCAAATTATAACACTATGAAGACAATTTCTATCCTATGACAGTGACAGGATTTATGCAGTAATCCTAACCCATGCCCCAACAACAAATGAACATATAACAATCGTGTGGGTCATAACAGACAAAGTTTACAAGTAAAAAAGAAATTGCATTTATAGAATTGAAATTTGGGAAATAACCTGGCTGTCACAATGCATTCATATTATGTAAGCATTTTCATCTAAGAATGAAAGTGATATCATTGACATTATTTCAGGCGATTTGAATATTTATGATGATGACTTGTCTTTGAATTATTACCATTATTTTAATGCCGTGTCATTTGATGAGATAATGTGAAAATAACCCACAAATAAATTGAATTTTTCAGCCATCCAGTTTGTGCTGTCTGATGAGTTCAGTCACATGCGTCCGGAGCAGCGCCAGGCATTGCTTCACGAGGGTACGGGCCCCAGGGTCATCACCGCCTTCGTCGAGATTATCTTTGACAACTCGGACAACCGAATTCCAGTAAGTTAACTTGGACGTGACACTCTTGTATACACATCTTGGTGTTGTTGTGTCATTAATGTATTAATTTGGTAACCTTTGTGATAAGGACAGAATATAAAATATGATTGGTTAAAGAGGAGAGTAATATGTTAATCAGGTGGCCACGATGGCTGCTCAGTATGTACAGTACAACCCTCATCCTCTGTCACTTTACTGGTTTGTTTGTTGTCAAACCGCTCACTCAGCTATATGCCCATGATCTGTTAATAATAGAGGTTAGACCAGATTGTCCAGTGATTGACATCATGAACATTGATCTACACAATTGGGATATGATAACATACATCAACCAAGTCCGCATGTCTGACCACCCGATCCCGTGACCAATTCTAACCCGGATCTTGACGGGTTGTGTTGGCGGTTGGGTAGCCTGGTGGTTAAAGCAATTACTCATCATGCTGAAGACCCAGGTTCGATTCCCCACATGTGTACAATGTGTGAACCCCATGTCTTGTGTTCCCCGCTGTGATATTGCTGGAATATTGCTAATAATGGCGTAAACCATGCACGCTCACTCTCTCTCCCGCTCACTCACTCCTTCACTCGCTCAAAATACATATTAACCTGGATTTGTAACAAGTCGATTATCATCCAATTTGTATTTGTAATTTGCTCCTCGTAATGTGAAGAAAAGGTTAGCACTTTAATGTGCCTGGTTTTTGTAACGTGAAAAGTTCACCATGTTTATAGTATGGGATCTATAGAAATTTTATCACTGCCATACCAACACAGAATAGTGAATAATGTGTGTTCATTTCAGATTGACAAGGATGAAGTTGTATTGAGAAGAGTCATTGGCTCAAAGAAGGATCAATATTTTCTCGACAAGAAAATGGTCACGTAAGTTCAGCAAGAAAACCATTCTTCAAACCGCCAGTTATTGCTAATAATGGACCGATAAGTGGTATGTCCTTGAAAATATGTTTATGAACTTTTTTATTCCATTATCAGAAAAATAAATTGAAGGCGAAAACTTTACAGAATTATTGCTGGATGTTATATGTCGGTGATGATGTTACAGTAAGACTGATGTGATGAACCTGCTGGAGAGTGCTGGCTTCTCCCGAAGTAACCCGTACTACATTGTCAAACAGGGAAAGGTGAGATACAGCAACAGTTGTGATGTGGAGGAACATTGATGTGACAGTATTGTTGCAGTTTTCATATGTCCATTATGGTTTTAGAATGATTTCATTTGAAAGTTCTTGGATCAAATTTAGTTGAATCTGTGACTTTGATTTTGTATACATGGTAAAGGCTGTTTGTTTTTTCATAAATTGGATTTGAACAAATGTAATATATTGAAAATCTCTCTTTGTGGTTGGCAAGCAAATAAAACATGACTAATTTTGATCACCTGACTTGTGTCAGACTCTGTCTTGAATTTAAGACGCCCACTTGTTTTTTAGTCAGCTTGATAACAAATTAAGATGCATACACAAAGTAACTGACTTCAGTATCAGGGTTATGATCATTAATCTAAAGACTAGTGAAATTTCCCCTTTCCCCAAACTAATTATATTACATACACTTTCTGTGTTATGAACATGTTGTATTGAACTCATTGTGTGTCTCATTCTCTCCCTCTCTTCCCCCCTACCTCCCTCCCTCCCTTGCTCTCTTCCTCTCTCTCTCTCTCTCTCTCTCTCTTTCCCTCCCTCTCTCTCTCTCTCTCTCTCTCTCTCTCTCTCTCTCTCTCTCTCTCTCTCTCTCTCTCTCTAACACGCTAGAGGGCCATGAGCCCACTATGACAGGTTCTCACCTAGGATAACTTATGTTTCAGATCAACCAGATGGCAACTGCCCCAGATTCACAGCGTCTCAAACTGCTGAGAGAGGTTGCAGGGACCAAGGTTTATGATGAAAGGAAAGAAGAAAGTAAAATTATTCTAAGAGAAACAGGTGAGCATACATTATTTGTTTTTATAGAAATTTTTCTGCAGGTCATATCAGGAAAAAGGGATTCAATCAGCCATGGTGATGAAATTTGGGCATTTGGATAGCACAGTGGTTACAGCTTTTGTTGCCAAAGTGAAGACGCTAGTTTGATGCCAACATGGGTACAATGTGTGAAGCCTGTTCTTTGTGTCCCCTGTCATGCTATAAATAAAATCAGTGTAAAACCAACTCACTGTCACCTTATTCAAGATAATATACCACTGTGGGGATTCTGGGTTAGAATTGGTCCCCAGCATCCTATACTTGTCGTAAGAGGCGACTAAATAGAGTTGGTGGTCAGACTTAGTTGATTGTGTGTCGTCATACCCTGATGGCTTGGGACCCTTGAAGATCCGCGTCAGAATAGGTCTTCAGCAACCCATGCTTGCTGTAAAGGCCGACTATGCTTGTCGTAAAGGCGACTAACGGGATCGGGTGGTCTGCCTCGCTGATTTGGTTGATGCATGTCATTGATCCCAAGTGCGTTGATTGATGCTCATGATATTAATCACTGGATTGTCTAGTCCAGACTCGATTATTTACAGACCGCCGTCATATAGCTGGGATATTGCTGAGTGCGGCGTTAAGCAACAAACCAACCAACCAACAAACCTGATGGCGTTGGATTTTGTTCATGATTACAATCGTTTATTCTCTTTCTGATTAAATCCTCCTTGGGGCACTTATTGCATTTTCCTTGCTCAAGAAAATCTATATGACATAGTTGTAACCATTTTCCTTAATAAAAAATGTTACCACACAAAAAACTTCGTTTTTGTATGATATACGACCACCCTTACGGGGCCTCACCCCCAACGGCGCCTCACGCCAGGGGGAGCAACTCTCACCCAAATCACTTTTCCTTATGTCATCTGTAAGAGACAGACGTGTTGATTTTTCACACAAGACAAAAATAAGAGAAATCTATCGTTCGACAAGAACCATGGCTGACCAAACTGTATGTATGGTACATTTCTTTCATTGCAAAGGCGTAATACCTCGCATTGTGAAGTTATAGAGTTGTAATAATACGCCACGTGCACGGTACCTTTGAATTCAAATGGCCGTAATGGCGTCCATATTGTAGTTCCACGGGCTGATACATGTAACACCAAGGCCATTAAGAAACGGCTTGGGGTTTTGTTATATCATACAGCATTGGTCTACAATTTTTTCCTTTACAAAACCCAAGGTGGTGTGTTAATTCATAAACTACACTTACCTTTTTTACGGGTTTTTACACCTTAGCGCGTAACACGCCCCTTTGGTGTTATAATTATACTAAGACATTGGCTATTAGTATCGCGTTACAAATCGCATTCTACATTACGCCTTTGCTTCTAGTTTCACAATTTATGCACGTTTCTTTCCGATCTTTATATCGCACTGATACACGTTGATGCCCTTCCCGCCCACCTCAGAAATTACGGTCTTGTTTACAAGACCTTCAAACTGTGTACGGGTTGTTCTAAGACAGGCACGAACGCTGCCTAATATGTCTGGCGGAGGACATTGCCTTTACCCCCCGGGGCCCCCAAAAAGAGACAAGTTGACTTGTTCCACTTTAAAGAGGTCTATTAAAGGCGGGGGTAGATATCAGATCTACTAAGACATCCCCCTCCCCATCTAAAAAGGGTAAAAAAGCTGCCGAGATTGTCTCCCCCGCTCCCTCTCCGGGGGCCGGGGGAGAAGGCTCGAGGGTCCCCGTAGTAAGCACTGCACCCTCTCCTGCACTGTCTTTGGCAGACTTTTCTGCGTTACTTAAGTCGCAGATGGCGTCGATGATGGAGGAGGTAAAGTCTCAGCTCCGAGAGGAGATGCGGACCGAGCCTTCCCCGTTGTCGGCGCCGGAAGCGGCTTCGAGACCTTGTGATATGCCCGGCGTCGGCCGAGGCAGGCAACTTGGTCTCGGGGACGATCTCAGACCGGGCTTCGGCGCCGGCTCGAGGTCGCTCCCCAGCGGAGGGGTGGCGGGCGCCGGCCCGTGCACTACCGACGCACAATTTTTCCCTAGCGGAGCCAGACGCCTTTTCCGAGGCCGAGGCTTTCACTAGTGGATTCGTAGCCCGGAGCCAGGGGGGTTCCCTTGGTCTCGGGGACGATCCGAGACCGAGCTTCGGCTCCGGCTCGAAAAGCCGACGCACAATTTTCCCTAGCGGAGCCAGACGCCTCTTCCGAGGCCGAGGCGTCCACTTGTGGATACCTAGCCCGGAGCCAGGTTGGTTCCCTTTGTCTCGGGGACGATCCGAGACCGAGCTTCGGCTCCGGCTCGAGGTCGCTCCCCAGCGTAGTGGTGGCGGGCACCGGCCCGTGCACTACCGACGCACAATTTTCCCTAGCGGAGCCAGACGCCTCTTCCGAGGCCGAGGCTTCCACTAGTGGATACCTAGCCCGGAGCCAGGTTGGTTCCCTTTGTCTCGGGGACGATCCGAAACCGAGCTTCGGCTCCGGCTCGAGGTCGCTCCCCAGCGTAGTGGTGGCGGGCACCGACCCGTGCACTACCGACGCACAATTTTCCCTAGCGGAGCCAGACGCCTCTTCCGAGGCCAAGGCTTTCACTAGTGGATACCTAGCCCAGTGCCAGGTGGGTTCCCTTGAACCTCCGGCACCTCGGCACCGGGACTCGGCCTCGGGCCGGGTGCAGAGACACGTGCGGGACAGGATTGTCCATGTACTGCCTCAGGTGGCTGCACCCATGCCAGAGTCGGAGACACCCAACTTGACTAAGGTCAAGCAGGGCCGGCGGTTGCCCCCCCTTTCCCGTGTGCGGTGCGGAGTTGAAGGCTGCTTACATATGCTTCGAGGAGCAATATCATAATGCATGCCAACAGCTCCGTGTGTCCGTACACTCCGCGTATCTGTCGGCTGTACAGAGGGAGTTAGCGGGAGAGGGGCCGGCCGACTCTTCGGAGTTGGCCGCGCAACTAACATTATCTTGCGCGGGACGCTATTCGTAGCTGTGCCTCGCATATGATGTGCGCTGTTATGTGCATGCGCAGGCGGTGGATGTCGGTATCTAAATACTCGACTTACACACGCCAAGACCTACTTGCTTTGCCGTATAAGAGGGTGCCACCCTCTTCCCTGGGGCTCAGCAGGCGGTCCGAGAGGCTGCTCAATTGTATACTTCCATCAAAGACTCATAAGGCCTTGTTGGAGGTACCAAGCGTTAAAACCGCGTAAGCGGGCCTCTCCAATTGTCCCCTCCTACGCTAACGCACGGGTCAGACGTCCACACCTGCTGGGAATCCGCCGCTTCCTTCAGGTATAAGGGCGCCGGGAGGAGCAAGAGAGGCACGGGCCGGGGCAAGGCAGCTGGTCGAGGCCAACAGCTTTTTCGCGGGGCTGGGAACGATGGGTTCCCATTAGCGCCCGAAGAGCCCCGGGTGAACCCACAGTCGCAAGTTATCGGGAAAACTCATCCGCTCCTCCACTTTTCCGGGAATAAAGCACACTCAGGTGCCTGCTACCCGAGAGAAGGCGGAATTCCTCCGTGCCGAGGTCGACGCACTTCTTATGAAAGCTGCGATCGAACCGGGTCCCGAGGGACAGGAAAGCGAGGGCTTCTACTCGACTTGTTTCCTAGTCACCATACAGTGATCTCAACTGTCGAGACAGGAGAATGGCTAACGTCAATAGACTTAAAATACGCCTATCTCCACATACCAATACACCCCGAGTTCAAGAAATACCTGAGGTTTTCTTTCGACGGGAGGTGTTATCAGTTCAGGGTTCTACCATTCGGGATCTCCACGGCCCCGAGGGTGTTCACCAAGCTGATGTTGATTCTCGCCCAAGTGGCCAGGTCAAAAGGTCGGTTCTGCCATCCGTACCTCGACGACTGGTTACTAAGAGCTCTATTGCAATCCCTGAGTCAGATAGCTACACAACAAGTGATAGATATTCTGATCACTCTAGGGTGGATGGTCAATCTCAAGAAGTCAGATCTGAGCCCCACTCAGAATCTAGTCTTCCTAGTGGCTAATTTCAACACGGTGAGAGGACGTGTATCTCTGTCACAAGATATCAAGTCCCTTAAGCGCAAGTCACACTGCTCGTACATGGCTCCAGTTACTGGACAACATGGCGGCGACAGTGGATTTGGTCTGGCGGGCGCGCTTGAGAATGAGTCCCATTCAACAAGCACTCCGTCGACTTTGGGCGAACTCGGAAGATCTCGAGACTGTGCTCGAGACTCCGTAGTGGCTCATTACACACCTCCAGTGGTGGACCGAGGTCGGGAATCACTCCCGTTCCGTCTCTCACAGTTCAAACAGACGCGTCACTCTCCGGCTGGGGAGGCGTTCTGAATGATCACACTGCCTCGGGACTATGGTCCCAGCAGGAGATCAAACTGCATATCAATGTGCTAGAACTGAGAGCGGTCAGGTTGGTGTTCCAACGCTTCCCGGATCTGCTTCGTGGCCAAGTGGTTCGTCTAGAGATGGACAACCAAACGGCGATGACTTACATCCGGAAGCAGGGGGGAATGGCGTCTCCGTCGCTTCGACGAAAGACGTGGCAGTTCCTACTATAGTGCGACTCTCACGATATCAGGGTGCTACCTGTTTATCTCCCGGGGGTGGACAACGTCCGTGCGGACGCTCTGTCTTGCCGGATCCTCGCTCCTCACGAGTGAAGGCTCGACCCGGGGATATTCGGGATTTTCTCCCTGTTATACAGGTCGTTACAGGTGGATCGGTTTGCGTCTGGGTTAAATAACCAGACACCAACGTTCTGCTCCCGAGTCCACGACCCGAGGTCGGTGGCACCGGACGCCTTTCAGCTAGATTGGACGGACAGTTCTGTGGGCATTCTCCCCAGTACCTCTGATTTCCAAGGTCCTGTCTCAGCTAGGCACTCAGCCTGCGTGACTAATTGTGCTCCTGGCACCTCTTTAGTCGGCGCAGAGTGGTTTTCCAGTAATACTCAGGTTTCTGGCTCAGCCTCCTGTTATATTACCTTTACGACCGGACCTCCTATCCCAGAACGGGGCCCTCCACCCGAATCTCAGGATTCAATTGGTGGCTTGGCCACTGTCAGGAATCGCCTCCAGAAGAGCGGTATTCCTGCACGAGTTGCAGACACAATACTGGCTTCGCGGAGGGATTCGACAAACGTTCAGTACGATAGATAGGCCTGCTATGCGCCCTGGTGTGTCGATAGAGGGATTGCAGATCTTTTTTCTGCAGATCTCGTATCCGTGCTTGAGTTTATCCAGTCGCGACTAGATGACGGCCTGGCCGCATCAACAGTCCGAGGGTACTCTACAGCTATCGCAGCTTTTCACGTCCCTGTCGACGGGGCACTTCTGGGTGCACACCCATTAGTGCAGCGCTTTTTAGCAGGGGTGGACAGGATCCGACCGCCAGTCTGGCGGATCAGTCCCCCTTGGGACTTGTCAATCATTCTAGATTGGCTGTCCGGTCCTTCCTTTCGGGATCTGTCGTCTCTCTCTCTTCAGCTGTTGAGCTGGGAGACGGCGTTCCTTGTGGTGGTAACGTCCGGCAGACGGGTAGGCGACATTCGTGTTATGTCAGCCGATCCCAAAATAACGGTCTTCCATGGGGTCGATAAATATCACCGGGACAGTCAGTTTTCGTCTACCGGACTATTACCGTCCTAGGGTCGCACACGATTCCACGTGAACGGCTCCTATTGAGCTACCTGCTCTTTCACAGCCTTCCTCGTCGGGGACCACTGCAAGACATGCTCATGTCTTGGATGTCCGCACGACTCTCAAGGCCTATATCAGCAGAAATATGGGTGTCCGTAAGGATAACCAACTATTTTGCTGTTACTGCGGTAGGAAGGTTGGCTCACCTGCGAGTAAACAATCTATCTCGAGGTGGATAGTTTCAAATATTTGTACAGCGTATACGCTTACAGGCAGGGACCCCCCTACCAGGTTGAAGGCTCATTAGGTTAGAGCAGTGGCTGCGTCAAAAGCGTACGCCGCGGCTCTGCCCATTGAGCAGATCTGCTCCGCGGCTATTTGGAGCCAGCCGAGCACGATTCATCAAACCTTACCAACTCGACAAACACTCAAGCGAGCGTACTCGGTTTGGTCAGTCAGTTCTCCGAACTGGGCAAAGTTCTAATCTCTAGCTGATTGAGCATTCGAGATTTTAGACAGTCTTCCGGTTATACTGCTCAGTAATGGTCCGGATTTTATCTTCTGCGGTCGATAAATATCAGTCCTTACTACTCGATAATACTCGTATTTTGCGCACGCACTCCTTCGATCCTCGGGGACCCTCTGGCCTAGCTCAGCGCTGGTTATGGTCTCTCGTGATCTACGCCCTTATATCACTTGTTCAAAAAAAGTGTGGGGGGGTGGGAGGTGTTTCGAGTTCTCAACTTATGACAAGCCGCAAAAACAGGCTTTATCATAATATATGGTCGACCACGCCCTGTCTCTAGCCCCCGCCTTTCGACGGTGGTGCCTCACGATAAGGTTGGTTCCATTTATTGAACTCAATATTTTATTCTGTTGAATAATCAAATACGATGTATTTATTTACGCCTGTTGCTGACGGATGCCACTTCCTAGATTATCTTTGGGAGTCTGTCTTGATGCAATAAGTGCCCCAAGGAGGATTTAATCAGAAAGAGAATTTTACAAACCTGTAGAGGTTATGAATTCTCTGATGAAATCCTCCTTGGGGCACGGCCACCCACCTCCCCACATTCCGTCAGCATTTGACATATGGAAAGTGATTTGGGTGAGAGTTGCTCCCCCTGGCGTGAGGCGCCGTTGGGGGTGAGGCCCCGTAAGGGTGGTCGTATATCATACAAAAACGAAGTTTTTTGTGTGGTAACATTTTTTATTAAGGAAAATGGTTACAACTATGTCATATAGATTTTCTTGAGCAAGGAAAATGCAATAAGTGCCCCAAGGAGGATTTCATCAGAGAATTCATAACCTCTACAGGTTTGTAAAAATTTACATTTATTAGAGGGGTACACAAGGTACGTGATCAAAACTACCAGTTGTCGTACTTCCTTTTTGCGGAAGCCTTGGTGGCTAAGTGGGTTAGGTCGCTGACTTTGTGTGTTGGCGATTAGGTGCCTGACTCTGAGAGTGGTTTTGAATTCTGGATGGGACTCAACCCCAAGAAGTAATATAATTTTGTACTTTGCCAAGAATATAACATTTGTTAAATCTTTTGTTTTTCTGGTCAGACTTGAGGCGGGAAGTTTGTTTTGAGATGTGCGTGTGTATGAGAGGTTGATGTGGAAGTCATAAACATAGAGTGAAATCTACACTCAGACACAGACTGTTGTTTAATGTAAGCTTGGTAGTTTCTGTGATTTTGCATCCAGCACTATGTCAAGCCAGGCTCTTGTTCATGTGTTGTCAGAGGGTAAGCGCGAGAAGATCAACGACCTGCTGAAGTACATCGAGGAGAGGCTGGACACCCTGGAGTCAGAGAAGGAGGAGTTGAAGGAGTACCAGAAGTGGGACAAGATGAGGAGGTCTGCATCCCATTATAACTGGACAGTGTTAACCCAGAAACCCCTCCTCCCATATTATTACTACAGTGGTAACCAAGAAACCCCTCCTCCCATATTATTACTAAAGTGTTAACAAAGAAACCCCTCCTCCCATATTATTACTACAGTGTTAACCTAGGCACCCGTCCTCCCATTTTACTACTACAGTGTTAATCCAGAAACCCCTCCTCCCATATTATTACTAGTGTTAATCCAGAAACCCCTCCTCCCATATTATTACTACAGTGTTAACCAAGAAACCCCTCCTCCCATATTATAACTGTACAGTGTTAACCCAGAAACCCCTCCTCCCATATTATAACTGTACAGTGTTAACCCAGAAACCCCAACTCCCATATTATTACTGTAGTGTTAACCCAGAAACCCTTCCTCCCATATTATAACTGTACAGTGTTAACCCAGAAACCCTTCCTCCCATATTATAACTGTACAGTGTTAACCCAGAAACCCCTCCTCCTATATTATAACTGTACAGTGTTAACCCAGAAACCCCTCCTCCCATATTATATCTGTACAGTGTTAACCCAGAAACCCCTACTCCCATATTGTAACTGGACAGTGGTAACCCAGAAACCCCTCCTCCCATATTATAACTGTACAGTGTTAACCCAGAAACCCCTCCACCCATATTATAACTGTACAGTGTTAACCCAGAAACCCCTCCTCCCATATTATAACTGTACAGTGTTAACCCAGAAACCCCTCCTCCCATATTATAACTGTACAGTGTTAACCCAGAAACCCCTCCTCCCATATTATTACTAAAGTGTTACCAAAGAAACCCCTCCTCCCATATTATTACTACAGTGTTAACCTAGAAACCCCACCTCCCATATTCTTACTGTAGTGTTAACCCAGAAACCCTTCCTTCCATATTATAACTGTATAGTGTTAACCCAGAACCCCCCTCCCATAGATAATGTATCTGAATAATTTATGTATTACTTTAGTCATTAGTGATATAAATGTTTTCTGTTTTGTTGTCAGATCTCTTGAATACACCATCCATGACCATGAGTTGAGAGACACAAGAAAAAAACTTGATGAAGTAAGTTGAAAGGGGGCATATTTGCAGTTTTATGTCCTACCTCCAGCAATGGTTTCAGGCCTGATTGCTGTGTAGAATTGACTAGGGAATAAAGACATATGTACTGTAATGATGATTAACCTTTGTGTAAGTAACAGAAGTAGTTCCAAGTATTTGTGCATGTACAAGCTGCACACCTCAGTCCTTTGTTTGTTGTCTAATGCCACACTGAGCAATATTTCATATATATGTATTGGGTACAATGTGTGAAGCCCATTTCTGGTGTCCCCCGCCGTGATATTGCTGGAATATTGCTAAAAGCGGTGTAAAACCATACTCACTCGCTCTTCATGGGTGCAGTCCCCTTTATGTTGTCCTGCTTGCGGTGTCATGATGATGCTGTCTGTGTCAAGCTGCCAGTGGACTAAAGTGTAGGAGCTTTCTCCCTTTGTTTCAGTTACAAGAGAAACGGGACAATAGTGGACAGATGAGCCAGAAACTGCGGGATAGTCAGCAACAGGCAACTGACAAAGTCAAGGTAAGTGTTTACTGCTTGGTAGAACATAAGTGTTCGAAATCAAACATGAAAGTCCTTGTCATGACCCTAATGTTGAAAGTTAATGGGTTCAAGTATTATAGCAAGAGACTTCAAGGACCCCAGGACCATGAATTTTGTCTAATGTTAAGAGTACCATGAACCTTGGTTTCCTGGCACAAGTCCTGACCACACTTAGTAAGCTTCTGTGAAACAACTGAGATACTGCTGTATGTGGGATCAAGCTCAATTCACTCATATCTGCATTGTGAGGTTTGAAGTTCTCAAGTAAACAATCCCACTTTTTGTGTTCAGTCCATCAACCGAGACCTGAAGGACCTGAAGAGTCGTATGCAGACCATCCTGGATGAGAAGGACACGATGGTGAGCGAGAACCAGGACCTGACGAAGAAGAAGGCCAAGCTGGAGTTGAACATCAAGGACATCGTTGATGAGATGGAGGGCAACACCAGTGCCAGGGTGAGGAGCAGGAGGGTTACCTCCCCTGTATGAGGGAATAGTGTCAGAGGTTCTCACATCTTCCCGAGGCAAGAGAGTTAACTGACTATAAAAGTCCACCCTTGCCGAACTAGGCTGGTATTATGGAGTTACATTGTGGCTGGACTAACGAGTCTATGCATAGTCCAATCAAAATAGCGCACTGAAATCAAAATCCGGTTCGTAAAGTCTCATGCAGATTTCGGTCGACTGCAGGATTTGCAAAGCATGTGCACCGCTAACTCGTTGTCAACAGATATTTTCTATAATCTTTTCATGTTTTTAATCAAGGTGGTCAGATTATTGATGCAGTGGTTTTTCAATGAAACTTCCCAAATGCATTGTACAATCGTTCAATGGTGCCTTTTGCTATTTGTAAAATTTTAATTTTATTTGTTACGTTTCCATCAAAACAATTTGGACTTAATTTTCTCTAGGCTTCATTTCTGAGCCATAACTCTCAAACTAATGAATATTTTTGCATGAAACTATATATGTTCTATGACCACATGCTCAACTATTGCCTTTTAATGTTTTTCAACTTTAATATGTTTTAATTTGTTGAGTTTCCATGGAAACAATTTGCTCTACTTGAAACATGTCTATACAAATGTTTCCAGCTTAAAATAAAACAATCCACCCGAACACACCTAGCATCACCATGGTCATCTCCCAACAATCTGGATCATGCATGCTTTTCATGTCTGTTGACCTACGCACACTGAACTTGTGATTTCCCCAACCAACTCACCCCCTTTCTAATTGCCACAGTGTGGTGACATGCTCTGGCCAGAGAATCCATTTAGTTTTTTCCCTTTTTCCAATTTTCTCTCTTTGAAGACTAAAGATAGACTGACTCAAGATTGGGTTCGGCAAACTAGGGCTCGCCAATCACAGGATCAGATATCTTCGTAGACTCGCCATAATTGTGAATCCTCCACGGATCGGCATACTTCTAAGATTCTGCGAACATCTGGCGATCAGCGCACCTATGTAAAGCACCAAACTTCCAAGGTTTGACATATGCCACAGGATCGACACACCTCCAAGGATCTGCACACTTCCAACAATCCCTACACCTCTAAGGATCGACACATCTCAAAGGAGCGACATAACTAAGGATCAACGTTCCCCCATGGTTCGACAAACCTCCACGAATCAACGCTCCTCTCCAGATTGGTGATCTTCCACTGAGCGTTACTCTTCCAAAGATCACCGATCAGGGGAGTTCAGATTCCTCACATTTCGGCTCGGAAGATGAACTGCATACTGATTCTATTTAACACTCGTCACACTTGGCTCACTCATCTTCTTCCCGTCATCTTGACTCTCGCCTATGTGATTGTTCTTGTTCTTATGACTATCATCATTAACAACGAGAATTTCCTTTGATCCCTGTTTGGTATAATGCCTACCCAAACCAAGCACATGATTAGGAACACTATAATATATGGACTCCTTCCTTTCATGGTGCGGGTACTCCCACAGCACTGCTTACCCGGATTACCTTGTCTATCCTCTCCTTGCCGTGAAGTTTCCTCTCTTCCTCTCCTCTTCCTCTCCTCTCTTCCTCTCCTATGACTTACATGCCTCTTCAGCCCCTGTATCCAGACAAGCAGCTTCCAGTTCTCACAGACGCTATAGATGCTACTTGCAAAGAACGCCATAGAGTGCCTGGGCTCAGCTCCCATGACACAGGGTTTCTACACACCGATCTTCATGATCCCAAACAAAGACAGCCTCCAACTCTGTCTCATTTTCAACAAATTATACATAGAGATACCTCCACCCTTCCGGATGATGTCAATTGCGTTACTACGTACGATTCTTTGTCCCCGGCAACTTCATGATCAGCCTTTTACATTTTACATGTCCCCATCCATTTGGAATTTCTTTGGCCCTGTGGCTATTTATGAGCCTCACCAAGCCCATCGTCAAATTCCTAGGTGTTCGAGACATCGTCTTCGAATCATACATCGACAACTGCATTCAAGCCAACGAAGATCCAGGCATTCTCTTACATCTCATCATTACACAACGTCTTCTTCATCAATTCGGCTGGCTTGTCAACGCAAAAAAATCTGAACCAATTCCAACTCAACGTCTTCATTCTCTTTCAGATTAAATCCTCCTTTGGGCACTTATTGCATTTTGCTGGCTCAAGAAAATCTACATTACATAGTTGTAACCATTTTCCTTAATAAAAATGTTACCACACAAAAAATTCGTTTTTGTCTGATATACGACCACCCTTACGGTGCCTCACCCTCCACGGCGCGTCACGCCAAGGGAAGCAACCCTCACCCAAATCACTTTCCTTTATGTCATTCATCTGACAAGACGTGTGGCTACTCTGAGAAAAGTTTCTAAGTACGAAATCGTGACCTGAGCATGGCTGACCAAACTGTATGTATGGTACATTTATTACCTTGCAAAGGTGTAATACCTCGCATTGTAAAATTATAACGTTGTAATTCTCTTAGAAGAAACGCCACATGTACGGTGCATGTGAATTCAAATGTCCGTAATGGCGTCCATTGTGCGGTTCCACTGTCTGACACATGTAAACCCAAGGCCAACAAAATGGCTTGGGGTTTGGTTAATCATACAGATTACAACTGCACGTTTTTTCCTTTACAAAACCCAAGGTGATGTACTTGATTATAACTACACATACCATTTTTAAAAGGGTTTTTACACCTTAGCTTGGTGCTTGGTGCAGAACAGGCATGATGATCAGACATGCTCCACATGCATGGCTTTCACGCCCAAAACAATGAAAAGGCGACATGCCGACCTCATACACTATAAAAGTCTACTCGAGGCGGGGGTGGATATCCACTCTAAGAAGGCCATTCCCCCCCCGTCTAAAAAGGGTAAAAGTAAACCTAGGGCTAATACGCCTTCCGCCACGGTCTCCTCTGCCCCTCTACGAGGGCCGGGGGTGAAGGCTCTAGGGTTCCCGAGGTCCCCTTAACTGCACCCTCTTCTGCACCTTTGTTAGCAGATATATCTGCTCTGTTTAAGTCGCAGGTGGCGTCGATGATGGAGGAGGTCAAGTCCCAGCTCCGAGAGGAGATGCGGGCTGGGCCTTTTCCGTTGTCGGCGCCGGGCGCGGTTTCGAGGTCTTGTGGAATGTCCGGCGTCGGCCGAGGCAGGCATCTTGACCTCGGGGACGACCCGAGACCGGGCTTCGGCTCCGGCTCGAGGTCGCTCCCCAGCGGAGGGGTGGCAAGGCGCTGGCTCGTTCACTACCTCCTCACCTTTCTCCCTAGCGGAGTCAGACGCCTTCTCCGAGGCCGAGGCTCCCGCTAGTGGAATTATGGCCCAGAGCCAGGTGGGTTCTCTTGAACCCCCGGCACCTCGGGGCGGGACCTCGGCTTCGGGCCGGGGGCAGCCCGGGGATGAGAAGGCCCAGGCCTTCGGGCATCCTTTTCCTACCTCCTCTGCTCACTCTCTTGAGGTCGATTACGGTCGGCTCGGAATCGAGAGATGAGGAGTGGATGGAGGAGGGAGGGGATGACTCAGAGGCTTCGGGAATTTTTTTCATCGCATCCTTGTTGAGGCACGTACGGGACAAGATTGTCCAGGTACTGCCTCAGGTGGATCCGACTGAGTTCCGCCATCCGGGGGACGCCTTTGCTCCTAGCAAGGCGCCCCAGGTGCGGCTCCGTATCTAGTCCTCCCTGACACACGAGGTCATCGACCCTCTGCTCTCGGGTGCCCGCAGGAAGTTCGACCTACCCGAACTTATTAAGCGGTACCCGTTAGCAGAGGACGGTGATTTTGAGGTGCCAGTGCCAGTGACTTCTGTCACCCTGGGGGGGTCTTCGACCCCCGCCTTGGCTAAGGCAAAGCAGGGCCGGCGGTTGCCCCCCTTTCCCATGTGAGGCGCGGAGTTGAAGGCTGCTTACGTTTGCTTTGAGGAGCAATACCGTAATGCATGCCAACAGCTTCGCATATCCGTACACTCCGCGTATCTGTCCGCTGTACAGAGGGAGCTAGTGGGAGAGGGGCCGGCCGACTCTTCGGAGTTGGCGGTGCAACTGATGGAGGTCCATAGTCACCTCGCGAGGGACGCTATTCGTAGCTGTGCCTCGCAGATGATGTGCGCAGTCATGGGCATGCGCAGGCTGTGGATGTCAGTATCTAAGTACTCGACATCCACACGCCAGGATCTCCTAGCTTTGCCTTATAAGATGGGTTCTACCCTCTTCCCTGGGGCTCAGCAGGTGGTCAGAGAGGCCGCTCAAATGTATGCTTCTATCAAGGACTCTAAGGCCTTGTTGGAGATACCTAGCGTCAAACCGCGTAAGCGGGCCTCTCCGCTTGACTTCTCCCACGCTGATGCGCCGGCTCAGAAGTCCGCACCTGCTTGGAAGCAGGCGCTTCCTTCAGGTAAGGGCGCCGGGAAGAGCAAGCGAGGCAGGGGCCGGGGCAAGGCAGCTGGTCGAGGCCAGCAGCCTTTTCGCGGGGCCGGGAACCCGATGGGTTCCCATTAGCGCCCGAAGCGCCCCGGGCGGACCCACAGTCGCAAGTTATCGAACTGCAGACAGTAGGGGTCCACTGCCTAAAACCGGATGTCCCCGTAGGCGGCCGACTGACTCTATTCCTGAGGAAATGGGAGAAAGTCACCTCAAATCCCTGGACGCTGTCCACTCTAAGGGAAGGCCATTTGCCTCGGTGGAAACATCATCCGCCTCCCTTCTCCTTCTCCGTCTCTCACAGTTCAAACAGACGGGTCACTCTCCGGCTGGGGAGGCATTCTGAACGATCACACTTCCCAGCAGGAGATCAAACTGCATATCAATATGCTAGAACTGAGAGCGGTCAGGTTGGTGTTCCAACGCTTCCTGGATCTGCTTCCTGGCCAAGTGGTTCGTCTAGAGATGGACAACCAAACGGCGATGACTTACATCCGGAAGCAGGGCGGAACAGTGTCACCGTCGCTTCTCGAAGAGGCGTGGCAGTTCCTCCTATGGTGCGACTCACACGATATCAGGGTGATACCTGTTTATCTCCCGGGGGTGGACAACGTCCTTTCGGACGCTCTGTCTCGCCGGATCCTCGCTCCTCACGAGTGGAGGCTCGACCCGGGGATATTCGGGATTATCTCCCAATTATACGGGTCGTTCCAGGTGGATCTGTTTGCGTCTGGGGTGAATCACTAGACACCAACGTTCTGTTCCCAAGTCCCCGACCCGAGGTCGGTGGCAGCGGACGCCTTCCAGCTAGATTGGACGGCAGAATACTATGGGCTTTCCCCCCAGTACCTCTGATCCCCAAGGTCCTATCTCAGCTAGCCACTCAGCCTGAGCGACTACTTGTGCTCCTGGCACCTCTTTGGTCGGCGCACAGCTGGTTTCCAGTTATACTCAGGTTTCTGGCTCAGCCTCCTGTATTTTACCTTTACGACCGGACCATCTATCCTAGAACGAGGCCCTCCACCCGAATCCCAGGATTCAGTGGGTGGCTTGGCCACTGTCAGGAATCGCCTCCAGAAGAGCGGTATTCCTGCACGAGTTGCAGACACAATACTGGCTTCGCAGAGGGATTCGATAAACGTTCAGTACGAGGATAGATGGGCCTGCTATGCGCGCTGGTGTGTCGATAGAGGGATTGCAGATCCCTTTTCTGCAGATCTCGTAGCAGTGCTTGAGTTCCTCCAGTCGCGACTAGATGACGGCCTGGCCGCATCAACAGTCCGGGGGTACTCTACAGCTATTGCAGCTTTTCACGTCCCTGTCGACGGGGCACTTCTGGGTGCGCACCCATTAGTACAGCGTTTTTTAGCAGGTGTGGACAGGATCCAACCGCCTGTACGGCGGATCAGTCCCCCTTGGGACTTGTCAATCGTTCTTGATTGGCTGTCCGGTCCTTCCTTTCGGGATCTGTCGTCTCTCTCTCTTCAGCTGTTGAGCTGGAAGACGGCGTTCCTTGTGGCGGTAATGTCCGGCAGACGGGTAGGCGACATTCACGCAATGTCAGCCGATCCCGAGCTAACCGTCTTTCACTGGGATAGGGTCAGTATTCGGTTGCCGGTTTCTTACCGTCCTAAGGTCGCACACGCCTTCCACGTGACGGCTCCTATTGAGCTACCTGCTCTTTCACAGCCTTCCTCGTCGGGGACCACTGCAAGACATGCTAATGTCTTGGATGTCCGCAGGACCCTCAAGGCCTTTATCAGCAGAACTAAGGGTATCCGTAAGGATAACCAATTTTTTTGCTGTTATGGCGGTAGGAAGGCTGGCTCACCTGCAAGCAAACAAACTATCTCCAGGTGGATAGTCTCTACTATCTGTACGTCGTACACACTTCAAGGCAGGGACCCCCCTACCAGGTTGAAGGCTCATTCGGTTAGAGCGGTAGCTACGTCACAAGCGTACGCTGCGGCTCTGCCCATTGAGGAGATCTGCTCCGCGGCTATTTGGAGCCAGCCGAGCACGTTCATAAAACACTACCAACTCGACAAGCACTCAAGCAGCGTGCTCGGTTTGGTCAGTCAGTTCTCCGTCCATACTACTCCATAATACTTGTATTGCACAGCACTCCTCAGATCCTCGGAGACTCTCTGGCCTAGCTCAGCGTGGTTATAGTCTCTCGTGATCTACGCCCCTATATCACTCGCTAAAAAAAATTTAAAAAAAAGGGGTGGGGGGGTGGGAGTGTTTTGAGTTCTCAAAATATGATCAGCCACGAATAAAGGCTAATATCATAGTATATGGTCGACCACGCCTTTCTCCAGCCCCCACCTCTCGACGGTGGTGCCTCACGATCAAGGTTGGTTCCATTTTATTGAACTCTTAGTCTATTCACTGAATATTCAAAATACGATGTATTTATTACGCTTGTTGCTGACGGATGCCACTTCCTAGATTATCTTTAGGAGTCTGTCTGGATGCAATAAGTGCCCCAAGGAGGATTTAATCTGAAAGAGAATTTTACAAACCTGTAGAGGTTATGAATTCTCTGATGAAATCCTCCTTGGGGCACGGCCACCCACCTCCCCACATTCCGTCAGCATTAGACATATGGAAAGTGATTTGGGTGAGGGTTGCTTCCCTTGGCGTGACGCGCCGTGGAGGGTGAGGCACCGTAAGGGTGGTCGTATATCAGACAAAAACGAAGTTTTTGTGTTGTAACATTTTTATTAAGGAAAATGGTTACAACTATGTCATGTAGATTTTCTTGAGCCAGGAAAATACAATAAGTGCCCCAAGGAGGATTTCATCAGAGAATTCATAACCTCTACAGGTTTGTAAAAATTTATGGGGACTCTGTTCGACACACGCCTACGCAAGATGTTCATGCCCTATGATCTTTGGGTTCGTAATTAACACTTTGTTCCATTAATTGGTGCCAATGGCAACAACTTTTTGGTCTCCTGACTTCAGCACAGGCTCTCACCAGGCGAGGACAACTCCACATGCGACCAGTTCAGTGTTCTATTCAAGCTTTACCTACAGAACGACCATTGTCAGGTTTTAGTTTCCCTTCTGAATCATCTGCGTCCTCATCTACAATGGTGGCTGGTTCTGTCGAACATCTGCAAAGGATCCCCCTTGTGGACGTTTTTCCCGACTCAACATCTCTTTGTCAACACCTTGACCGTGGGTTGGGGAGCTCATTATCAGGAATTACATGTGGCAGGGCGGTGGTCTCTCTTCACACCATATCTTACAGTTCAAGCAGTGATCTTGGCAGTATCACATTGGCGCTCTCTGGCGCTCGACTTCTTTCAACTGATCGACTCACTTAACACATTCAAGTTTGGGAGAGACACATTCCTGGCGCCATAGCCTACTCCCTGTCCTGACCCAACGAACCGTCTCCCACGGAATGGCGCCTCCACCCAATGATCTTCCAGTTTATTTGCCAGTTACTTCCGTGTCCGGATGTTGATCGTTTCACAACCTGTTTCAACACTCAGCTGCCCCAGTTCATATCTCCCATTCCTCACCCACAGGCTTGAGACCATCCCATCCTTCCCCGCATCACTGTTCCTCTAGCCTATTAGCTCTAGAAAGAGAATGAGTTGGCTGGGGAAATCACATGTTCAGCATGTGTAGGTAGACCGGCATGAAGAACGTGCATGACCCAGAAAAGGAAGGGTTAGACATATGTTTTTGAGTTAAAACACATTCTAGTTTTGTAAGGCAGCAGTTGGCAATATTTATAAAATGTATATATACTTATAAGTTGGAAATGTTGTTTTTGCGAGGTTTTTGCACCTGAGAGTACTCAGTGACAAGTACAAGGTGGATCATGTTTCAATGTTGCAGACGAAGTCTGAGACGGAGCTGAAGAAGCTGAAGGACAAAATTGTTAAGACTCAGGAAGCTCTAGAGGCCATTGTACCCCAGTATGAAGGCCAGCGGGATCTGGAGGAACAGGCTGCCAATGAGTAAGTCACCAGAAATTCCCCTCTTGTGTAAAGACTTTCAATGAGTAAGTCACCAGAAATTCCCCTCTTGTGTAGTCTTTCAATGAATAAGTCACCAGAAATTCCCCTCTTGTGTAGTCTTTCAATGAATAAGTCACCAGAAATTCCCCTCTTGTGTAGTCTTTCAATGAATAAGTCACCAGAAATTCCTCTTGTGTAATCTTTCAATGAGTAGGTCACCAGAAATTCCCCTCTTGTGTAGTCTTTCAATGAATAAGTCACCAGAAATCCCCCTCTTGTGTAGTCTTTCAATGAATAAGTCACCAGAAATTTCCCTCTTGTGTAGTCTTTCAATGAATAAGTCACCAGAAATTTCCCTCTTGTGTAGTCTTTCAATGAATAAGTCACCAGAAATCCCCCCCTTGTGTAGTCTTTCAATGAGTAAGTCACCAGAAATTCCCCTCTTGTGTAGTCTTTCAATGAATAAGTCACCAGAAATTCCCTTCTTGTGTAGTCTTTCAATGGATAAGTCACCAGAAATCCCCCCCTTGTGTAGACTTTCAATGAATAAGTCACCAGAAATTCCCCTCTTGTGTAGTCTTTCAATGAGTAAGTCACCAGAAATTCCCCTCTTGTGTAGTCTTTCAATGAATAAGTCACCAGAAATTCCCTTCTTGTGTAGTCTCTCAATGAATAAGTCACCAGAAGTTCCCCTCTTGTGTAGTCTTTCAATGAATAAGTCACCAGAAATTCCCCTCTTGTGTAGTCTTTCAATGAGTAAGTCACCAGAAATTCCCCTCTTGTGTAGTCTTTCAATGAATAAGTCACCAGAAATTCCCCTCTTGTGTAGTCTTTCAATGAATAAGTCACCAGAAATGCCTCTTGTGTAGTCTTTCAATGAGTAGGTCACCAGAAATTCCCCTCTTGTGTAGTCTTTCAATGAATAAGTCACCAGAAATTCCCCTCTTGTGTAGTCTTTCAATGAATAAGTCACCAGAAATCCCCCCCTTGAGTAGTTTCTCAATGAGTAAGTCACCAGAAATCCCCCCCTTGTGTAGTCTTTCAATGAATAAGTCACCAGAAATCCCCCCCTTGTGTAGTCTTTCAATGAGTAAGTCACCAGAAATTCCCCTCTTGTGTAGTCTTTCAATGAATAAGTCACCAGAAATTCCCCCCTTGTGTAGTCTTTCAATGAATAAGTCACCAGAAATTCCCCCCTTGTGTAGTCTTTCAATGAGTAAGTCACCAGAAATTCCCCCCTTGTGTAGTCTTTCAATAAGTAAGTCACCAGAAATTCCCCCCTTGTGTAGTCTTTCAATGAATAAGTCACCAGAAATCCCCCCCTTGTGTAGTCTTTCAATGAGTAAGTCACCAGAAATTCCCCTCTTGTGTAGTCTTTCAATGAATAAGTCACCAGAAATTCCCCCCTTGTGTAGTCTTTCAATGAATAAGTCACCAGAAATTCCCCCCTTGTGTAGTCTTTCAATGAGTAAGTCACCAGAAATTCCCCCCTTGTGTAGTCTTTCAATGAGTAAGTCACCAGAAATTCCCCCCTTGTGTAGTCTTTCAATGATTAAGTCACCAGAAATCCCCCCCTTGTGTAGTCTTTCAATGAGTAAGTCACCAGAAATTCCCCTCTTGTGTAGTCTTTCAATGAATAAGTCACCAGAAATTTCCCTCTTGTGTAGTCTTTCAATGAATAAGTCACCAGAAATTTCCCTCTTGTGTAGTCTTTCAATGAATAAGTCACCAGAAATCCCCCCCTTGTGTAGTCTTTCGATGAATAAGTCACCAGAAATTCCCCTCTTGTGTAGTCTTTCAATGAATAAGTCACCAGAAATTCCCTTCTTGTGTAGTCTTTCAATGGATAAGTCACCAGAAATCCCCCCCTTGTGTAGTCTTTCAATGAATAAGTCACCAGAAATTCCCCTCTTGTGTAGTCTTTCAATGAGTAAGTCACCAGAAATTCCCCTCTTGTGTAGTCTTTCAATGAATAAGTCACCAGAAATTTCCCTCTTGTGTAGTCTTTCAATGAATAAGTCACCAGAAATCCCCCCCCTTGTGTAGTCTTTCAATGAGTAAGTCACCAGAAGTTCCCCTCTTGTGTAGTCTTTCAATGAATAAGTCACCAGAAATCCCCCCCTTGTGTAGTCTTTCAATGAGTAAGTCACCAGAAATTCCCCTCTTGTGTAGTCTTTCAATGAATAAGTCACCAGAAATTCCCCCCTTGTGTAGTCTTTCAATGAGTAAGTCACCAGAAATTCCCCCCTTGTGTAGTCTTTCAATGAGTAAGTCACCAGAAATTCCCCCCTTGTGTAGTCTTTCAATGAATAAGTCACCAGAAATCCCCCCCTTGTGTAGTCTTTCAATGAATAAGTCACCAGAAATTCCCCCCTTGTGTAGTCTTTCAATGAATAAGTCACCAGAAATTCCCCCCTTGTGTAGTCTTTCAATGAATAAGTCACCAGAAATTCCCCCCTTGTGTAGTCTTTCAATGAGTAAGTCACCAGAAATTCCCCCCTTGTGTAGTCTTTCAATGAGTAAGTCACCAGAAATTCCCCCCTTGTGTAGTCTTTCAATGAATAAGTCACCAGAAATCCCCCCCTTGTGTAGTCTTTCAATGAGTAAGTCACCAGAAATTCCCCTCTTGTGTAGTCTTTCAATGAATAAGTCACCAGAAATTCCCCTCTTGTGTAAAGACTTTCAATGAGTAAGTCACCAGACATTTCTCTCTAGTGTAAAGACTTTCAATGAGTAAGTCATTATAAATTCCCCTCTTGTCTAAAGTCTTTCAATGAGAAAGTCATCAGAAATTACCCTCTTGCATGAAGTCTTGCAGTGAGGTAGTCAGACAGACTTTCCCTTATAATAAGTCTGTGAAGAAGTGACTTATGAGATGTCATATGCATTTTGAGGATATGAACTACACACACTTTGTTTTTAGTTAACAAAAAATTGTGGTTTTGCCTAGTCATGTACTACTTGGGTAGATAGGCTTGGTTAGAAAGGCTTGGTTCAGATCCATACACAAGTAAAGGGTGTGAAATCTGTTCTGACAACACTTCTTTCAAGATTGCTGAGAGCAGTAAAAAACACTTCTCATCACTCCGATCTTAGGCTTGTCCAGGGGCTTTATAAGTAGGGTCATGTATAGCCAGTGCAAACTGCTGCTTTAATCTGTTATAAACATTTTTCAAGTTAAGTGAGGATAAGAATTTATGGATGAACCACTTCTTTATTACAATTAAGAGCGATGTTTCGGTGTAGGTTCTAACAACGGTATCAAGCAAGCAACTACTAAATGCCTATCAAAGAAGTTATTTTTCAAGTTGTTTTGATGTTTGTGTGTCAGACTGTCTCTAGCTGAGCAGAGGAGGAAGGAGCTGTATGCCAAGCAGGGGCGTGGCAACCAGTTTACATCCCGGGAGGACCGAGACACTTGGATCAAGAAGGAGTTGAAGTCCCTCAACAAGGCTATCCGGGACAAGGAGGAACAGGTCTGCTCCCTAGATGACAACCAGTTAGCACCAAATGATAATCTACAGAATAGTAGTGTAATGATAACAGGAAACAACTGGTTATCAGGCAGTAACTCTAAAACATGGTATTGGCACCTGCAGAGCTGCAAAACATACGCAAACTAAATCGCCATGACCCAATTAATTTTGAGTTGCTTGCAGACAAATGCACATGAAGAAATTTGATAACCCAGTAGTATAATAGCCCAATGCAGTCTTTTCACCTTGTGTACATGTATGTCTTTACAGATACTTTCTTCCTGACTGAATGCAGGAATTGATTATACATAAAGCTGCAGTGATTAATGCACAAATTGTTACTAGCTTATAGTTACTTAGTCCAGTCCATGTAATTCACTTTCGATTTAGAACGTATCTGAAACACTAGGGAAATAGAATGATTTTTTACAAGGTCTACTTATTGGTTTACAAAACCCAGTAGGCTTTACCCAAAAGAGTGAAAATATATTGAATACCAAAAGAAAACTATCAATACCCAATGTGAATGATAGCATGTGAGTAAATAGGCAATGGTAAGACCTATCTGGAACCCTGACCTACATTTTCGTCTTTGAAAGGAGTATGAATCTGGAACCCTGCACCTGGCAGATTACCTTTTTGTCTTTGAAAGGAGATGATTCAGAAACTTCATATTTTGTGTTGAAGAAGGAAGGCTTGAGACACCAACACCAAACTGTGGAGCTTTGTTAATCTTGAATCAAGAACTAGAATATTTGTTTAAGATTTGTGATTGTGTTTTACAGATTAAAAGATTAACCGATGATTCTGGGAAAGATGAACAAAGACGCCAGGAACTTGTGACGAAGATAGAGGTCAGTATTTCATTGTTACTGGTTGAATCATCATGAAGTTTGTGGATTAACGGGACAGATAACTTAGCAGATAAGTCACTCCCAACACATAAGGTCTGTAAATTGGGAAAGGTTCATTAGGGACCGACCATTTGCTATCCTTATCAGGGGAGGGGGGACATCTAAGAAAACTTGAAAAATGTTGATAGATCCATATGCAGCTGTACAAAGTTTATATAGACAACATTTTTATCAATGTAATTTGAGTACACTGAATGTTTACTTCTGGCGTGGGACCCGTGAAGATTCCGGGGTAGAATAGGCCTTCAGCAACCCATGTTTGTCATAAAAGGTGACTATGCTTGTCGTAAAAGGCGACTAACGGGATCGGGTGGTCAGACTCGCTGACTTGGTTGATGCATGTCATCGATCCCAATTGCGTGGATCGATGCTCATGATATTAATCACTGGATTGTCTGGTCCAGACTCGATTATTTACAGACCGCCGTCATATAGCTGGAATATTGCTGAGTGCGGCGTTAAACAACTAACCAACCGACCAACTTCTGACGTGTCCGTCATCAAATATTAACTTTTCTCGTTTCCAGGGCAATGAGAGCAAGAGCGAGCACTTCAAGAGCATGCAGGAAAGAGACAACAAGGACTACCAGGAGAAAAAGAAGGAGAAGGACAACCTGCAGAATGAGAGGAGGTGAGGAGATGGCACCCTGGCTGACCCACGCTGCTTAAATACACTGAAATACTGTTCTACCCTGTCCTGGTTGTTAAGAGACATAGTACATTGCCTACCACTTTGTTTGAAACACAGGATATGGCCATGCTTTCCAGATTTCAGAGCACTTTTGAAAATCAGTTGGGATTCTGGGTTAGAATAGATCCCCTGTAACCTATACTTGTCATGGGCAGTCGGTGGATTGGATGGTCAGGCTCCGTGACCTGGTACTATTGTGTCAGTGTACCCTGACGCAAAGGATGTTACTGTTAATATTATCAATTCCTGGTAGTTGTTTTATGGTCTAGACTTGATTGTTTACAGGCCACAAAGATACCGCTGGTATTAAGCTGTATTAAAGTGTCCCATCCTAGCTCCTGGTTGCTGAAGTATGTTGCCCCGTACCACACTCCGGTGTAGTGGTGTCTTAGCATAACACCATGCCAAAGGTCAATTTGCATATCACGTGACCAGACTTATCTCTTGTTTATAAACAAGCCCGCTTATTCTGACATCAGAATAGACAGGCCTAATGCAAGCCGTTCGGTGCGCTTTACATATTGTTTTGCATAATTATATAGAAAGGCTGTTACAACTACGACAGTGAGGTGCATGACAATCCTTATACCTTAAAGTGGCCATAATGCTAGCTCTCCGTTTGGCTTCGATGACAGCATGTGCAACAGTACAACCAATGTAAACAAAGGACAACTACTCAAATGGATTTTTTTTTCACATTTTAGCATATTTTCTCAATGTAAGTTAACCATTCTTTGACATATGTTTATCTACATGTTTAGATTTGTCAAAATTTAAACAGATGAAAACATTATGCAATATCTTGAATGGACTGTGAGATGTGACGAATTGTCACATGGCGCTGGCCTGTGGCAGAGGTACTATGGTGGCCGCCGGCTGCAAGGAACTGTGGGTAGGAGAGTGGCCCTGAACTGACCTGGTGTGTGTTTCAGTGCACTGTGGAGGCAAGAGAACTCCCTCCAGCAGACTCTCCAGTCCGGGCGGGAGGAACTCAGTAAGAAGGAACAGGGACTCCGATCTCTCACCGGCAAGGTAAGAGTCAAACACTGTTACATCTCTAGTCCCATCAGCATACATTCATGCACACAGTTTGGAAGATGATGGCCTGTTCATTCATATTGATAATGAGACAATTAGGGAAATGAGTGCATAATGACGAACTTATTGTTCAAAATTAAGCATGAATGTCATAAAATGTTAACAGGTAAAAATTGGGGGTCCCTAGATTCAGATATGGGATCATACCTCAAGGATTGCAGGACTCCCGTAATATTGAGCACTGTGTACTATCAGGAAAGCCTTTGTTGAGTACATGTAAATGATCCCACAGGAAAGGCTGGCTTTTGTTTTACAGAAACCCATAAACTTGCTTTGAGGCTGATATTCGGCCCCAAGTTTGCAGGAAGTGTCAGTTTTGGGATTAAACATTTCACAATTCATGCTGTTTGAGCTTTGACTAATATTCAAGCTGTGTTTGATGACATGATATCAATCACTGGATTGTCTGGTCCAGACTCGATTATTTACAGACTGCCCTCATATAGCTGGAATATTGCTGAGTGCGGCGTAAAACAATAAACAAACAAACTTGCATTTCACTGATAACAGGATCCATGTAGAGGAAGAAGCTGTATTGCTAAGTATAATATTATTGCATTGAATACAATGTTGAAATTCAAAGTTAAAATACCTCTGAAGATAGGAAAATAAGAACTTAAAAACTCCCAAATTGGACAAAGTAATGATTTTTACCGTTTTGACTGCCAAGGGCACTTAGTTTGGAATCCTAAATAAATCTGTATTCTGACTTTTAGATATGGTACTCTGTAACCCATGTTTTCCCCAACATCTGCATGGAACTGTCATATCCCCTGTACAAACTCTTACAACAGTGGTAGCATAAATAATGTTGTTTATGTCCCTAGACAGATGGCTATACAACACAGTGAGTATGGTTTTACATTATAGCGAAATTCCACAGAATGAGACACCAAGAATGGACTTCACATAATGTGGGGAATCGAAGCCAGGCTATCGTGTAACGACACAACACTTCAACCCTGGGTAACCTCACTGCCCTGGGGGTGGTGGGGTAGCCTAGTGGTTAAGGTATTCGCTCATCACACGGAAGACCCAGGTCCGATTCCCCAGATGTCAACAATGTGTGAAGCCCATTTCTGGTGTCCCCCGCCATGATATTGCTGGAATATTGCTAAAAGTGGAGTAAACCATACTCACTCACTCACTCACTCACTCACTCACTCACTCACTCACTCACTCACTCACTCACTCACTCACTCACTCTACCTCACTCACTCTACCTCACTCACTCTACCTCACTGCCCTGTCATGCATGTAACACACATTGTTTTTCAAAATACATTTCCATTGGTCATGATAGGTTATATGTGTGTTGCTTTGTCATGGTATGTTTCTACAACCACTTTCATGTAACATTTCAGGCCTTGTTGAACGGTATTGACAGTGTCAGCAAGGTGTTGAATCAGTTCCGAGAGCAAGGGCGTTACCCTGAGGTTGTGTCTGGTTACCATGGCGTTCTCATCGAGACCCTGGAGGCTGAGAAGACCTTCTATACCTGTGTGGAGGTCACTGCTGGAACAAGGTAACATCAGCAACAAGTTGCAGTTAGGCAACAAATAGTCCCTGAGCTTATGAATAGAAGTTTGGTAAACTGTACGTCCAGTGATTTTGTTAGACATTTTCTTGATTTTTATCAACTTTTGATTGGACATTCTTTGAAAACATCTTTCGTAATGTTTTTGTGACAGTCGATAAATGTACCAAGAACATGAACTGGACCGAAACCCGAACATATTAAAGTTGGAAGTTTGATTCAAGTGCCCCCAAATGGTACCTTCTTTATGGGATACATCAAATTTTGTCTGATATTTATCAATCTTGCAGTTATTGCAATGTCTGTTGTTTTTTTAAAATGATCTGATGGACACTTGATGATGAGTCGTGACAGCTTAATTGTGGTGCGAAGTAAAATCTTGCACTTCAATAGACTGTAAGACTTGAATCTATCCTGCCAGGGTATTTGTTCACAATTGCCTGTTCCTGCAGTTAAAATTTGATGTATTTCTCTAAGGGCAGTATAGCAGTCTCATTTTGAGATGCATTGTTGGAACAATTTCATGACATAAAGCAAATAGGTGTTTGTTACAAAGTGACCACTGACACATATACTTGCTGGCTGCAGGTTGTTCCATCACGTAGTGGACACCGACAAGACTGGAACCAAGATTCTCCAAGAGATGAACCGCCTGCGTCTGCCGGGAGAGGTCACATTCATGCCCCTCAACCGTCTGGACAGCAGGGACACAATCTACCCCGATACACAGGTAACTGCTCTCTACTCCTGACATGTCTTTTGAAAACAGATGTTCTCCCATATTGTTTGCTTATTTGTTTGTTGTTTAACCGCACTCTGCAATATTCCAGCACTATGATGGCGGTCTGTAAATAATTGAGTCTGGACCAAACATCGCAGTGATTGACATCATGAGCATCAATCCATTCAATTGGGAACAATGACATGCATCAACCAAGTCAACGAGCCTGACCACCCAATCCATTTAGTCGCCTCTTATGACCAGCATAGGTTGCTGGGGACCTTTTACCTGGAATCCCAGTGGGTCATCTCGTATGTCGCAAGAGCAGGGGTTAGTCTGGTTTGAACACCATGTGAATCAGGTGGTTGAAATGGCAGCGAATGGGTACTACTTTGTGTGGTGAGGAGTGGTAGGTCATATGTAGAACAGTTGATAACCCATCAGTTCACTTGTTCGGCAGTGAGCATCAAAAACTGTTGATTCTGACATCTCCAGATTTGTCATTAGCATTAGTGGTCACAATGTCGGATCTGGCGTTCATTCCTCTGACAGCATAGATAATTGGTCAGTTAAGATGTAACGCTGAAGCAAGTTTAGGACTTCCTCCTTTTCCTTGCAGGATGCTATTCCTATGATCCAGAAGATAAAGTATGAAATGAAGTTTGACCCTGCCATCAAGCACGTGTTCGGGAAGACCCTGGTGTGTAGGAGCATGGAGGTGGCCACGCAGATTGCCAGAACACAGAATCTCGATTGTATCACACTAGAGGGTAAGTGCCTTCCCTCTCTCTCCCTACCATCCCTCCATCCCACTCCCACTCCTCATCCTTGCCTTACCTCTGTCACTGTCCCTCACTCCCTCACCCACTCCCACTCCCTCACTTACTTGTGAGTGTTGTGATGACGTCATCACAGTAATACAGGAAGTTGTGTTGTCAGTTATTGTTTTGATCTGAACAAGTAAACATCGTTTGAGTTTACTGAAGACTCGAGTCTTCTTTCAATATTGTTCCATATGTCCAGGTGACCAGGTCAGTCGTAGAGGTGCTTTGACTGGCGGCTACTACGACACGCGCCGATCACGTCTGGACCTCCAGAAGAGCAAGATGGAGCTGACGGCCCAGTGTGCGGAACACGAAGTCGCGTGCAGAGAGCACCGGGAGAAGCTGGAGACTCTGGAGGGCAAGATCAACAACCTGGTGTCCGAGATGCAGAAGCTGGAGACAAAGTGTAGCAAATATAAGTAAGTCTGAATCTTTGTTGTTGTTTCTTTGTTGTTTAACGCTGCACTCAGCAATATTGCAGCTATATGTAAATAATCAAGTCTGGACCAGACAGTCCAGTGATGGACATCATGAGCATCGATCCATGCAGTTGGAATACGATGACATGCATCAACCAAGTCAGCATACCTGACCACCCGATCCTGTTAGTTGCCTCTTACGATGAGCATAGTCACCTTTTAAGGCAAGAATGGGTTGCCTATTCTAACCCAGAACTTCACGGGTCTCCTCTGTATTAGAACCATACAAGTCAGATGCTTGACAGGACTAGGAATCTCATTACAAATCATACAATAACATTAGTTAGAGGTTCCCTGTTGCCTTCTTGAAGAACAACATCTCTCCCAAGAAGATGTCATTGACATTAGTTGTATCAGACATATACACCAACCTTGAGACAATAGGCATCATTGAGACGTATGTGTCAGATATTACCGTAATACAGTCTGGAAGTCTTATGATGCTGAGATTTGCTGTGCAGTTATGTCCTTTAGCCATGCTTGCTGTGCCAGTATCTGATGTTGTAGGTTTAAAAGCCAAACTAGCCCCAATAAGAACCCTTAGTTTGTCAACACCCATATTGGCTCATTTTAATAAAGTGGTAGAAATGTCTGATCTGTGCCACTTCGCATGTGAGGATTCAACACTAGCAAACTCATTTATTATAATATTATTTCTCCTTGGCAGAGATACATATGAAAAGTTACAAGCAGAAGTCAGGCTGGCAAAAGAAGAATTGAAGTCGGTGGAAAAACAGAAGCCCTCAAAGGTATGTTTCATGTTTGACTATGAAAATGCATATTAGTTCTTCTTACATCTTTCAAGATTCTTTCGAATCCATATTGGTATTGATAGGTACATTACCTTCACTCTTAATTTGTTTGACAGCAAAAGAAACCTTTACCTTTATTTTCTTTTTGTGAAGGAGACAAGGAGGCCTTGTTGAATAAATGTGCTGCAATATTGTGTGTAGTGTTGTATCCCGTGTGTGCAGCTATCCGTCTAACACCTGCCCCACTTTTCCTCTCACATATAACTGACACACTGTTTTATGATTGAAATACTGTTGAAAGTGATGTTTAACCCAACTCACGAACTGCTCTTAAAATGTCCTGAATAATTGGTGGATTCTTAATCTATGGTGCATCGGGTCCAAGAACACAGAAGTTTTAAAATCCAGTTGTCAGGTTTTTTTTGGTAGTCCTAATTCAACCTTGTGTCAGGACATACATGTAGGGATTCCGGTTTAGAATTGGTCAGCCCCCACTTCTAACCTAGAAGAGGTTGCAAGAAGCGTCCACGGTTGGGATTCTGGGTTAGAATTTGTCCCCAGCAACCTATGCTGGTTGTAAGAGGCGACGCCGGAGGGGGGGAGGGGATGGGGTGGGATGGTGGTGGTCCAGGTTAGAAGTGATCCCCAGTAACCTATGCTGGTCATAACAGGCAGCCACCGGTGGATATTCTGGGTTTGAATTGGTCCCCAGCAACCTATGCTGGTTGTAGGAGGCAATCAAATGAATTTGATGGTCAGGTTTGGTGACTTAGTTGATGGCATGCGTAATTTGTTCTTCACAATCAATCACTGGATTGACTAGTCCAGAATTAATTAAAGCCTGTCGTCATATGGCTTGAATATTGCTGAGTGTGGTGTTGAACAACAAACAAACAAATGTTTCAGGGCAAGAGTGTTTCAAGTCTGGAGAGCAGTCTGGCAGCCATGGTGGCAACCCGGGACTCCCTCAATGAAGAGGTGGGCACGGACCTTCTGTCTCAACTCAGCATGGAGGACCAACGAGAGGTTGACCAGCTCAATGACAAGGTCAAAGGCAAGACGGAGGAGAACAGAGCTGCATGGAAGGAAAGAATCAGGGTGAGTGCTCATACTGTCAGACACTGATTTGTATAAAAACTTCAACAGGAAAGGCCAATTGTCAGATGTTATGATGGGATTCTGATTTAGAATTGGTCCCCAGCAACCTATGCTGGTCATAAGAGGCGACCTCTGATGGAGATTCCCAGTTACAATTGGTCCCCAGCAACCTATGCTTGTCATAAGAGGTGTCCCCGGTTGGGATTCCAGATGAGAATTGGTCCCCAGCAACCTATGCTGGTCATAAGAGGCGACCTCTAATGGAGATTCCCGGTTACAATTGGTCCCCAGCAACCTATGCTGGTCATAAGAGGCGACCTCTGATGGAGATTCCCGGTTACAATTGGTCCCCAGCAACCTATGCTTGTCATAAGAGGTGTCCCCGTTGGGATTCCAGGTTAGAATTGGTCCCCAACAACATATGCTGGTCGTAAGAGGCAATCAAATGGATTGGGTGGTCAGGTTCGTTGACTTGGTTGATGGCGTGTGTGACCCACTCCTATTGACTGTGGTGTGTGGTGTTTCAGCTGGAGGGTGAGAATCACTGACTACTGTAGGCCCTTGATATATCTGTGACCACTCCTATTGACTGTGGTGTGTGGTGTTTCAGCTGGAGGGTGAGAAGAACAAGCTGGATAACATGCTCACCAACAACCTGTACAAGAAGCGGGATCGGATCTTGAACGATCTGCAGGAGACATCAACAGAAGATCGTACCCAGAGACTAGACAATTTACAAGGTGATCTGCAGTCTGTGGATGACAGGATCTCCGAGCTCAAGAAAACATCTAAAGGTACTTTCACAAACCAAAGATCTGTATCAGTGACAGAGTGCAAAGATTGTTGTGCAATTTCTAACATACCTACTAAGTTTGTTGAGCAGTATCATTATTAAATGTGCACAGAACATATATCAATGGTTTCCTATTATAAGGGGCCACGAGTTGACCTGTGATAAAAACAATTTATGATCCTGAAGTGGCCTCCACAGGAAATATCACTTAGGAGAAATTAGGCGATCTCTCCTAGGCGATATTACTGCATTGAAATTGCATCCTAATGCTTTGCCAACAATTGGTTACCATGACATCACTCATCACTGCCACTGAAGCTGGTGAGCTGTACTGCTTATTACATTTCACAAACTGAAAAAGTTGGAAGGATGATGTTTGATTATGAATAGAATCTTAGTCGATAAACGTTGATATATGAATCTGCAATTCTGACATTCTGAGATGTGACTGATCTTCATAGTTTAATTAACCCAGATCCTTCACAGACTCCTAGGGACTCGTGAAGATCCGGGGTAGCATAGATCTTCAGCAACCCATTTTTGCCGTAAAAGGCAACTATGCTTGTCATAAAAGGCTACTAACGGGATCGGGTAGTCAGACTCGCTGACTTAGTTGATCCATGTCATCGTATCCCAATTGCCTGGATCCATGCACATGATGTCAATCACTGGATTGTCTGGTCCAGACTCGATTATTTACAGACCGCCGTCATATAGCTGGAATATTGCTGAGTGTGGCGTTGAACAACAAACAAGCAAGTACAGACTCCTAGGGCTTTCCAACTATTGGTGATTTATGTTTCTATTTAGCAAAGGTGGAGTCTTTTCTCTCAATCGAAGCATTTATTGTTGCCCGGTCATCTAAGGCGCTGCAATTCACTGTAAGGAGTGACGTCCCTTAGTCGTGCCAGAAACTTATCATTATGGGTTCAAATCCTGGATCGCCCTAATCATGTTTCTAGAATTGTCAGCACCATATCCATGCTCCTGGGTTTCACCATATGGTAAATATCTAAGACTTCAAATTTCTTACTTGGTATTGTGTTGATGTTTTCAGATCTAGATGACCAGTTAGACAGATTTAACAAGGAACAAAAAGAGTTGCAGAGTAACCTGGAGTATTGGAAGGTTTGTGTTGTTCACAGATGCAGTGGAACACTGTTAGCACTCAGTGTTCACATCCTCAAATGACCCGTGAAGATCCGGGGTCTTCAGTAACCCATTCTTGCCGTAAAAGGCAACTACACTTGTAGTACAATGCTTGTAGTAAGAGGCGATTAACAAGATCGGGTGGTCAGGCTCGCTGACCTGGTTGATGCATGTCACCATGACCAATTGCGCGGATAGATGCTCATGATGTCAATCACTGGATTGTCTGGTCCAGACTCGATTATTTTTCCGACCGTCGTCATATAGCTGGAATATTGCTGAGTGTGGTGTTAAACAACAAACAAACAAAACAGACCATTTTGACATCTTGTACTTGATGTAAATGTATTACGACGCGCTGTCATTGTGACTGACATAAGAAGTAGGACGGATCTGCAATTACATCATACAATGATTTTTCATCCCAAACTGACTGCCTCAGGAAATATCGCTTGGGTTGGATTAAGCAATTTCTCCTTGGGAGAATTTTGCAACAATAAAATGGCATGACAATGCTTTGATGATTATTATTGGTTACCATGACATCACAATCAAATGACATCACTAACATCTTTGCTACTGAAGCTGGGTTAGCTTTACTTTTTACCCTCAAAATACTGGTTATTAAGTCATGATAAATAAGATCTCACCCTCATGACTTTTCATACCAAATATGTCAATAAGAGTCAATAAAAGTTTGAAACTTCTTTGAAAGCCTCAGAGTTTCAAACTTTCATTGACTTATGTTGAAAAATCACATGGTGAAATCTCTATGTAACAAGATGATGTATAGACAAGTGTTTCTTGTTCTATGAATACAATTAGCAATGGCATATGTAATAACAAAGATAAATTCCTTTAAGATAAATATGTATCCATGTTCATAAAATTTATCTGTCAACTAAGATCAAACCATGAATGAAGTATGTGGATACCGCGTTATGGACAGGTAAAGTTAAGGTCGTATCTATATTGTGAGCCACAAAGGGTCTAGTAAAACATGTCCTGCTGGATGTATGAGCGCTTAGAGCATGAAAAGATGATGAATAAGGATTGATGCTGCTGAAATTATGCAACAGAGTCTCAAGGAATTTCACATGTTGAGTTATGGAATTGGAGTTTGCAAAAAACTGTACGTAAAACAAAAGTAATAATAAGTTGAATTTTAAGTGCGAGTTATTGTAACAATGTTGATTGATATCAATATCTCCTTCATTTTCAGGGCCAAGAAAAAGAATATCAAGAAAAAATCAGTGATGATGCAAAAGATCTAGAGAAAATGACCAATAAACAAAGTTTATTATTGAAGAAGGTGAGTTCCTGCTTCCTTGGTAAATTGTTTCGCTCTTCTTTAATGATAGGATGGTTGGGTAGCCTAGTGGGTAAAGTGTTGGTTCGTCAAGCTGAAGACCTGGGTTCCATTCCCCACATGGGTACTACGTGTGATGCACATTTTCCAGTGTCCCACACCGTGATATTGCTGGAATATTGCTAAAAGCAGCGTAAAACCATTCTCTCTTTGATGACAAACACTGAGTAAAGTACAAAAGTCTGTTATCCTGAAATTGTGTCTACTTTGTCATCTGTTATCTGAGAAATGCCTATGAAGCAATTATTTAACACTGGTTTAATAAAAACATGCTTATTCATACAGGACACCTAGTGGGTTCCTACAGGAGCACACCTTGTGTCACTCACCCGTTTTCCAACACTCATTCTCATTGTCACTTTACATGTGTTATCAGAAAGAGGACTGTATGAGGAAGATCCGAGAGTTAGGTTCCCTGCCAAGTGATGCCTTTGAGAAATACCAAGATCTCAGTATGAAACAGGTGAGATTAAAGATGTAATTGAGATTGAGAAAAAAGGATGTATTACTTGAACATGTTGAAATTGGTTTTTCATTGCTTACCATTACATTTTGGGATGTTTTTGAAATTTACCTGTTCTCATATTCTTTTTATGATTACGTACATGGTGACATATCCCCAAAGTTATGGCTGTATGTTGTAAGTTGTCGCCTGTCTACACAGTGTGATGCTTGTCACCTAGTAGTTAATGGGTACCCGGCAGGAGTTGAATGGGCCATGATTGCAGGAATTGTATTCACCGATGAATATGAGCATATATAAGCAATATAAGCATTACAAGCTGTGTCAAAAGTTTTAAGTCCACAAGCGTGGAGAAATGTAACTAGACATTATGTATTTTCTATGACTGTGCAGTTCTGATGCCTGTGTGTCTGTGTGTTGTAGCTGTTCAAGAAGCTGGACCAGTGCAATCATGAACTCAAGAAGTACAGCCATGTAAACAAGAAAGCTCTTGACCAGTTCGTCAACTTCTCGGACCAGAAGGAAAAGTTGATGAAGAGGAAAGATGAATTAGACCGTGCCCACAGTGTAACTATCACTCACTCTTACAAGCTTAATTTGATTTGATTTGGTACTTCTCTCTTAAAATAAATCTGTGAAGCATCAGCACTTATTGCTTGTCATGGGGCGGTCGGGTAGCCTAGTGGTTAAAGCGTTCGCTCGTCATGCCGAAGACCCGAGTTCGATACCCGACATGGGTACAATGTGTGTAGCCCATTTCTGGTGTCCCCTGCTGTGATATTGCTGGAATATTGCTAAAAGTGAAGTAAAACCATACTCACTCACTCACTCACTCACTCACTCACTCACTCACTCACTCACTCACTCACTCACTATTGCTTGTCATAGAAGGCAAAGGGCCTGAGCCCCTTGTGGGTGTTCCAGGTTAGAATTCTTCCCGAGCAACCCATGCTTGTCTTACAAGGTGACCTAATGGACCTTAATCTGATGGAGTCAGATTCTGTGACTTGGTTACTTGTGTGTCATAGTAACTTGCAAGTTGGGTCGTTGCTCATAATATTAATCACTGGATTGTCAGTGTTAACAAACAAACAAAGATGGCGTCATTGGGTATTATCATGATCAGCCTCCGTGTGTTTCAGTCTATCTTGGACCTGATGAATGCCCTGGACCAGAGGAAGTACGAGGCTATCCAGCTGACATTTAAACAGGTATGTGAGATGGTTGGAGGGGAGATCAAAGGCACCACCCATCATTTATTAGATGACAGATAGTGCCGTGTATTCAGGCATGGATCACTCCCCTTGGTAAGAGAACAGGCAGTGACAATTGTCTCAACAGGAAACAAATCACTGTCTGGGCAACTGTGAGGCCTGATGTCTCATTTCCTTCAGAAATCCCACTTGTACAGCTTGTATGAAACATTCTTCAAGGCTAGTGTTGTTCAAATCACCCTATTGTAAGGGTAACGCTATATTTCAGGGCATTATCATTTGCAGAAGCCCGAGGTCTTCCATCAACTGCCTGTCGTCAAGCAATATGAGGGCATTATCAAGTTACAGTGGCCCACTCATTTCTGATAACATGCGGGCGTTTTTATGATAATTCTATCCATTTTAGCTATAAAATTTGTTATCAAATAAAAATAAACAATATCGGTTTTGAAACATTTACTGCAATCAACAAGAATTTCACTGACCCACTTTTACAAAAACGGAAACATCATTGAACAAACCAGATGACGTCACTATTGAATGTGACGTCACCTATCCCTATCTAATGACATCACCTAACAACGGGTGCTAATGGCCCGTCGTCAAGCAATATGAGGGCATTATCAAGTTACAGTGGCCCACTCATCTCTGATAACATGCGGGTGGTTTCATTAATTTCTATCCATTTTAGCTGTAATGAAATACTTACCTCTAGTCATCAGTGACTTTTGACTTATTATGATGCAAGATGTAACTAATTATTCATGGCTTAACCTGTATCTAATAGACAGCAGTTGATGCCAAGACATACTTTATATCTTCTTACAGGTTTTAGTACTAGTACTGATTTACACAACAATCTATTAATTAGAGTTTTCATAAAGATTTTCATTTGTCATCAGAATGTTGTCCACAAGGGTTTTTTTATGACCTGGTAGTGTTATCTTGGAAATGTGTTTGAAACATTGATGATATCTGCTCTCTGATCTACAAAAATGGTATGAATGATAAATATGATAGATATGAGAGTTAGTCTACATGAATAAATGAACATAAGATTGTACCTACTAGATCATGTATTATTGGTGGCTAGGTCTGAAAGTGTGACCTACTTAGGATGTGAATACCAGCAGTGGTATCATGTTATGGTATTGTCTCTCTTCTTGAAATCTCTGTTCGAGAATTTTTTTCCAATTAGTTGAATTCAATTTTTTGGTTGGTTTCATTTTTTTTATTACTATTTATTATTTGTTTTTCGTTTTCTTTTGGAGGTTCTTGTGTGTTGCAATTGCATATGACTTGTATAAAACCACATGGCCTGTTGCTGTCTTTTCTTGCAGTAAGTAGTAGATATATTTCTATCATAATGTACCATTGGAGAGATTGCTACTTTTGCAAGTCAACGATCCATCTTGAAATTCTAAACCGAATGCCACCCCTAATCCTGACATGCCCTGGCTCTGTTTCAGGTGTCCAAGTACTTCACGGAGATCTTCAAGAAGCTGGCTCCCCAGGGGCATGCTGTTCTAGTCATGAAGAAGGGGGACAGTGAAACCGATGTACGTGCAACAGCAGTGATAGTCACAGAGACAGGGTTGATTGTATATGTAGTCTCTCCAACATATATCATCTATTGACTGCCTCCGTGGTCTAATGGTAGAGCATCCGCCCGGAGAGCGGAAGGTCCGGGGTTCGATCCCCGACCGCGTCATACCAAAAGACGTTAAAAGATGGTACTTGTTGTTACCCTGTCTGGCGCTCGGCATTAAGGGGCTAAAACAAGGACTGGTCGGCTCGGAGTCAGTATACTGTGTCTGAGTGGGGTATTCATGTTAAACTGCGTCATGGTATCTCAGTGAGCTAGCACTATGAATCGGCATCAGTCTGGACTAGTACAAGCAGCCACACACACACACACACGTGCATGCACGTTTGCTATATAAGTGCAATAATCTTGGACGCGACGTTAAACCCAATTTCACCTCACCTATATCATCTATCATTTCCATGCTTGTTTGTGTGCTGTCAAGGACGGGTAAAACTGCTGATGTGGCGATGTAAGACAATCCAATATCAGTCTGTACATAATGAATTGGTCTCCACAGTCAGTAGATACTATTGGGTTCCACTGTTGACTGAATAAACTGAAACATTGATGTTCATTTTGTATAGTGGAATTGGTGTTGAAATGTGAATATAACTGAAGGTTGAGGGTACTTCCCAGCTATAGATTTGATCTGTGGACTGTTGTAACCTTGTTTGTCTCTCCAGGGAGCCGATGACTCACAGGGACAGTCACAACAGGATGTGCCTCTCGTGGAACAGTTCACTGGAGTGGGAATCAGGGTATGTCTTCGTGTTAGACTGGTGAAGGGTATAGTGTGTCAGATTGTGAATCCTGATCAGATGAGACTTTGACATTCCTCACCTGTATCAAACCACCAATATCATAACTTCCTTTCATTCTGAAGGTATGATTGTTTAGTGATTTTGTTAAAGGGGGCTTGTCTTCCAAGGTCTGTGTTCAAAGCCTATGTGACCCCGATTATGTGTTTATATTTGTCAGCACCATACCTATGCTGGTGGTTTTCATTTAAGTGGTAAACATTTAAGGCCTGCATTACTTTGGGATTTCCTGCCACATTAAGCTGACACACTGTGATATAACCTGAATACTGTTCAAAGCGGTGATAAAGCCAACACTCACTCACTCACTCACTCACTCACTCACTCACTCACTCACTCACTCACTCACTCTGAGGTCTGTTGCCCATTTTCAGTATTGGGTCTGCGTGCCGTGTGCAGCTGAGACCTTGTCTTTATATGCTAATGTTAACCATTAGCTGTTCTATTATTATACCTCATAGGATTTATATTTGCAGACATACAACATTGTATGTGCACAACTTAAATCATACTTGCTGGGTCTGGCACTTTGCCTAAGCATGGTCTCCCTTTAAGCCCCTTGTTGCACGGCCTCCAGTTCTGATGTCTTGTTGACCGTTCATTTTGGCAGGTGTCGTTCACTGGAAACCGAGCTGAGATGAGAGACATGCAGCAGTTGTCCGGAGGTCAGAAGTCACTCGTGGCCTTGACCTTGATCTTTGCCATCCAGAAGTGTGACCCCGCGCCCTTCTACCTGTTTGATGAGATTGACCAGGCCCTGGACTCCTCTCACAGAAAGGCTGTCGCTGGTACGTTCAGAACATTCTTCTTACTCAAGTAATAATCTGATGCTGTGATCAGGAAAAGACTCGAGCTTCTATGTTAGAGATCAAACTGCTGAAAGTGCTTATGTTTGATGAATGAAGTTTGAGTGTTAGGACATCTACGGTAAAGAAACCATCTTGAACTACAATATTCACCTACAGACATTGAAGTTATGGAACCAAATCCCAATTACTGTTACACAATGTGATTTTGGAGATAGTTGCTATTTAAGACAATTTTATTAAAAATCGTATGAATTCAGAACAGACATGATTTCTCTAAAACCACCTGTGAAGTGTTGATTATCATGCTGAATTCATGCCTAGACTTTGCAAATTTGAGTTGAAAAGAAGTCTGTGGTTTGCAGAATTTATAAAATCTGCCATAGAATGTAAGGAAGGTTTAGGAGCCTTGGAATTTATCTAGTATTTAATATCACCTTTTTTTAACCTTTTTTTCAACAGAAATCTTTCTGAAATACATTCTTGTGTTCATTAAACATGAAACTTTCTTGCTAATAAGGTTGTAAAAATCGGTTGTGATAGTTAACATTTTAGGGGGCTGATCATCTCATGGGAGAGCAAGAAATACCTCTGTGCTGTAAATGTTTATTATGAGTATGAGATGTTTATTATGAGTATGAGCAAAGGTTGCTATGGTTCTTATAATAATAATAATAATAATAATAATAATGATGTGCACAGTTATGATGCACCAAATCCACACCCTAAACAAGCTCAAAGTGCTCCATCATAACTCCTGCCAATGGATCAGTGTCCACTCCATTTTCATTCTCAGCTCCCTAGGGAGTATACAACCCAGGCTGCCTGGAAGGTGCTAGAATGTTCTCACATTACCATTCATCTTACAGACATGATCCACGAGCTGTCTCAGGATGCTCAGTTCATCACCACCACATTCCGACCGGAGCTTCTCGAACACTCCGACAAGTTTTATGGTGTCAAATTCAGGAATAAGGTAACCATTGGCATCCTTTAGACAATCTTCACATTGAGATCTAAACTTTGTTCCAGATATGACTTCTTCCCTCCCTGGGGGCACGGGTGGCCCAGTTGTCTAAGGCGCCGCGATTCGCTGTGCAGAGTTGCATCCCCTGGGCACGCCAGAAACCTATGATTGTGGGTTTCGAATCCCGGTTCGCCCCGATTATGTTTCTAGGTTTGTCAGCACCATACCCGTGCTCGTGGGTTTCACTGAAGTGGTAAACGTCTGAGACCAGCATCACTTCAGGCTTTCCTCCCACATTAAGCTGACACGCCGCGATATAACTGGAATACTGTTAAAAACGGCGTTAAACCCAACTCACTCACTCACTCGATCTAGTAGTGCATGGAAATTATCTAGAGTTTGGTACAAAACTAGTCCTTCTGGATGTTCACTAGTCTCAGACTAATAGACTAGTGGCCGTGTCTGACCTTGGTTCATACCATAGATACCTGTGAAGACCCGGTTACAATTGGTCTTCAGCAACCCATGCTTGTCATAAGAGGCGACTAACAGGTTCGGGTGGTCAGACTCGCTGACTTGGTTGATGCATGTCATCGTTATCCCAATTGTGTGGATCGATGCTCAGTCACTGGATTGTCTGGTCAAGACTCAATTATTTACAGACTCGTCATATAGCTGTAATATTGCTGAGTGCGGCGTTAAACAACAAACAAACAAAACAAACAAACGCTACATTTCCCTCCCGACTTCAACAGTTTTTGGGTATTGTCAGATAATATTGGGGACCATAGATGGTACAGTGTAAGGTGATGCCATCTGGTATGCAGAGTTACGTCCCTTTAGTGTGCAAGAATCCCTATAGTTCTCATTTAAATCCCTGAGATCTGCCCTGATTGTTTCTAGATTTAACAATGCCATACCCTTGTTTTACTAAGGTGGTAAACGTCAAGGACCTCCATCTCTTTGGATGACACACAATGATATAGCTATAAGGCATGGCATTAAGCCAAACTCACTCCAATAATATTTAAGAAATATCTATGGCTTAAAAGAATAAAAGAATTGGTTCTCCGGCAATGGCTTTTGAAAATATGATGTGGGCGGAAGGTAGTGGGTTGTTGTTTTTTCTTGGTTTTTTTCAAACAATTTTTTCAAATAAACAATTGTGTCCAATCAACCTGGGAAAGTGCCTCCCTACATAAATGTATTCCTTGATGAGTAAAATACTGGAACACAGTATTTGACTACCGTTGGTCTTGGAATATTTAAGGTGTTTTTTTTTGTTTTTTTTAAAATGGAAATAAAAACCAAATGTGTGGCAAATGTCATGATGATGTGGGCGGTGCCTGAGAACCAAAACTATTATTTTTTTAGCCTAAAATAAGTAGTCTCTGTTAGTCATGGTTGGTAATACTTCTTGAAATAAAGACTTACACTTACTACAGACTGATGAGAATTTCCTCACCTAGAATGTACTAATGATCCACTCTGCTGTAGGTGAGTCATATCGAGTGTGTCAGTCGGGAAGAAGCGCAGGACTTCGTGGAGGATGACACCACCCACGGCTGATCAGCCCCCCAACCCTTGACAAGTATCAAATACTACAGTCAAAACCTCATCATCTGTGACAGCAGTAATGGCAACAGCCGCTGCTGCTTGGACATTGACACAAGAGGCGGACACCAGTATCCATGGCGATGCCCGGGCAGCTGAAATGGACTATTTTTGTATTTTGCTGGGTTTGATAGGGTCCTATTCTTGATACCAGAAATCAGGTCATGAAGCAAGTCCCTACATAATAGTGGTTATGTAAAGCATACTACCAAAATTATTACCACTGTTTGCATTTTTTTCTTATTGTGACAGATGAAGCCGAATCAGGGTTGATGAATTTTCATATTTTTCTTTTTTTTATTGTTGTCAAATCTTCGCCCTAACGTGTACATGCCATGAATTACTGAGGTCATTTCATGGGTATCATTGATGTCATCACACAGAATGCAATATATTGTTGACATGTTATCACCGTGCTATTTACATCTCATCTGTACAATTCACTGCTGTATATAAGATTTTATACCATAATAACCCATGTTCAGATCTGCCATTTCTGTACTACAGTGTAGCAAGACAACCATGAGAGACTAATCAGACCATTGTTACGCCATACGTAAGATAATTTGATGAAACGGCACATATGTACATGAAATCTGTCTTTTAAGGAAGGCCATTTCACAGAGACGAAATTATAGAGAAATATCAGTCATTTGTATATAGAAACATCCAAGCATCTTTAACGTGTCTTATCTTTTACAGCACATTTAGCATAACCATAGAATTCCAACTGATGAAAACGTCATCATTTTTCTTAGAACCAGCATCAACCGTAATGGTTAGATTTTGTCTTTGACCAGATCTTCCAGTGTAGTTTCTGCATTTTCCTTTACTTATATATAATGATAGTTCAGACTGCATTCAGAGTTGTTCTCAAAGGTGCTGTCAGTTACAGTGATTGTGGACAGGAGATGCGCATTGGAGAAAACACTCTCTCCATTGTGGTTGCTTGTCTGGCAGAAGCACAGGTTCCCATTTCACAAAGCAACCATAGCACTATGATGATCTTAACTTCCATACTTTAACATAACGCTATCATCCCTTTGTGAAGTGGGCCCAGATGAGGGTGCCATTGTACAAAGTGGTCCTTGCTCTAAGGTGATCGTAACTCCCATACCATAGACTTGAGACAGTCGTTGCGCTAAGGTTGTTTTGTACAACGGCCCCCTGTACAGTAAGTGAAGTCCATCCTTGTTCCCCCAATCATATGGGTTCACGATATACCAGTGAGGACCAGTGACAGTACTGGTAAATTAATTTATTTCCTGACAAGAAAACTGCTTGGCATCACCAGGCAGTGTTTGACCATCAGAATCCCCATCATGAAGAGTCACATCCGAATTGAGATACCCACAACTAAGTGGATATCCCATGTGTTCAGTCCTGCCATTTATGAATTCATAAAAACATATATATAGAGGTAGCATTTATGTAAGAATTACAGAAACTGATATTTTAAAGCTTATTGTTTTCATTAGATGGAAGACACGTTTGCTGTTCTAACCATTTTGTCATTGTAATTACCTGTTGATGTTCCCCTGCTCTTAGTGCAGCAGCTTACTTAGTAAGACTTGAAGCTGGTACTGCATGTTCTACAGTTAATGTACAGTTTGTTGTTGCAGTGTGTGGAACATTCTGACACTGCCTTAGTGTTGTACAGGCCTGACTTGAGGCCAATCTGACGTGGGCGATGCTAACATCATCGGTGACTTTGTCACATTGCCCAATCATCTATGTATTGTAAATGTGTGTGTATCAAGGCTGAAGACCTATGCAAGAAGTTCATTAGTTTAGGGCATGAAACTATGATCAGATGTAATAATAATAATAATAATAATAAGAGGCTATTTATATTGCACATATTTCCACACCACTCAGGGGCATGCTCAAAGCGCTATTATTACCCCGGTCACTGGATCACTGTGCACTCAAGAATCATTCTCAGCTCCCTTGGGAGTATACACCAGGCTCTATGTTCTTAGGCAGAAAATTGAGTTGAGCACAGGAAAGAATTTTCACCTTCACAGAACTAATATGACCAGATGTTTTATTGTCCTGAAAAAAAATACAAGATGAGAAACATTCTTTATAACTTTACAAGGCCTTGTTTGAAAGTGTTGATCTGATGCCTTAAGCAATATTCGCTAACACATAGTCTTAATCTATGAACTAATACTTGAACTTGTTTGCTTGTTTACAAGTTTCAATAACGTCTTTAACAAAAGGTTTATAATGAAATGAACCGTGAAAGCCTGGAAATTATATAAAGGAAACATAAGTGACAGACATGTGTCATGATACCGATGGTAGAACTCACGTCAGAATGGGTTGACAAGTTGGGTTTCAGTTCCATGTGTTCAGTGTTGAATGTTATAAACAGCCGTCGGACTAGTTAGATGCCTGCTTCTTGCGCAAATCTAAGGTATAACGGTAATCTCATGGCAGCAATATCACTCACAAAAATTAAACTAAAGCCTGTGATTTCTGGGCACAAATGTTACAAAATACTGGTGTAGCAAGGATTCATTTTAATATTTGCTAAATATTTATGATATAATTTTTGTTTCTCAAACATGTCCAGGCCTGGTATGCAGTGATTGTCATCTTGAACAATGTGAAGACAAAGTAAATGTAATGACTCACTGTTCGAACTAGTTACAATTTCCAGCAGAGCAGGCATCGAGAGTGTTTGTGTGCGTGTCACTGTCAGTGGCTATAGATTCCACTTAGTATTAACTTAAACTTCATTTGGCATATATATTTGGATAAGGATGCTAATTTCCTGAAACTTTGTCTCCCTGTCTCTGTTTTTAGCTTGTCCTTGGACCCCTAACAATATTTGTAGAATTTTGTGGTTGCATCAAACTTGTTCCATGCTGTCAATAAGAGGTGTGAATACTGCAGAGACTGTATTTATGGTTCTACATACTGGATAGTGTGTACTTGGTTGCATCCGACTTTCGGAAACAAAAAGCACTTGTAAGTCGTTTGTTAATGATGTTGTTAGCCATTGGTCTGTGACACGCACGTAGTGTCAGTATTTATATGGAATCTGAATGTTAATCAGTTTTATGAAATAAATTTATATTATATTGTAAAGAAATCCTGTGTCTGTTATGTTATTGACCAAACAGTTGGTTGGTTTGTTGTTTAACGCCGCACTCAGCAATATTCCAGCTATATGATGGCGGTCTGTAAATAATCGAGTCTGGACCAGACAATCCAGTGATTAATATCATGAGCATCGATCCACGCAATTGGGATCGATGACGTGCTTCAACCAATCAGCGAGCCTGACCACCTGATCCTGTTATTTGCCTCTTACGACAAGCATAGTCGCCTTTTATGGCAAGCATGGGTTGCTGAAGGATCTTCAGGGTCTTGACCAAACAGTAACTGTTGTTGATGAGGGTTGACACTTTCTATAGAGCCTGTTTGGGCATTCCGCTAAATAACAGGGACCCACCATTTACTATCCTAGTGGGGGCGTTTTTGGCATTTTTGATAGTAATGGGATATATCCTACTCAAAATAAGTAAAAGAACACCATTCTTTCATATTACTATAGTTAATCTGTCGTGCCTCCTGCAATGTATAATGTTTGTTTGTTGTTTAACGCCAACCTCCACAATATTCCAGCTATATGATGGTGGTCTGTATATCATGGAATCTTGACCAGACAATCCGATGATTGATATCATGAGCATCGATTCAAGCAAATGGGATACAATGACATGCATCAACCAAGTCGGCTAGCCTGATCACCTGTTAGTCAGTCGTTAGTCGCCTCTTACCACAAGCATTTTCGCCTTTTTCGGCAAGCATGGTTTGCCGATGACCTATTCTAACCCGGAGATCATGTGTATATCCAACATATGACAGATTGACTTTTTTAATATGAGAAGTGTTCTTCAACTTAACTCAATACATCTTCGGTCACTGCTTCGAAACGTGCAATTCTTTTCTCTGAAGGAATCACTAGCTGTACAATTTGTTTTGTCTCACCTCATTCTCATTTTCAGGGAATGGAACAAGTTATTTTCTTGGTAATGCCATGGGCAATTCTTTTTTCAGGAACGCCTTATTTTTCGACAAATATGTCAGCCTCATGTGACCATTGTAACCAACGAGTACTCATTAGTCGGCTCTAACAAAAGCCTGGGGACTATTCTGTCCAGGAATCCAGTATTGCTTGATCAAATTACATAGAAAACATGCATGTACTTGAAATGTCTGGTCGGCCTTCGTTAATCACTAGCAACGAAAGGAATTTTAATATTTCATTTAATCAACTTCTGCGAGTTGCGCGAGATTCCGCGATTGCACGTGTGATGCATATGCATCAATCCTAAATTGTCTTCCATAACACGAAATTTCATCCCAGTACGCTGGTACAAGAAGCCCATATATTTCGTTTAAAATCACTTAACAAGGGACACGCGCTGGCGTTGGGTCTGTTTGTGGCTAACAGCGTTTTGGGACGGATCTAGAAACACGAGGTTCAACAAGGGAAATCTTTCGGAATCAATACTCAAAATAAATTTGTTTAAACACCCGTGGATAGAACCTGAGAATTGATGACACACGTCACAAGTCTGTTCAATTATTTAATGTTGCACGAAGTATTATGATAAGTGCATTTGCCAGACGAATAACTGAAATATATGTGAAAAGGCAAGTCTAAAAACCGCTTAATACTTAGTTGTATGAATAATGTCGCGCATATCCGCGTGCATGCAAGAAACGGAAGAGTTACTTCCCTTAGACCACTTATTTCAGAACCAGCCCGGAAACCTTAAGTTAGGAAATAAAGTCGGGAATTCGAACGAAAGAAAAATCCTTATAGGCAGAAACCATGTGCAATTTCTTTTTCGCTGTTTACTCAACACCCTGTGCCTAGTTTCCATAACCACACATGTCCCTTGCGTAACGCAAGACATTGAATTCATAAGTGAATGCTGTTTAAAGCCGCAGTCAGCTCTATTTCAAACACATCACAGTCTGTTCACAATCGAGTCGGCAACTTGTTACCTGGTACAGCTCCAGGGTAGAACAGGTCTTCAGCAACCCATGCTTGCCGTAAAAAGCGACTGTGATTGTCGTAGGAGGCTCAGTCACTGGATTGTCTGGGCCAGTTATTTACAGACTGTCGTCATCTAGCTGGAATGTTGCTGAGTGCGGCGTTAAACAACAAACCAAGAATCTGGGACAGATACTCTGCATCGGAATCCCATGTAAGGCACGACCGCCTCCGTGGTCTAGTGGTAGAGCGTCCGCCCGGAGAGCGGAAGGTCCGGGGTTCGATCCCCGACCGCGTCATACCAAAAGACGTTAAAAGATGGTACTTGTTGTTACCCTGTCTGGCGCTCGGCATTAAGGGGCTTAAACAAGGACTGGTCGGCTCGGTGTCAGTCTACTGTGTCTGAGTTGGGTATTCATGTTGAACTGCGGCATTGTATCTCAGTGAGCTAGCACTATAAATCGGCATCAGTCCGGACTAGTACAAGCAGCCACACAAACACACACACGTACATGCACGTCGCTTTATAACTGCAATAATCTTGGACGCGACGTTAAACCCCATTTCACCTCACCTCACCCATGTAAGGCACAGTCAGTGCTAGTAATAGGGGCATATATTACGTGACTGAAATACTAGAATACTTTAAAGTTTTCTCCTTATGTGTTGCGTTATCATGAAGTTTATGTTTTAGTGAGTTGGTTGGGTTTTATATTTCAGTCACATCACGGCGTGTCAGCTTGATCTGGGAGCTGCTCCCAAAGTGAGATTTATAAAGAATATTTCTGAAGGACATATGACATGTGACGCATAAATCATGTTCACCCTGTCTTCACAATAAAACAGGTTATCATTCATGAGATTTTGCTGATGTGGGAATAAGCGTGAGAGATTATCTGTGCTGACTCTTAGACTTTGTAGCACATACGTTCAGATCTCCCACAGAGTGAGTGAGTGAGTGAGTTGGGTTTTATGCCGCTTTTAACAGTATTCCAGTTATATCACGGCGTGTCAGCTTAATGTGGGAGGAAAGCCCGAAGTGATGCAGGTCTCAGATGTTTACCACTTCGGTGAAACCCACGAGCGCGGGTATGGTGCTGACAAACCTAGAAACATAATCGGGGCGAACAGGGATTCGAACCAACAATCATAGGTTTTCTGGCGTGCCCAGGGGACGCAACTCTGCACATCGAATTGCGGCGCCTTAGACGACTGGGTCACCAGTGCCCCGATCTCCCACAGAAGGGGTGGGTATAGCTTTGTGTCGCTTTTTGCAATATTCAAGCAATATGACGTCGAAGGCTTCACAACCCGTGAAGATCCGGGTTAGAATAGGTCTTCAGCAACCAATGCTTGCCGCATGAGGCGACTATGCTTGTAAGAGGCGACTAACGGGATCGGGTGATCAGGCTCGCTGACTTGGTTGATGCATGTCATCGTATCCCAATTGCGTGGATCGATGCTCATGATATCAGTCACTGGATTGTCTGGTCCAGAGTCGATTATTTACAGAACGCCGTCATATAGCTGGAATATTGCTGAGTGCGGCGTAAAACAACAAACAAAACGAAGGTTTCACACATAACAATTTGGGGATATGGACCTACCAGGCTTCCGTACCGCGCTGAAATGAGAGGAACTTGACACTGGACAGGACACAGTGTGAGTTCCGTATATTACTTTCTATATTTCACTACGACCCTATATAACAGTTTGTTTCAGGGACTAGTCAACAATACCCGAACCTCAGTGATCACTGCTGCTAAACGGCATCTACCAGTGTGTGTTGACGTCAATGCATTGTAAAGTCAGATATATGATATCACCGCTCTTTAACAATTTATCGTCACTCACCAGAAATAGCCAAAAACTCAGTGAAATAAATTCGCTATACAACTGCTGTATTATTAACTCTTATTTCCATGTACTGTTTGGCGGAAGAAATGCTTCACTAACGACGTTCTCTTGTATATTGTATACGTGGTAGTTTTTGTATGCCTATTTATTTTCGTTAAAGGAGGCATCACGAGAGACGGCACATCGTATCTGCTTGTCGAGGCTCAGTATACGATCGACCTATCTCATCAGCGGAAGTAATAATTGATATCTTTGTTATGGCGACGGGGGCCAAAATTACCTTCATACACCAATTCCCTGACTGACTGACTCACAAGAGCGTCACGGAAAGGGGAGGGGTCCTCCGCACTCGCTGACCTTACGTTCAAACGCCCCCAACAAGAACGGGGTCGCTGCATCCCTGACCCCCGAGAATTTAATTAACTTCCCACACCTACCCCCCCCCGCTCCCCCAGTAAATGCATCCTTCCGTTAGCCAGGTCTGTTTTCTATGACATTTTTCTGTGTTTCAAATCGATTTTTTTTTCACCAGAGTAATGTACTTTCTACGCTCGCTAAACCTTTGACGGTACGATAACCTTGTTGATGCACTGGTACGCAAATGAAATGTTAAAAAGAGCTCGTTTTTTAATGATAGTAATTTGGAATTATATGAATGGTTCCACAGACTTCGGGAGTGTCAGGTTGAGAAAGACATTTCTTGTTATTCTTCCATTACTACCGCCCTGTTTCATTTAAATATATCACTTATTTCAAATTCGAATCTAAAATGTGTTTTTTTTATATCACATTTAGGAAGTAAAATATCTACATGATTTTAATCGATCCAGTGTTTCAATGGCATTCAACTTTCGCGTATAAATGAATATATTAATGTTATTTCACGTAGAAGTGTGCATTATTACAGCTACAGTTGAACCCCCGTTAATCCGGACGATACCGTTTTCAGTGAAATTGTCTACATTATTACATGTCTGTATGAAAGAATCATAGGTATCCAAACGAGTAATAGAGTAATTATTGACAAACCGTCGTTATAGATGGCATATTGCTGAGAGCTAGCAACAGCATCGAACTAGATCGAAGGCAGAATAAGGCCCAAGTATACCACATGCATCCAGTAAATAATCTAGTCTGAACCAGACATTCTAGTGATTGATATTACGAGCAACAACCAACGCCGTCGGCGTTGATGGCGCGATTAACCAGGTCACGGTGACCTGACC